ATGCTTATACAGCTTGATACGATCGGGTGATATCAAAATAGCATCTCTTGCGGGAACACCAGTCGTTGGCCTTGCATTTGATGCATTAGCGTGCGAACCGCTCTTCGACGTTGCTTCTGACCTAGCCTGTGAAATCATTTACCGGTCCGGCAAGAACGGGAAAGAAGAAAGCATTATACACGCAGTCTACCCGCGCTTGCTACCCTTGCGAAAGAAGCTGGAGGACAGCAAGGACGATCCTGAAACAGTACGAGGCCTTTGTCGGATTTTTGAGGATGCAGGGGAAGCGTGGACTAGTTTGATTGCCACAAATTATGAAGCATTCGAGCATGTTGTGGGTGGTCTGCTACAATGCGCTGCTTACGAGGAGCTGGATATAGCCAAAATTACCTTTCTTTTCTGGGAATACCTTGCGAATGAAGTCATCCTTGCTGCGAACGCGGCCCACCGCCCAAAATTTTATCCCGTATACCGGCAACTTATCGACGTCATGATCAAACATCTACATTATCCTAATGACCTTGCAGAGTGGACCGCGGAAGAACGTGACGAATTTCGCGAGTTTAGACATGAAATGGGCGACGTTTTGAAGCAATGTGTGAAAGTTCTTGGGGAAGAAGAGGCTCTCTCACGACCCTATTCCATGTTGAGTGCCTTATGCGTAGCAGGCAGCAACGGCGCGTTTGATCCATCAGTGCAATGGCAAAAGATTGAAGCGCCGCTCTTCTCGTTGCGGACAATGTGCCGTGAAGTCAGTCAAAATGAATCACAAGTCTTACCAAGGATTATGGAAATGCTACCACAACTGCCAGATCACGCAAAGATCAAATATGCGGCCATCCTCGTGATTGGCCGATATGCTGAATGGACTGCACGGCACCCCGAGTTTATATCCTATCAGCTTACGTTCGTTTCACAAGGTTTCGAAGAGGATGAAGCGGTAGCCGCAGCGGCGCAGGCCATGAAGTATCTTTGTAAAGCATGTGCACCGGTATGTGTCAACATCCCATTTATCCGAAACGGGTTGGCCGGTATCCACTCATTTTGTGTCTCCTTCATAGCAATTGGTAAATTACCTTAGTCAACTGCATCTCTTCTACTTTAATATCGTGAAGAAGTTGAAGCGAGAGCAAACATACGATTTGACCGAAGCGATCGCCCATGTGTTGGCTGCTGTTCCTGTAAGCGAGTCACTGACGGCAATGCAAACCTTTTGTCATCCCATTGCACAGCGATTGCACGAAATAGCATCAACCGATGGAAATGCGTCAGATGGCGATGACACACCGATAGTAAAGGAAGCCGTTGGTCGGTATGCGACATGGATTGAACCGCGATTTCATTCGCTCACATATGCAATATATGATAATAGCATTGCTCGATCAGCTTGGAACATTGATCAAATTCGTCAAACCACCACACAACCATCCTCTAAACCAACCATTCCCCCGCTGCTTCTGTTATGCAAGAGATATGGCCAGTGGTCGACATGCTGATGAACAAGTATGGCTCCATAACGGTGGTTGCGTGATGCCTTTGCACGATGCTGCTCATATACTATGATGTCCTATAAGTGGGATATTGTACCAATTTTGATGCAAATGATGACGCGAACTGTCGCCCTCTTCGATCAGACAGGATTACCGTGCTATTTGTGGGTCTCATGGCGCTGTGTCCGTGTTTATGGCAATGACGAGAGAGAGGAAGGGAAAACGGTGTTTGGCATTGTGGAAACATTGACGGCGTCGACCTTTAGGATGATACAGTCGTCGGCGGATAAGCTGGAAAATATTCCAGATGGTATGTGGTGACGAATATAGGTCAGTGGCGTGACCTGAGGCTAATGATTGTCTCCAGTGATTGAAGAATACTTCCGACTAGTAGAGGAGCTACTGGAGCAATGCCCCACCTTGTTTTGTCAATCCAGCTTGTTACCTTCACTTTTCAATTGCGCGATGGCTTGTCTCGCTATTCAACAGCTCGAAGCATTGTCAGCCGTTATTTCATTCCTAAAGAGCTTATTTAAGTGTGCGTCGCCCCGAAATCGATCCAATCCCCTTCCCCAAACGATGGTGGATCCTCTTGTTCACGTCATACGGACAAACGTGGTACAATTCGTACAGCTGGTGTTCAATGGATTGTTGTACACGTTCCCAAGAGCGAGGGAGGTTTTTGCGGATGTGGCAACGATATTCAAGTACATGTTAGATGCGGTACCGGACGACGGCGCACGAGCAATAGAGGCTGTGATCAAGAGCTTCCCAGACGGACAATTGTCAGCGAAGGACAAGGACGAGTTCCTACAACGATTTGCTAGGTGAGTTATATGCTCGAAATGACTGTGTTGCGTACGGTGACATCTTACCAATTGCAACTGTAACAGTGCGAACTCTGACTTTGACGATGAAAAGAAGCTGTCAGGCGTACTCAAGGACTTTACAGCAATGTTCCGTCGACGAAATCTCATCAGCGGCCGAGGAAGAGCACATTGATTGCCTGCTCACCTGTTTGGCCTGGCCTCACGTCCGATACATTTGGTAGTTCTCTAGAAGGAAGATATCTGAAGGGATGCAAAATGAATGAAATTTATGTAACTAATGGTAGATATTCTTCATGTCACGTGATTATTACTGGAAAGTGGAGTTGCTGGACGGACCTCAGGGCATTCGCACTGGCCTCGCGATCACGTCGAAACCTAGATCGCAGTACTGTTTCGCCTTAAACATCGCGGTGTCCGCACATTGTGACAGATCTTTGACTTACGCATGAATAACATTTGACGGTACTCTACGCATCGCTCGACTGGCAGTTCCCCGTCATGGCCTCCACAGCCAGCCAGGAAACTGCTGCCGCAGCCGCTGCTGCTGCTTCAAGGGGCTCCACGGGAAAAATAAGGTACGTAATGCATGGCACGTAGGTTGGTGGTTATCTTGAAGGAGATTGCTAGTTTGGATGGCAAATCATGATACATTGATCTCTTACAACTATGGATCTGTGTACGTTCTCAGATGGACCCGCAAAGCACTCTGGCACGCCATAGAAAACGATAGAGAACAGATATATACACCTGAGGACTTTGCTGCAAACCTGGCCCCTCACCGTGAAGCCCTTGAAGTCGGCGTGGAATGGTATAAGAAACCGAACGCAGCGTCCCGACAAGTGGTTGAGAAACGCGCCTCGGCGCAAAAGGCGCAATTCGTCTTTAAGATGAGCGATCTAATGGATCTTGACGAAGTGCAATGCGAGTCGATATTGGAGAGCTGCATCAAAGATGATTTGGAGGCGCCAGCAACAAAGCGACGTATTGATTGGTCAAATATGAAAACGATCAACTATGAAGATGAGAATCTGATGGCCGCCGTTCAGCAACAGTATTTGAATGAAAGAGAAGAAACACTGCTTGCACTTGCGGCGCTTATATGTACAGCCGACGATGAGGATCACCGATACCACGCACCTATTTTGGCGTTTGTCCGAGAACTATTTCCAGATAGCGAAACAACCGGGCAGCGTTTGCTAGACCAGCTGAAGAAGGCAGTATTCAGAGTCATCCCCAGCAAGATTGCCGCACAACCTGAATGGGCTAGCTCTTGGGCAAAGCAATTCGTCAAGGAGCAGCGCCTGTTACTACAAGTAATCTTCTTGGTCTATTACAGCATCGTACCATGCTCTCCATCGAGTGCCAGTGCAATTATAACAGTTTTGGTGCAAGGATTTGATATGGGGAAAACGCAACTGAACGCCGCGTTGTTCGATAAGGAGACGAAGAGAATGGTCAAACACATCGCGGACTTATCGGTAATGGTTGTGTTAGAGGTCATGAGGCTCCATGATGTGCTGGATGTGGACGCCGGTGCAGTTATACCCCTTCTTGAGTCGCCCGAGGACATCTGTAAGATATATAAGGTTATCACACGTAAGGCGCAGATGGACTGTACGCCAGGGGACGCCTTTGGGCCTATTTTACTAGGTTGGGGAGTCCTAATGTCAATTGTTTACCCTTCCTTGGAACGCAAACGAGAAGAAAAATATGCTCGTCTCTGCGACTGGATTGCTGAACCATCGGCATCGGATGGACCCTCTCCAAGGCTACCACAGATTTTCATTCAGAGAGCGTACGTGGAGTACGAATCCATTGGATACATCATATCTGCCTTGAAGGGAACGCTCACGTTGGACGAACGTATGGCTCTTGGCTACAAGAGTGTTATTAAGGACATGTTGATGCTGCTGCTAGAGACGGTCGAGGATCCTCTTCATCTCCCTGACCGTGATGGTCTAATTAATGCCTTTGCAATGCTTTTTCACAATGAAGACCAGCTGTCACTACAATGGTGGGAGCACGACTATGAGACCGAGGAGCACCGTGCACTCTTGGATGCTGCTGCTAGAATTTTCCCTGTTGAATTTGGTCCTCTCATACGACTCATGACGTCGCTGATCGGCAGTCCCCGCAGTGGGGCATACGTCCTGCGATATATGGCAGCTCTTCCTTCCCTTGCGGATTATTTTCGTCCGGTTGACTATGTAGAGGTTCCGTATGGAGATGAATGGGGATTAGAGTTCGTTTACCGTTGGAGAGGGAATCCGCAGGGCCTGGTATATGGTGCGCAAGGTGTACCTTTTCAACCTCCCGCAGGTACTATTGCTCGCGAGGTTCATAAAGATCCCCGAGTGGTGCTCCTTCAGCATACTTTCTCTGGATGGCACCTGATCCTTAGCATTCTCGACTCATTCATACACGGCTCGAATGCCATTGCTGGTCAGAATCTCGAGCGCTACATCAGTGGAACAATTGAAGCAGCCACTGAGGCAGTCAAACTGCTCAACGCATTGTTTGAGCATGCAGATGAGACATTGATGTGGGAATTTATTGATCACATACGTGGGATCACGGCTGGCTTTTCGCATTGGGCCGAGGACACATCGGATCGCTTCGTCGGCTTGATCTGCCAAGTTCTGAATCATGCCTGTAGCTTTGCACGACCGGAAATGGAGCTTTTGACGAGCTGTATGTCCTGCTTATCAGCTCTTCTTCCTTACTTTCCGGACGCCGTCTGGAAGCACCTTCGGTCTGAGATCCTGTTCCCACGTCACTCCCCTTCTGCTGCTGGTGCCGCTTTACCGACGAATAGTTACATGGAAGAAGTTGTATTACCTGCCGAAGTGGCGATAGGGCAGTATCCCACTACCCTAGCTTTTCTTGACTTTGTTTCTGCTATGATCCGGGAAGCACAGACGCTTCGGCAGCAGGAATGGGCATTGAACGAAACACAGCGAGACCTGGAAGCCCAATTTTGGGCAGCACGCAGAAATCCTCAGTTAATGCCGATCTTAGAGGCTCAGTTAGGGGGACCAGAACGGAGAAAGGACTTGGAGCGTAAAGTCTTAGCTCAAGCAAGACTGAGAGAGTCTGCTGCTCTCAAATCAGAGGTGCTCTTTTCTGCAGTTGTCTACGTGCATAGTGAAATCTTTCCAAAGCATGGCACGTGGCGGTATGTGCGGATCCACGACAAACACCGCATTGGCCTCAAAGTGCTTCAGATTTTCAACCAAATCATGTGGGATTCGACATGGGCGTCATCAGAGCGACCCGGTGAATGGAGCGGCGTAGCGGACTTCCGTATTATCCAAGAGTATCTGACTCGAAGCTATTTGGTAGATGGAAGCGTTTACCAAATCGCACCGCTGATTGATTTTGTCTCTTTGGGCAGCGATGTTCCTCTCAGATTTTATCGAAGCCTGCGCATGAAAACTGCAAGGGTGATAGAGGAATGCATCGAGCATTCGCTTCGCTTTATTAAATATCTCTTGAAGAGACGAAAAATTAGCGGACTCAAGGTATCGCTGTTGGAGCATTCTCTTTTGGACCGCACCGTGCACAATGGCACGCAGAACGATGCTATCGAGTTAGTTCAAGTCATTGGCCGCTATATAAGCTACGAAAATCATCGACCTTTGCCATTGTTGGCGACAGAGGTTTTGACCCTCCTCTGCGCTGTGGCTGGCGATTGGCAGCCGCGCCCGCCTTCCTTGGCTGGATATTTTGGAGTCGACGCCTACAATTTCGTTGCTTCAATTGTCAAACTGATCGGAAGAGACACGTCACCTTACGAGGAGCTACAAACCGCTCTTTACAATTTCATTACGGAGGTAGTAGTGACGCAACCGGGTTTGGCGGCGATGCTCCTGACTGGCGAGGCAAGTCGCCCACTTCTACCGTCAAGCGTGCGCGGACTTCTTTCCTCGAGTGTGCAGCAGGAACCTTCCAATGGAAATACACTCTCCAAGTTGTCGGTTCTGAGTCCTGCCTTGACTCTGCTGCAGAGCTGGAGGCAGATTTTGGAGACACAACCCACCACGCTACCTGCCGCCATGAGATTGATGGATGCGTTATGGCAGAATGCTCCTAAGTACATGGGTGTTCTCGACAAGTTGCGATCGCAACCGGTGTTTTGGCAGGTTATCGGAAATATCTTTGACGATGTGCCAGAGATGCCTTCCGATGAGCCAGTCGTGACATGCGTGGAAGGCACTGCATCGAGAGAACAAGAAGATATCCGAAGGTTTGCGTACAGCAAGCAGGTTCGAACCTATACTCTACGGATATTGGCTTTTGAGATTTACTTCACCCATGACGCCAAAGAGAGCCAACCAATTTTGCGCATTGCAAAGAAGATATTCGAACAAAAAGGCCTGTTTACGGATGATTCCACTCTTCCATATCTGTCTGAGCTTCCAGAGAGGGTGAAAGATTTGGCCGCATCACTCGGATTGCCGGTGGCATTATCATCGTATAAAAGGTTGAGTTGGTCGGACGATCTGGATGTAGATCAACAATTTGGAGATGCCTATGTATATGATCTGGACCTACTCCGTGGCAAGCTCTATGGTCATATACATTTCCGCGCTGCCGAAGGCGAGGAAGAAATATTTGATGCGTTTCTTTCTGCCATATGTGCCGTGAACCATAACCGATCGATCACTGATGCCCACATGTATATGGTCAAAGCGTGGAAGACGTTCATCAAAGTACTGACAGCTACGTTTACAGCAGCCCCCACGAGTCGTACTGGCCCAGCTCTAAGCATCTCTCCGGATCATCTCTCCAGTATCATTCGACAATTGACGGATATTTTAATGGAAGAACATCGCGATGACGCTACTGTTATCGCTTATCGATCGGAAATTAGTGATCTATTGTTGTTTCTGATAGCAGTATGGGGAGACCTGAAGCGAAAACCGGTACAAAATGAGGTTGCAGCCAAGGAAGTTGTTGACATTCTAGGACGCCTCTTTCGGTGTATGGCCACGGAATATTACGAGTTGGGACCGCCTGGGACATTCTCCGAGTTCCCTTTTCATATTGATTTAGTTTCCGCGATTGTCGTAGCCTTGCGTATTCTGCGAGGAAGTGCTAGTCCGGAGACTCTCAAAGGGATGGAAACGAGGCGGATCTTTCAGGATATTCTTCCAGTCATTTGTAGAGGACTATCCTTGTTGCTTAAAGGCCTGGGAGAGGACGACTACCGTGGACACAAGTGGGACGTCAGCCTGGCATTGTCTTGCCTGAGCGAGCTGATCTCGTTCAACGAGACTATCTATCCAGGAACGGGCATCTCAATCATGGACCGCTATGAGATCTTTCCATTACTGCTAGTAATGTTTCAAAGGGCGGCCACAAGTTCCCCTAATGAACGAACATTTGCGGATGATGTACTGCCTTTTATGAAGGCAATTGCCGAAACGCCACTGGGAGCGGAACGGCTGGCAAATGAAGGAATATTTATTTGCTTTACCAATAACTCATTTACACCCGAGTTGACCCAAGGCGCCGTCCTTCCCTATGTGGGCCAAGAGCGGAACCCGGGGCACCGGATGTGGTGCTCAATGCTCTCGATCGTGTCGAGTATAGTTCAGGTTTTGGGTCACAGTCCTGTTCTGCTTGAAGAAGCGACTGGTTTCATTCGAGTTTATAGAAATCAGATTGGTCGTGCTCTCGATGTGGCTGCGGACGGAGATCTAACTTTAGGACGAGTGGAAGAGATAATGAAAATAACGGAATTCTTTTACGGACTGGCGTCATGGGGAGATCAGGCGAAGACGCAATCGAAAGGAGAAGCGTCTTATTTTGGCGCCATAAAACCATTTCTTGGTCTAGAGTTACAGTTGCTTGCGTATTTCGCGTACCTATTCGAAAATCCACATGAAATGCATCGTCGCATAGTTCCCGTATCTCGAGCAGAAAAGGACGGAGCCACTACGCCCTCCGGCCGCAGTAGAAGCGATCAGCCTCAAGCTTTCATTAAAGCACGTCAAGCCGAACCGAACAATGCGGGCGGTGTTGAAGGCGGCAAAGACAGGTCGAATGTTCACTTTGATGCAATTCGGATAATGATCCTTGTCGTTCGCAACATCATAGCCTATCTGCGTCTGGCGGCAAACGCAGATGAAGCGATGGTCAAATTTGAGGAGTCGGACCCTCAAAGGCCGAACCTGTTCCAACCGACCATGTCGTTACATGGCGCGGAAGCAGGTGCGACCATGGGTACCTTGTTCGATCTGATAAGACGGGTCACGACTATTTTTCGTAATATATCGGAATCTAACGGCAGTTCACAAGAAACTGCGAACGTGCAGCAAAGTCTAGAGTATGCCGCAAGGAATGTATCTATTGCAGATTTGGTGCTTATTGCGGAATCTGGGCTTGTGTTGGCTGCGACGCAGATTGCGCGGTACAAACGGTACCTCGATGCCGACGACGTCCTGAGTGAGTTAGTGGGGGAGTTGGAACCGACAATAAAGGACATCGGTCAGCTATTGGCCGATGCGAAAAATCGGGATCAGCAGTGGCTGGAGAGAAAAGGATGGAATCAAATGGAGATTGAGCGGATAATAGCCTTTATAAAGCGAGTTGATGACTTTGCTGCGAGCGAATTTGGACGAGGAATGTAACTAGTATTAGGGAGCCACGGATAACAGAGCAATGGAATCAAAGCGGGAGGGGGTGGGATGCATTTTGTAAATTTCCTAATCCATAACATGATAGTATGCGAGCTGGCTATTGTTAGGTTCGTCCCGTCGAGTCCATGATATCTGATATCTCTAAGTTGTTTCAAGAATATATCTCAGTTTTGCTAGTACCACGTGACGGATGGCAGATATTCGCTAAAGGGCTCATTCCACTTTCGAATATTCCTCAAAGCTCAGCCTACGGCTTTGCAGTGGTCGTGTTGCCCCAGGCAGTCGGCAATTCCCGTCTCGACTTCAGGAACCCGCAGCGCCTACAGGGGATACAGGGGACCATGTTTCTGCTTCACCAACAAATTGGACGCAACCAAAGAGAACAGTACGTTTGCTGTTGTGGTTTTTTAACCTACCCCATTGGCCCAGCTGAACATGTGCACCTGGCCAATGTGTTCACTTGTAGTGAAGAGGAGAAGAAGAAGGGTTACGGATCGGATAGTCAGCATCAAAAGCTGCAGACCATGGAGCCGAAACCAATTCTGGGTACCCATTCAGAACCACCCTTCTCGCGTCTTGTTGTTGAGGCTGAACGTAACCGAATTCAACCACAGGAACAGCGCCGACTCTTGTAACAAAGATACCTCCATCAGTAAACTTGACGGGGATCTATTCCGCGACAGGTAGGGTTAAAGTGAGTATCGGTCTCTTGCGGTTTGGGCTACTTTTCTGAACTTCTAACATTGGAAAGGATTTGATCTATTGGGGATACTCTCCCGCGTGGTTCATCGACCCAACCCTGTGGTAAGATCATTTGTTTTGTTAAATCATCGAGAGGGTGACGAATTCAGCGCTGAGATCGATTATTTTTTGGTAGATCGCACTTGGACCTGTTGATCTATCGTGTGCTTTTCTTGTGACGGATCCACGGAGACCGGATAATCCCGTATGTGAAAGCATTTCGATTTCGCTCCATGGTGTTAGGGTTGACACTGACGTATCTTTGTGCAGATTGTGTATGCTAGCGAGACATTTTCAAAGTATGTCGTATCAGTGTCGGACACTTGTCCAGTACAGATTTTAAACATATTCGTACAGGTTAACAGGATATAGCAACGCTGAGGTGCTAAACCGTAACTGCCGCTTTCTTCAAGGTGGGTTTAGCACAACCAAAGTAACTCATCGGATGGCTGACATATTTGGGTTGCAGCGCCAGATGGTCAGCAGGAACCGGGCCAAGCTCGCCGTTACACGGACAATGCAGTTGTCTCGCAGCTGAAGCAGGCTATCGATCGCAATGAGGAATGTCAGTTTACGTTAATTAATTATAAAAAAGGTGGAGAGGTCGGTAGCGACTCTTTGCGTGAACAAATTTTTGCAAGTCCTCATACTTTTTATGAATCAAGCCTTTCATAAACTTGGTTACGGTCGTTCCTGTGTAAGCAAACGTACAAGACATGTAGTCTTCTTCTTTCATTAAGCAAGCTGTTGTCACACAGGGAGTATGGTCGACCCGGGGAGGTCAGCTTTTTTGTTGGATTTCAAGTAGACTTGATCGATCAGCCGCAAGCCATTCTAGATCGGATGAAAGGTATACTAAAAAATATTGTATGAAGTGGTCTCTAGTAGATACCGATGCGGCTTTCCGTCTATGCAGATGGAACATATACCATCAATTATCAGATTGCTGAGCAATTGGACGCCCGACAGCCAGGTAAGTAGTTGACTGGTAGGAGCGAGCCTTTTGGCCATTCACTGACTTGCGCATATTTAGCTGCCATGTCCGACGTGGCGGCATTCCAGCAGGAGACGTTCCATCTGTTGTCGCCAGTGCAAGCTCCTAAATCACCAGATTACACTCCCTTACCTGATGCGATCGAGAATCTGGTTGAAGATTTTGATGATTTTGTGCACATCCTGTCTCTCCGTGGGCTTTTTCTTTACGCTGCACCTCGCTCTACAAAGAGGTTACTGGAATACACTGCCGAAGAGCTAATGGGTCATAGTTTGCACGAGTTTGTGCATCCGGCGGACTTTGTTTCGGTGATGCGCGAGTTACGAACAAGTGCGTCCACTGATACAATAAATATCATCTGTCGCTTTAGACGAAAGCATTCAGGTTACATGTATTTGGAGATCAATGGACATGTGAGATGAGGCCCATTTGGACACGGTGTTTTTATTGGATCTAACTTTGTTTGCCAAAGATATATGACGAAGATAACAACAAACGAACAAAATGTTTCATCATGTCGGGTCGTGAGAAACAGGTCACGACTCTTCGAGTGAAAAACATTTTATTGCCCGGTCCGGACACGTCCGAAACATGGGCAAAGCTATCGTTAGAGGGATTGATACTCTACGTATGTCCGAATGCCGTACCCATTTTTGGACTTTATCCCGAAGAGCTTGTCGCAAAGTCACTTGTAGAGTTTTTGCATGACAGCGATCATCAGGCTTGCCGCGACGCTCTTCAAACCATTGTCAATGGTCAATCTGTTCAAAACCTGCGATGCCGGATAGCCGTCAAGAGAGGATTTTCGTCTGCTGTCCTTCGATTCTACGCAGATGGGTGTACCCCGCGAAGCACCATATTCTGTCAAATTAAAGCAGTGGAAGTCGGACGAACCGATCCGCTGGATTTGAAGACGCTAGTCGAATACGAACCCTTGTACGAGGACGGTAATTTGTTTGATGTCATGAATGAAGTCAGGGCCACTTCATTACATTACGAACTCAATCAGTTACGTCTGCATAATAAGCGACTAAGGGAGGAACTTGACAGTATCATTGCCCCAATTAAAAAGAAAACAGTGTGTATGGTTTTTTTTGTCGGACGATATCGTTTTTGTTAATCTTGTTTTTGTAGAAACCACGAGTTGAGGCGCTCACGCAGTGCGCGCAGTGCCATACCAGTTACAGTCCGGAATGGAGAAAAGGCCCCGACAATCAAAGAAATTTGTGGTGCGTCCATTATTTGAGGTACGATGTTTGGTTCATGCTCATCGATTGTTTGTAGTAATGCCTGTGGCCTCCGATACGCCAAGGCGATGCGAAATCGAGCATCCATAGGATAAGGCCCTATGGATGAGCATACAAATGTTGCAGCGTATAATTTTTTGTGACATGGACCCTTTTTTTTTCGTCATATGCCGAATTCCTTTTCTAGTGCTCATTTTGTATATAGATGCTCGTCTCTGTATATATAAGTTATTCGCCCAAATTATCGTCGCTTTTCGTTTAGTTATTTTACCCAAAAGGTCGACCTATCTCTTATTCACGTGGTTTCTTCATTGGAGATTGTAGAGTGGTGGCCGCTGGGGCTGAAATGGACCCGTAAATATTGCCACCCGCAAATATAAAAAGACGGGTATCAAGTAAAAAAGTACGTTGGGAAAGATATTTTAGGAACTTTAGAAAACATGTCGTATCTCATCCTCTGGACGTTAATTTCGATCATCCACGCTATTCAATCTATGCCGCTATCGCCCCAAATGCCCATACACCTCCAATCAACTCCTCTGCGATACACAATTTTAGATGGATTCTTTGTCCAAAGCCGCCCTGATACGAACGACTCGTCCTTTCCCTTAGTTCCACCCCATCTGGGACTGATTGATACCGAACAGGGCCGTTGGGAGAGGTTTGTTGAGAAACTCGAACGCGTTCAAGAAGAGATTGGAGACAAGGGCGTTGTCAAGGTTCTGTTGTTACAGAGGCATGGACAGTAAGTTTTTGTTTTGTATGAATTGCCAGTAAACCTCTGGACAAGTCTAGAACAAAACACACACAATCGTCTTAATAGGGGAATCCACAATGCCGCTGAAGAAAAATACGGAAAAATCGCATGGGACGACTACTATTCCCGCCTTCCAGAGTATTTTGACGCCCCTCTGACACCATTAGGTATTTCCCAACTCCACGGCAACACTGATCTCATCAAGGGTGAACTTGGCGATGGGTTACCCCTTCCATCCCTTATTCTCTCGTCCCCGCTCTCAAGGTGTTTGAATACCACGCGACTTATTTGGGGGAGTTTGGTAGAGGGGTATCATCCGCGGGTGTTGGAAGATCTTCGGGAATCGTATGGAGAGCATACGTGTGATAAACGGCGGAGTCGGACCGAGTTGGAGGGTTTATGGCCGGAATTTGATTTCAGTGGGTTGGTGAGTGATGAGGATACCTTGTGGAAGCCGGATGAGAGGGAAGAGGATCAACATGTGGATGAGCGAGTTCAAAGGGTTTTCGATGGGATTTTTATGGATAGGGAACATTTGTTTGTTGGAATTGTGTGTCATGGTGGGATTATTGAGGCGAGTTTGAGGGTGACGGGACATCGAGCGTTTAGTGTCCGTCCTGGAGGATTGATACCGATTGTTGTCGTTGGATGGAGGGAGGCAACAAGGTGCCGAGTTTAGACATGTAGACAAGTTACGATAGTATCATACATAATCATCATTATACAGTTCGACAGTCCTCGTTGTCACCCTATTCGTGCTATTGTATGTCAAATGAAAAGATTGAAATCTCCAGCCGGGCAGCTTTGTAATAAAAACACAATCGTAGACTCTATATCTTCTTTTTCATACACCAATAATCTATAAAATTTCCAAAAAATCTAGAAATTCTATCTAGCTTGCACGACGGTGAGCGAAAACCCCAATAACCAAAAATGTTCAGTAGATTCGGTCGACGAAAAATGCAACTAATTTTGCTGCTGCAAGGTTGTGATCACTTGCTCCTTTTCTTGCAACAGGGCCTTGAGCCTTACGATTTCCTTTTCCAACGCCTATAAAACTCCATCATTTACAATGGCGTCTTAACAATGGACGAGAATTGATAGCCGTGTACTTGCCACAGAGTGATTCCGCTGCTGTTCAAGATCACGATGAAGTTGCTCAATCTCTTCGTCTTTGAGCTGCCATCCGCATTCATATGTCAATATCCAAGGTGCAAAGCCAAACATTATAATTGTAAATATCACCTTGATAGCTGTCGATTCGGCGACCGTCAGCTTCTCGCTGGAGGCGGTTAGATTCCCGTAAATAGATATTTTGTCCCCAACGACTCCTTTTGGAGCCTCTGACGGCGATACAACTTGTTTGCTCACAACAGGTTCATCTTGAACAGTAAACGCGGCCATACGTTCGGCGAGAGCCATTGATGGTGACCTACGCAGCTGTCTAGGTGACGTCATGTTATCTTGACAGCCCCTTCCTGCCATGCCTTCGCTTGTATTCAAGGAAAGGGAAGCTACGGAGGCTTTACGGACAAGCACAGGCGTCGTTGAGGTGGAAGATGGCAATGATTTTTGCTGCTGTTGTGGTTGCGGTGGTGGCGATGAATTTGAAGGTGAAGATGATTTGGGTGTATCCTGCTGGTCATCAATCTTTTGCGCTGCGGCTTCGGACGCTTTAAATCCATCCGAATAGTTGCCTTTCAAGGCAAATAATTGCTCTATCGAGAACGATCTCAGCACCACGATTGCACGTTTAGGGGAAGAGAGCATTCCACTTACTAAAGTGTGGTTTGCAATAGAAGATGCCTGTTGCAAGAGATTGCAATGAATCATCAGCTTACATAATCCAACGTAAACCTGCCGCAGCGGAAACGTACCGTTCAGCGCAGCATAGTTGCCCAGCTGTACAAGTTCAAGGGGAGGAAGGGCAATGAGAAGGTATCCGAATGGTGATGATGTGCATGTAATGTTGATGAGAATCTCTAGAGGAGCGTCAAAAGTCATGCGGGGCAACGCACCGAGAGGACTTTTTTGCAGTGGCCGCATCGCAAACACGTCTTGTGAAAGATCTGCGAGAGAACAAGAATGGAGCCAAAGAAATTCATTGAATAAACTGTTCCACTCCCGACTGAAGGACAAGAGCTCTCACCTTGTCATCTGCATTCAGCTTGTCCATTGGGTATACAACCTTTTGACACACAAAACATCCATCTTTGACAGTCGCTGGCGCGCCAGGAACCGATGGGGAAGGGATATTTGCCTATACCCAAACAAGAATGTTTCACTAATTGCCGACAGACTCTCTTGAAAATGCACTCGTCTTACCAACGTGTCGACCGTCATTTGCTATGGTTTTTTTTTTCGCCAGCTTGCCAGCGGGCCTTTGGTTTTGCTTGGGTGTTTGTCGGCAGCGCCCATTTGCGGGGGTGTCCCCCCCAAGCCCTCCCGAACAATGTTCACGTGAAAGCCAAACATGTCCAGTTTCAAGACTAAGCCTTTGCAGGGGGTCCGTGGTTCAATCTGCGCTGGTTTCAATGCTGGAATGTTTTTCTGGTGGTGGCCCATGCAACAAAAGTTTGGGTAAGTCTACGAAACCAGTAAAAATGACGTTTTGTGTGCGGCAATTAAAGGGGGGGCTGCTGCGGAATATTTTTTTCCATTTTGGAATCGATCGGAAGAAAAACTCCAACAACACATTTGGATACATAAAGTTCCATATGGGATATTCCGTGGCCGAACGCGCGGAGATAATTATTACCAATGGAACTATGTCCCTTTATGACGGAACGGATGAAAGGCGATGACGAAGGGGAAAAACTACGCCAAGGCCAATACGCCAAGGACGATGTGAACGGGGAATACCCGCCCATCGTATGTTGCAAAAAGGGAATGCAAAAACGTTCTGCCCGCACACATAACCACAATCCTAAAAAGGAAAGCGGACGAATATGTGGCTGGGTCAATTCTACGATGGAATGATCCACTGCTTACGTACACGATCGTAATTTTTGTGATTCCCGTTTTCTTGCAGTAGCCAGCCAATGTGTTGTCAGAGTACTCAGCTGCTGCTTGTGGAATGCTTTGTGGCCAGCAGACAAGATGATGAAAGTGTAATAGTAAGAAAAGGAGAGATTGAACGGAGAGGGCGGGGTAAAAAACTGTTTGGGGCGGAGAGGAAGGAAGGATACTTTTTGTTGTTGTTGTTGGGCTGGTCTTTTTTTTTCTTGATTTTTCTTTTACCAAAGCGCTGAGACGTTTTTTTTGTTGGTTGTCGTTTTTGTTTTGCAATTTGGAGGGGGGGGACAAAACGTCAAGATGACTTGTAGGAATAAAATGCCCCCATGCTTTTATATTTTCCTTGAATTTCCTTCTTGTCCAAAACTGCTTTTGGATATTCTTGATATTTGTTTAATCCTGCTATATAGACAAAAGGAGATACTGCAAGCAATAGACAAAGCAAGAGAAAGCACCTCTGAAAACGCGCTATGGACAGTGGGGAGCGAGCGTATGGAGAGCACATCGCCGCCAAGCTAGTGTTTTCATCCTTGGTGGATCTCCTATCCTCTGCCTCGCGCCCTGCCATCTTGGCCTCTGATGCGCGATCCCCGCTATCCCATGCAGACCTGCGTTCCTTTATCCAGCAATTCGACCTCCAAACGTTTGGACTTGGACGGAATGATAGAATTGGCGTCATCCTTCCAGAAGGACCAGAGCTCGGAGTCTGTTTGACGTGCGTCCTGGCACGGGCAACTGCCGTCCCGCTCAACGAAAAGGAAATTGAGGAAGAGATTGTGTCAGAGTTGGAGCAAATGCGCGCAAAAGCTGCCATTGTCTGCAAGTCACGGTCGCAGGTATGCAATTGGAAAAAGAAAAACTGGGCTTGAGCGAGGGCATGCGCAGCAAACAAATTCATATCTTCTTGTTTCTTGTTTTTAGGATCGCATCGTGTCGCTGCTTGCTTCGGCCGGCTTTCTCGTTTTGCTTTTGGAGCCAAGCCCTTCCATTGCTGGTCTGTTTACCCTTTCCGCCGCGCCCGGTCCAGTCATCATCTCCCCATCCCCACCTATGGTCCAGCCTTACACACGTCCGGATGATTGCGCCTTGGTGCTTCGTACATCAGGAACATCGGGCAACAAAAAGACAGTTCCGTACACGCTACGTACACTCTGCATAGGCGCGATATGCGTCGCAAAGTCATGGGCACTTCAGGAAAACGATGTCAACTTGAACATGATGCCCCTCTACCATGTCGGTGGAATTGTTCGAAACCTGCTTTCTCCACTCCTCAGCGGTGGAGCAGTCATCACTTGCAAGGGATTTGATCCTGCAATGTTTTGGGACATTGTGGAGGCCTCTCCCATATCGCCAACGTGGTACTACGCAGTGCCAACAATGCACCATGCTATTCTTCAGGAAGGTCGGGAGCGATATAGTGGCCGTTCCCCTGCCACGATACGCATGATTTGCAACGCTGGAGGAGGACTTCAACCATCGCTTGCCGTCGAGTTGCGCAATTACTTTATTGGGGCCGTTGTACTGCCGTCATATGGAATGACAGAATGCATGCCAATCACTACACCTCCCCAGGACTATGCGCTGGATAGACCAGGAACTTCAGGAAAGTCGGTTGGACCAGAGATTGCCATATTCAATGCAAGCATGGACGTTGAGCAGCCACCCAGAGTGATTGGCAACATTTGTGTGCGCGGAGAGCCCCTTTTCGGTGGTTATGAGGGAAACCAAGCCGCAAATGACAAAGCTTTCAACAGTGCTGGCTGGTTTGACACGGGAGACATGGGATACCTTGATGAAGATGGCTACTTGTATATTACTGGCCGCTCCAAAGAAGTCATCAACCGCGGTGGTGAAATCATTTCCCCTGTAGATGTAGAATCCGCTGTCCTAGAGCACCCTAGAATAAGGAATGCGCTTGCATTCTCTGTTCCTCACAATATTCTACAAGAGACGATTGGGATTGTGGTCGTACCAGAATCTGGTAGCACGCTCGTGGACATTGCAGAGCTACACAGGTGTGTATTCTCGACTATGTATTGTGATGGTAAAACTCTAAGCTTCTTGAATGATTAGATTCCTGGCCGAATCATTGCACCCCTCAAAATGGCCCCAGGTCCTTGTGTACATGGACGATCTTCCAAAGAACATGAACAACAAGCCTCTGCGTATTAACCTCGCCAAACGGTTGGGAATTCCAGAGTTGCAAGACGGGACTTCACAATTTAGCCGCATGTATGAAGCAGTGGCACCACCCCGGACTGCATCTCTCTCTGAGCCGATTCCCGCTCAACGTATCAAACCCAACGGATCAAAACTAATCCATTATTTACTTCGCCACGACGGAGTTGCAGATGCCGTGGCACTCACAGGATTTAGTAAATCGGATCCAGAGGCGTTGGTGGCATTTGTCGCTACTTGGTCATCACACAATTTGCGATCCGATACTCTTTACGAGTACCTGGACACGCAAGGTCGGATTCACGATTATGAGCGACCTAGGGAAATCATTCTTTTGTCGCAGCTGCCACGTCGCCACGACGGAAGTCTGGATGTTGATGCTCTTTCTACTCGCTTTGCTGAAGTATCGGCCAGCTCTGAGGACATGTCGCGTCTTGAAAAGGGCATTGGGAATCTCTTTGTCGATGTCCTTAATGTTCCGGAAGTTACGAGCCGTGATGCCGACTTTTTCGAGCTTGGTGGAGATTCTCTTAAGGCTGGACGCCTTGTACATATGATAAGGTGAGTTCTTGTGAAGTTCTATAGATTTGGTTTCGTCTGTATGATCGAAAAATTGACGGGAAGAATAATTTAGAAAACGTCTTGACGTCAATATCCCTGCGTCCAACATTCTACGGTATCGGTCGGTGGCTTCGCTCGCCTCGACTATTGCCGAAAGACTTCCGCCGGATAGTCCGTGGCTCCGATCCGAATCCGTCATTTCCTCCTCTGCCAGTGACCTAAGCGGCTCAACCGCTCATGACTCTGGAGATGAGTCTGATGATGTTCCTCGCCCGAAAAGCAGTGCCAAGAGCCCGCTCTCTATTTCTGCACTATTTATCCAATTACTCTCCATTTTGATCTTGCGTCCTTTACGGATCACCTGCAGGTGGATCTTTTTTGCCTACGTGCTCATTTGGACGCATCCGTGGTTTCGGTTGGGAGGAACCATGGACACTTCGTGGTTGCATCCCGTGCAGTTGATGCTGGCGCTGGTGATTGCTCAGGTTGTGCTGTGGGTTTTCCTCCCCATTTTGGGAATTGCTCTCAAGTGGTTGGTGATTGGAAGGTACAAGGCTGGAAGGTATGCTTTTTTGTGCTGGTGCAAATGTTTTATATTTTGCTGCAAAGTCTAATCTCACTTGTTCCTTCTTGTTAAGCTATCCCCTGTGGGGCTCCTACTACCTCCGATGGTGGTTTGTGGATCAAGCTTTGCACTTGTGTGGGAGGGGATTCTTTGCACTCAACAATGCAACAATGCGATGGTATCTCCGCTGTATGGGAGCTCGCGTAGGTGCAAACAGCCAAATTGACCTCAAAACGAATTTTGGCGAATACGATTTGATTCAAATTGGGGAAAACTGTGGCTTTGAAAGCGCTCGAGTCCGTCCATTTACGATGCAAACAGGTCGAATGGTGCTGGGACCTATCGTGATTGGACACAATTCTGTTGTGAACATCAAGACCACTATTGCCCCGGGTGCTATGGTCCCAAACAACACAGTCTTTCCTCCTCTCTCTTCTTCGTACGAAATGGACGATGCATCTGAAGAGTACCGAGGACTGTGTCGCACGACGGGCCCAACAGGTCCACATCTTATCGTACAGCTTCTTCTTGGCTGGCCAGTTATTTTTATCGTGAATTTATTCGGAATGATCCCTTGGTTAGGTGTTATTTACTTGATGAGCGCGCAGAAATTTTTTATCCGCGCTACGTCGGCGTTCGCGTTTGGAGACGTTCTACACTATTTTGCAGCCCCGGCAAGGATAGGGTACCATGTCCTCGCTATAATTATGCGGGACACGATCAGCCCGTTCTTGTACCTTGCCGCATGTATCCTAATTAAACGTCTTGTCATTGGGAAATTCAAGGCAGGCCCGCGAGACCTGTCCCAGATGGGTCTTTTACGGTACTGGTTGATGCAAAAGTTGTTGGGAGACGGAACACTGGGAGGAGTGAACGCGCTGCTTGGATCGCACTATGAATTCACAAGCATGATCTACCGGGCGCTGGGCGCTAAAATTGGCAAACGCATCTACTGGCCAGGAACCGGCTTATTCGTTTTCGAGCACGATTTGATGGAAGTCGGCGACGATGTCGTATTTGGATCTCGGTCGTTCCTTGTCTGTTCAGACCAATCCGAGAGTGCTCCAATCAAGATTGGTGCGGGGGCCATGATTGCGGATCGATGCGTACTGCTCCCGGGAGCCACCATTGGACGGAACGCCATCATGGGTTCAGGAGGGTTGGCCCGGAAAGGGACTCACTATCCTGCTGGATCCATTTGGTTGGGCTCGGCGAATGGTGGTGCCACGTTATGGGATATGGGGAATGAACGCGAGGCGGAAAAGGCCCCGACAGACACACCCTTTGGAAAAGCGTTTTACGAAAAGAAGGCTTCCTTCACCGTCCTACCCATGTGGTTTTGCGCCGGATACAATATTGCTATCTCGGTATTCACGTCGACATACTGGTCCCTACCCGTGCTTGCCGCCATTCAGGTTGGCAATCTCTTTTACGTGACTGGAAAGCACCCCAAATTGTTTGATCAGATTAGCCCAACCTGGGTGGCTATCAGCACGTATTGCGCCATGTTCCTGACAGTATCTGTTGCGTTCACTATTCTTGCATTCGGCGCTTTGGGGATTGAGATTGCGGCCAAATGGTCACTCTTTGGACGTCGTGCAGTTGGAAAGTACAACTGGGATGAATCGTCCTACTGCCAAAGATGGCAAGTGTATATCGCGATGCTTCGAGTTCGCCGCGATATTCTCGACTACATTCGCGGGTCTTGGTACATTGTACAGTTTTTCCGATTCCTGGGCTGTCGCATTGGAAAACGTGTTTGCTTGTATCCTACAGGCGGTGATCCAATGATGACAGAGCCAGATCTCATCACCATTGGTGATGATGCTGCGGTGGACAATGCTTCCGTTGTCTGCCATCTAAACAGCAAGGGTCAGTTTTCGCTGAACCCGCTCGTGATTGGTGCTGGCTCTATTTTGCGGTCCAACTCTCGTTTACTCTCGGGTGCGCACATGGAGGAAGACGCGACCCTTTTGGAGCATACTTTAATTGTGTCGGGGGATGTGGTAGAAAGTCATTCGGTGTGTCAAGGTTGGCCTTCTATGGATGTCACAAATGAACGCTCTCGCGCTTTTGCTCAATATGGGAGCGTCAGAAAGAGGAAGCCAAAGTGGAGACGCAAGATTCGGGGCTTCTTTGGCGTTTTCCGATCCAAGAACTCTCACAACAAACTCACGGATGCGGCTCCATTGGTTTTGGCAAACACTGGAAGGTGGACACCTCCTGCCGACGAGTCTGGAAAAGATACGGATAATATGCATAGTACATTATCTGTTTAATATTGTAGATAGAGCTGGTGTCTATTAATTGTATGTAACGATCTTTACGGGGAAAATATTCATTATACAATATATCTGATCATCTGATTATGCCATAGAATATCGCTTGACATTAAGATATGATGATGTCGATGAATGCTCATTATGCTCAAATAGTAAGTCCCAAACCTGATGTACTACCTAATTCTAAGATGGCTATGGAGAAGGTATTGCGTTTCTTTGTTCTCTACAGGTAATTAGCCATCGTCACTTCCTTGGCTTTCAATCCACACTTTTCGTAAAAACCAACATTCTTTTCGGCACAGGACAGGATGACCTATGGGGATAAAAATGTGAATCTGTAACAAACTGTAGAGACGTGCAGCAAGGGCGTTTCATGGTTTTAACCTTGTATGCTCCCGAGTGTTTGGCGACAAGAGTTAACGCATTGATGATCCTGTCATGGAATTTTTAGAGATTGCGAACGTCTGCAAATACAAATATCACCATTCAAGGTTTTTCAAAGTAAAACTTACAGTTTTCCCAAGTTCTTTCCCCGTGCCGAGTTATCCACAACGATATCTAAACACACAAAACCATTAAAAGTGGACTTACAAAAATCATCCAACTTTGGAAAAGAGGGTACCTTCAATATGCCCCACCATCCCGCATTCGTGTACAAACTTTGGTTCAATGATAACTGAGCCTGCCCTACAAACAGAAATTACAATTGTCTCTCAATTTTTTACTTGCATGGTTCACCTTGGTAAAATGGCCATTTGACAAATTGAACATTCTTACCCAACAATGATCCCTCGACCAAGATCTTCTATAACAATGCAGTATTTCGATTCATTCCTTTCTCGTAGAAGATCAAACCGTTCTAGATCCGTTCATGAGTGAGCAAAGTGTGATGTACAGAGAATCGTGAGATGATCCCGCTTACCAGCAAATTTCCGCTTGGAAATTGTTCCAATGGTCGTCAACTGTGACAGCAACTCTAGATATCCTATAAAAGTCCCGTCCTGCATGACCGTCCATCACTGTCCTTGAACTGTAAAGAAAATGCAGACCTTTATCATAGTCGTTCACATTCAATGGTCGTATCGTGTAGCCTTCGGGAACTTGAGCAACAGCCTCCTTTGGAATCCGACTCGGATCAAACTGCAAGTCGGGAGAGCTAGCCATCCATGCAATTGGACTGCGTCCTTTGATGTGGATTGCGCGGATTTCGGGGGGAGTGGATATTGGAGGCATAAGGTATATGTGGGTTGAAAGACAATCACAAAAACAGTTTTAGAAATATAATAAAAAAACAATAGTCAATGGCCAGCAATGCATATTATTTAGTTTGTACGTAAGCACATCTAGAATACCTGGGGATATCAAAAGCTGTGGTAGCGCTCCCAATGTGGAAATTACGAGACAAGGTTCAAGTATCCTACGTAACAACAGATTTTTGAAAGTGCTGTAAACAAAACTTGTAAATTGAGTTTCTTTTCGTTTGCTTTCTTGTTTTTTTTTTTTTTTTTTGGTGATTGCCAACATGAGCCCAAACTGGTAGCAACTCTTCAGCCCAAACTCAGCACCACAAGCTTGTGATTCCCGTTTTCCTTTTTTTGGCCTAGCCAAAGTTCTGCGCAGTCTGCGGCAGTCACCAAAAACGTTTTGTTGTTTTCCGTCGTTGGGCTCTACGCACGCGCTCGCATGCCTTTTGACTTTTTTGAACCGCTGGCTGGCTATGATCAAAAAAGAAACCTTAAATCGTCCTGCTTATAAAATGAGGCTCCTTTCGAGGGTCTGTTATCCGATGCCGTAAGTGTGGCTTGAAAAGCGTTGCCATGGAATACCGCGTCTATAAAAACTCGTAGCAGAACTAGAAAAAGCAATTATTCGTTCAACTTTCTTTTTTTCTTTCGGCCTGCCGGGGGGTTTGAAGATCCAGACTGCTTTTTGGGACATGGTCCAGCTCGTCTAGCATTTTGGCCGTCTTTTGTTCACCTCCAATGCTTTGATGGTTCTGTGATGGATCATCAATCATTGGGGCGTTGTTCTTGACGTTTCGCTACCGGCTAGGCCAACCTGAGCGACCAGTCTCATCTCTTTGTCAACCTTGGTACTATCTCCAGTTCAACTCGTTATTTGAGTCAGATGCTATAGGTGAGTTGAGACAAGGATGCAGAGGACGCCCGGGATGATGAGCTTGACTTTTACAGTTATCCCTGTCTGAGTTACACACATATAATGCGGACACATTTGCTTTACCTCTCTGACTTTGGGCGTCCTCTTGCGCTGAATGTTTGGCTTTTCATGCTGGTTTCTTTTTGCTGACTTTGGTATTTATCGTTGCAGAGACTCTGACCGAACTGCCGTATCTCATGTATCGTGCAACGGTATGTACGGCCGGGTGAGTGTTGTTGATCTGTACTTGAAAAGATTGCGATGATGTATAAAACGTTGAATACAATGAATCAAATGGATATGTTGTCTTGAGTATTGATCTGAGCTGTGTCGTTGGATGTCACGCCCACACATGAACCTTGAGCAGTGCTCACTACGCAGTGACACCAAAGGATGGGGAATTGGCCGTGTGATCCATCCGCATGGGGGTGTAGCGCCGCAGCCTTCTTGGTTACGGAACCCATACACTGTTGCTTCCATATGCAGACAGCCCTGTGAGAGGCCAACGAGTTCACATCAGGCTGCAACGCCATAGACAGCCAGTGAGTTGGGAACTGGAGAACTCCAACGGCATTACGGAGCACTTGTCTTCATCTTTTGCAATCGCACATCAATTTAATGCCTTTACTGTTTCCAAAGTTGCATTTAATATATACATAGAGTTCCCCGCAAAAAGCTAGTAGGTGCCAAAATAGCGATCGCCAAAGTTTCCAAATCCTGGAACAACATGTCCTTGATCATCCAGCTCCTGGTCAACTTCCGCTGTCACTACCCTAACGCTAGGGAAGGCATTGGCTATCGTATGCAACCCGAGCGGCGCGGCAATAAGCGACAGAAAGATGATGCGATCCTGTGGAACATCGTGGTCCAAAATCACTCGAATTGCCATCAGCGCGGCAGCGCCTGGTTGAAATAAATGAAATGGTTAAAGTTGCAAATGAACTCGAAAGTTTGATGGAAGAAAAAATAACAATGGTCTCACCCGTGGCGATTTGGGCGTCACTGATCAATACATATCGCTGACTGATATCCGACGGCAATTTACAATAGTGTAATTGCGGCTCACCCGTGCTGGGATCTGTCTGTATGAGGATCTTGCCTATTGGAATGTCCTTGACCACGCTTCGCAACCCCCTTTCCATCGTTGCTCCTGAGCGAATGACTGACACCCCACAAACCTTTGAGAGAAAATACTGCAGGTTAGCTAGCCCGCTAGGTGAATGTACTGGGTTCATGACAGCACCTGCTCTTTCCATATGACACCCTTGTAGATGCTTCCGATGGGCGTTATGACATCCGCGTTACCAAACGGTAGTTCAGCAAGACCCCTATCACCAAGATTAAGTATCACATCTGCCGATCAATAGTCCAATGAGACTCTAACCGTTCAACGATGATTCTGGATAATCGCTCCGCATAAAAGATAAAGTCATGTCTGCTTGTCGTCCGGTCTCTTATAATGGTCAACAGCGCCTTGAGCTCATTTGTGGGCTTTAACGTGCGTAAAATCGACGGTAACTCCTTCTTGACATTGATGTTCGATAACGCGACCTTGAGGGAGAGTCCTCGATCATTTAGCTGTCTAGCCAAATGCTTTGTGATCACATCAATTGCAGCTGTTGCTAAGCGGTGAGCGGTTTTCTTGAAAGATATGGGGGATGTAATGCACATACCAACGTTGTCCAACCCACGAGGAATGATGACTATATCAATGACCAAAGGTCAGAATGATGATCCGCCAAAGAGAGGCTAGCCCAAAGCGAGATCTTACCATCAGCGTATTTCATGGTTGGGTATATATGCTCATCAAAAGCAGGTTTTACAAATTTCCGATATTGGTCTAAAACACCTCGGATATCTCGCCCTCGCTCTGCAATGTCTCGTTTCACTATGAGAGAGTGTCATGTCAGTTGCACTTTATTTCATGAGCAACATATCCCAAAGCTCATCATACGTCGTCTTGCGAGTCGAATGTCTGCATCGGTGTCTACAAAGATCTTGAGATCCATAAGGTCTCTAACTGATTTATCATACAGAGCAAAGATGCCCTCAAAGACCACCACATTGGCTCCGTAAACGGTTTGCGACTTGTCGAGGCTAGAATAAACGCATTAGTTCCAAACGACAAACATGAGTTCAAAGTGGAATCTCGGAGTCACCACGAACCGATTATGTGTCGCGAAATCATAGATCGGAACGTCGACTTTGATGCTATACATTAGAAGAGGATTATTACTCGCTATCACAGAAGCTTCCATGCAAAGAGGAACAATCCAACGATGTTTACCCTTTCTTTAGGTTGAGAAGCGTCTGATGCAGTGCTTCGTAGTCGAAAGCATCTGGGATAGAGCGAGTTCAACGGTTCATGGAACACATTCCACCTAACACAGTCTTCCAGATCAAACGTAGCGGCTTACTGGGATGATCAAAATCATATTCACTATAAGGGGAATATGAGATGGGGCGAATAAAGTTACGTTCAATCAATACATTTGATATAGTCAACGTAAACAAACATTATCAGCTACTCACTTTCTGTGTGCGGCAGCAACTTGTTCGGGAGTCAACGGTTTATAGAAAGAATCCATAGATAACAGAATGACCTAAATTCAACAACAGCACGCTGCATGAGAACTGCACACGTCGACGGGAACAATGTGGAAGCCGCATAGCCAGGAGGCGATTTCGGCATACTGACCCAAGGAACCCCCAGACTTCGAATAATCCTTGTAGACACGCTGGTTTTTCCGCTCGCACTTCCTCCCGCCATACCAATAATGAATGGTTCGACTGGCTTTCCGTCGATATTGTACCTGTTCACAAGAACTGGCAACTATAACCAAACAATAGACAATTCCAAACTCGAAGCAATGCATTCGTTACACACCATGGAAATCTGCCAGCCGAGAGGAAGGTGCTCATCTTCCTCTGAATGCTACGCGGAGCATTCTGAACGTTCGACATGTTTCAATGGTTGAAAAAGCACCAACTGGCGATCTAGAACAAAAAGTGTAGGTGCCCATATCTCATACGAGTTTCTTCGTCACGTGGTTACAAGGATGCATGGAGGAGGCTGGCATTTCCATTTGTTGAATTTAAGATGACTGCACAGGATGTTGAGCATTCCGTTGGTTTTATGCAAAGGAACTAATGCTTTAAAATATTGCTATGTTGGCATATCAGTAGTTGCAGCAATTGTAAAAAGGTAAAAACTATGTTGGGTGACCGATGCTTGTCCGAATTCCGATTGGCACAACTGTTCCCCACATCACCTTTGCTGGAGTTGCAGCCGTAATTTATGTCATTTCACACACAGTTCCTCCGCAAGAGGCCCTGCTACAACGAGTATACTCAAGTATGATTATAGTGCGCCGCAGCCTTGACTGGTCTGCAGCCTTCATCCCATATCCTCGTTGTGGGCCCAGTGTAAGAATTATTGGCATTCAATGGGGACCACTGTCATCCACGGTCCACTGCTGCTGCATGGTCTCGCGCTACAGACTATTCTGGTTCTTTGCATTCTGCAAAGGTGATGCACTCGCTCTCTTCTATCGCACTGAATGGATATTCAGCTTGGTTCATCCATCTTTGATATCTTTGAAGTCATTTCAATATGGGTCTTGAGTGACAGGGCCATTCCATCCGACTCGGCCAGTAATGTTTGCCTGTCCCCTGATGTCGACCGCCTATCCTAACGGCTGCTATTGTACAAGGATACTCGCTGGCGGATTTGTCCGACGCAGCCATGGAATCTTGTTCAACCATGGCAGATATTTCTCATGACTCATGTCATTACAAATGATGGTAGACCTTTATAAAGTACAAAGCTGCTGGATGCCTCCACAGAGATAGGTTTTGATTTATCAGAGTGTCAATATCACAAGCAAACAAACGGAACGAAACGAAAGATGAGCGGTTCCGCAGCAGAATGGTCCAGCATGGCTGACGAGTATGAGAAAGTAGCCACTGCGTTCACCATCCCGGTCGCTCAAGCCGCCTTGGCGCTACCCCTACTACCTACCGACAAACCTTTAAAGATCCTGGAGGTCGCATGCGGGTCCGGAGCATTGACTGGTTTGCTTGCTGAGCGGTTCGCAGGCAGCGGGACGCAAATCGTGGCAACGGACTTTGCGGAGGGCATGGTAAAGTTTATGCAAAAGAAGGCCTCCGAAAATGGCTGGAAGAATGTTACAGGACAGGTTATGGATGCTACGGTAATTTCCTTACAGATTCATTCATTGGGCGATAACATTTATCCTCAATGTGCATCCTTCTCTCGTCTTGCAGAAATTGAATGTTCCCGACAACTCTCTTGATGCCGTTTTCTGCATTTTTGGAATTATGCTCATGCCAGAGGGTTCCAAAGCCCTTGGCGAAATGCATCGCGTTCTCCATCGCAATGGCATTGCTTGTTATACGACATGGGGAGAAAAAGACTTTGATCCAATCATCCAAGAAGGTATCCGCCGTTCCAAGCAGCAAGTCCAGTATGACCAGCCACCCAGCGTGACGCGGACACCTGGCTGGAGCGACCTGGATTTCTGTATTGGAGAATTAGAAAAAACTGGGTTCTCAAAAGTGGAGGGGCAGAAGTATAGAGGAACCTGGGTAGTTAACGATCTAGACAAATTTCTCGGGCCTTTGGTAAGGAATCCTGGCATGAAGGGCTCGGTGCTCAAGGACTTTACTCCAGAGGAGCTTGAGCAGTTTCAGGCGCTACTCAAGCAACTCTTTCAGGAAAAGTATGGCGTAAAGGATATATACGAGTTTAATGTAGTGGCCAACATTGTTTTTGGACAAAAGTAATGCTTCACGCCTGTCATGTCATGAACGTCTTGCCGGATTGACTTGGATTTTGGGAATGTTGACCAGGGAGGTGACCTACCGGGATTTATGGATGGGCTTTTGGAAAGTGCAATGTACTCCATGTGGCGGTAATGCAATCCTTCACGGAGATGAAAGTGTTGTGGAGGCGTCTGCCTCCGCGGGGCTGCGTTCCGCCTGGGCTCTTTACCAGCACATGCAAATGTCGTCCATGTCGTATTGTCAGTGTTTACATGACGGTCGCCACTAAGTCATAATCAGATCGCCATATCCTATTGTTTGATGCTCCATGTCCACATAAGTTCTAGGGTTATTGTTTGCGATGGCCGTGGAAAGGACATTCCAATGTCATATAAGGTATCGAGTCGATAAATACCAAGTTCCAGGCAATAGATCCGAAAATAGTTTGTATGTACAACCTTTAGAGCCAAGACTGGAGCGCACTTTAGGTTGACTACTGTTTGGTGGGATTTTGGGCGTTAGCTGCGGAGGATTTCTATTTACTGGTTAACTTTAATTTTATGCGTAACAATGTTAAGCCTGCTTAATCCGGAGAGTTATGGCTGATCGGAACATGCATTGTCCATGTAGACAAAGGAGGCCGCCCTCCGGAACTTGCCCTGAAGAATATGACACATTTCGCCCATTGCTTGCATAAGGCCCAGTTCGAATCCAGAAACAATTGTATATTGCTGATCCGCATATGCATGCTTTGCGCCAATATCTTCATATAGTGCAAGCCGGGTATAAAAAGTGGCGGGCGCAAGATGCCCTCCCTCCGGTGTTTTCTGCCGTATAAGGTGCTAAACAGCGAAAAAGGCCTGCGACACAATCAATGTCAGCTACAGGCAGTGGCCACGAGAACTCCCAGGCGTCCGCCGTCTCCAAAGCGGAAGATATAACGGAGGGAAAATGGCAGTCCAGATTCATGAAGGGTTTGAAGCAAGGAAGGCTCCCCATCAGTGCATTGATTATCATGTTCATTGTACCACTCGCAACCGGTGTTGCCATTTTAGCTTGGGGTTTAACGCATAGCGCGGCTTTGGTATGCAATAATATGAAAGCGTCTCTAGCGTTTCCGAATGGCTGAACAACATCTCCCACAAGGCCTCCGCAGCAAAGCTTGCAAATTCCTTGCAGGGAGAGGTATTTGTTGTCTCAAGAACCGCAGGTACTTGACTGGTGACTGAACAAATCTGTAGATCCTCGGTCGAATTTCAGCAGATATCCTTAACCGCCTGCACGCCATGGAAAAATCAGTCGACGAACAGAAACGCAACTGGGCGCAAGGTCTATTCCAACTTGGCAATTATACAGGTGGCGATTATAGCGGGAAGGAGGATGCCATGATGAGGATGTTCAGTACCCTCATCCCGCATGCTGATTTGTACATGTCTCAGCACTTTACCACAATGCCCGATGGAGAGTTTTGGGGTATCAATAACTTTCTCAATGAGGACGGTACAAGAACGTTTCAACTAATGCGACAGTATGGGTTTGATTGGCATTTCTACGTTGGAAATGAGACCGATTACACAAACCGAACGACACCTTGGGAGGGGGGTGCATTGGACTTCAGCTGGGACAATAGAGCTAATCCTTGGGTTGCGGTACGATCTATTTGAATACTGATTGCACTCATGCTCACACTCGTTGATAAAAACTCTTCATACCAGCCGATTGATCAGACTCCTGAACCGGCCCGCTCTCAGCTATCTCTCTGGATTCCCCCTTACGTGCTTCCTGACTCGGCGGGCTTCGACGGATGGCTAACCTTCGCCAAGCCGATCTACAACCTAACCAAGGACTACATAGGGATTCAGGTAAGCATAAGCATACCTAATGTGTTAGTATCAGTATGGCTAATGATGACAAACGTTACGTCTATGCGAAGGGATCCGATATGTCCTTGTCGTGGTTTGAGGGGCCGTTGAGACGCTATGCTCAATACATCCCGTACAGATCGGCGATATACGTGTTTGGACTGTATCCCGGCAAAGACGAGATAGTTGGAGCCTCTACGATAGCGAGCCGAGAGCTCATAAAGAGCGCCGCGGAAGGCAACCCGGATCCAGCGCTCAACCGCCTTTTGACCATTCCCGAGCTTGCCGCAAATAGCTCTGTTTGGGAGCCTGTATCTGCCCTCTATAAATACCTTCTCGCAACGTCCGATGGTTCGCTCTACAAATTTGTTGGCGACTATCCCGGCACTTCCATTCAGCTAAAACTGTCTGACGGGCAATACATTGTTCAAGTCGAGCAAATACAAACATACAATTTGAACTGGGGCATCGTGCATATAGTCTCGCAAGACGACATCCTCGAAGAGCTGCACGCTAGCAATACCAAAACCATTGGAACAGTCATTGGGGTTGTCGGCGCGGGTTGCGCTGTCGGGATTCTTTTCACATATTTCTTGTCAAAAGCGCTGTATATGATCACACGAGATTTGGTTCTCCTATCCGACTTCAAATTTAAAGACGTACTCCAAAAGGATTTGGATAAAGAGACTGGAATGCGTCGACCACAGTATAGTCGAATCGCTGAGCTGTAAGTAGTGCGCCCTTACGCATCTCGTTTCTGTGAGCCCAAGTTAACAAACCTGTTCTGATCGTATGTGCAGATGGCAAATCCAGCGCGCGTTTCACAAGATGGTGGTTACGTTTGCCGATGCCGTTGCTCAAAATAAGCGGTTCAACGCTGCTGAACAACGCCGTACAATGTCCATGTCTTCTGCGCAGCCGGCGTCTCCCAGGAGTGAACTATGAGCGCGAGAGGGTAGCAGTTGTCTGCACGGGTTGAACCTTGGAATAACATTCCAGAGCAAATACATTACTCCCTTGTTCCTGGCGAGAGTTCTGATTGCATGAGATACTCTCACCAGCTTGTACTAAAACTGAAGCTTTCAAGCTTGTAGATTAAAAAGGAGACGTTTTGGTTTCCACTTTGTTTCGTAAGAAAAGCTTTATAGTCCGTTGTGGAAGAAGTTTCTTTGGACCATCTTTCAACATGTTTGATACTTGCTAGCAATCTAGCAGTCTAAAGGACCAATTGGCTGTCCTTGCAAGACATGGCGAAAGGTGCATCGTAGGTTAATTCCACGGTGCAGTTCATTTCCTTACTAAAGAAACCCGAACTCTCGCACACTATTTTGTCCTTCAAGTGTGGTTCAACACAAGTCCCATGGGAAGCATCGATTTTGCGATCGAGATTTTGTCCCGGTACGGTCCTGGCAATCATGTCCCTAGAGTCTCTAGATGAATCCCGTGTCTCGACGTCGACTTCCCGTCCAGATGGAGAGCCGACAAGTGGCATGCCGTAGCTTACGTCGTAGCGCCAGGACCATTATCGCTCCCGCTCGCAAGGATGGCACCTTTGCTCAAAGTAGAGCTTTTCGGATTTTGGAACTCGCTGACACTAACAAAATGGAAAGGATTCTACAACGACGGCTCCTATTGCCATTCTAGCTGATTCGCGAAATTCAATATTCGCGTTAGTTACGATAAAATGCTACAATGCTGGGGTAAAGGTAAAAGGGGAGTGTGATCGTTCTTCAGTGAAGCAATCATTGTGGTTCATAATTGATATACGCCTTCTCGAGTTGGACGGATCGGACTGCCTGTACTGCCAATGCTGGATGATAACATTCTTTGGGATAACTTTTGTTTGGCTAGGTTCATACGTTCCCCATATGCGGACGCGCTTGCCAGAGGTAGAGTAGATGAACTCTGCCATCTCAAATTAATGTAATCATATGCAAACTTTGGGCTGTATTCGTTTGCGCCTGTAAGCTCATCAATACCGATCTCATCATAAAACAAACAAGACAAGAGCTCCCCACCCAAATGAACTTCTGGTGTGGAACCAGGGAAGGATGGCCCTAATAGTAGAGATAATCGCTGGATGTGTCAAGTTTAGTAATTGAAAATGGTACTTTTCCCATTTGGTGATAACAAGCGAATGAGCCGGCTTCTCAATCTCTCTGGGAGCCTAGTCACATCGCGCGCAACGCACAATGCTGTTGAACTGCCTCGTATTCTTCTTTGCTAAAGACCTCATTCTTGCGCGGGACAAGAGGAACGAGTTCCTGATTGGACGGCAATAAAGAGACCTGCGAGTACTCGTCTTCCCAAGAACTGTTACGACCTCAAAGGGCAATAGTTGGACATCCTGCCTGATGCACCGCTGCTGTCGAGACTTTCAGTAATGACCACAAAAAGGTAAGTTTTCCGTCCTTCTTTTTCACCATGGCCCTTGATATCTCCTACCCACGTTGTCCCTTGGTTCTGCCATAGCGCCGTGAGTCGTTTTTTCGCAATCTCCCACTTGCCAAAAGATATGACATCATGATTGGAATGCATTCGATGTCACATTATGGCTTTTGTTATAACTACGTTATAATCTGCTTTTGCACAGTGTGAAGGCGGTTAACATCGATGATAAGGAGCATCTTGAGGTTATCAGGATATCTCCTACAGGCCCTTCCCCAAGGCGTTGGGCCTCGCGCGTTCACCTGCTTTTCCACCTGGTTCCCTCGCCTTCTTGAACTTCCATCCAGCTTTTTCACTTTAACGATTCCGCAGTCTCATCCCTTGCTTTTTTCTGCCCTCAGCCCTCTGTCACCCGTGTACATACAACCGTCAAGGGTATCTATCTCGACCAACACTGGTGAGCACACGCAAAGATCGCTATGCTTGACTTGCTTATGAACCCTGTGTTCTTTTGCAGCATCAACCCCATTTGCAAAGAAAATGGTCGCTCAGAGTAGCCAGAAGCCTCCTTTTCCAACGCAGAACGGCGCGGCGACGCAAGGACGTATAATTGTGGTCACCCACCATCTTCCGTGGACCTCTATCACCACAGCTGGTGTCAAGTCATCCCTTCGTCAGACGGGCGAACGACCGGCAAATGCAGCAAAGTTCACCGAGATATCTCCACGATCGAAATCTGGTAACTCCCCAAAGGAAAATGGGTGTAAACCTACGGTAGACACGGCTCCTGGGGGACGTTGGAAATTTCAGGAGCGCCGCGGTCATTCGGCAATATTCGCTGGAATAAACTCTCTCAAAGATACGGAGAAGTTGATTCACATTGGATGGACCGGAACCACGTATGATGATGAATCGTATCCATTGGAATCCAACAGCTTAACACCGGAGCTGCGACAAGCGTTGACAGACGAGCTTTGGGAAAGGAAAAGGTGTGTCCCCGTCATTTTAGACGACAAAAAGGCAGCCGGGCACTACGAAGGCTATTGTAAAACAGGTAGGATGAGAAAGCTGGTATTCTGCTGCCCATCAGCGACCTAACGTGTCCTTTTAGATTTGTGGCCTTTGTTCCACTACATGTTGTGGGATTTTGCCCTGGACGCGGCTGAGCATGATCCAATTTCATGGGTCGACTACCACGATGTGAACCAACAATTCGCCGATGCTATACTGAAAGTGTATCAACCAGGCGATCTGAGTAAGTGCGCAGAGATCACGTTCGTAGAGATTTGGAACTTATATTTTTGTGATCAGTATGGATCCACGACTATCACCTCTTGCTGGTGCCATCGATGGTACGGCAAGAATTGCCTGATGCTACTATTGGCTTTTTCCTGCATACTCCGTTCCCTAGTTCTGAACTGTTCCGATGTCTGCCAAGTGAGTTTTTCGTATGCTTGTTTTCCCGTGGTAGAGTGCTGTTGACAGATTGGTGGAATGTAGGACGAAAAGAGATTCTTCAGGGCGTGCTAGGATCTAGTATGATTGGCTTCCAAACATACTCCTATGCTAGGCACTTCCTTAGCAGCTGCACCCGAGTACTGGGACTAGAGTCCTCACCGAAAGGCGTGGATTACAAGGGTTCGTTAGTGGCTATCAACATCTTTCCTATTGGGATTGACGCTGTAAAACTCCAAGAGCGCAGGTATTGTCCTTGTTGATGAGTTGGATTTGCATGTGACAGCTAGTGACTGCGCTGGGCTCTTCAACAGGAAACAACAGAATGTCTTGGATAAGATGGCTGCTATAAAAGAACTATATTCTGGAAAAAAAATTATCATTGGACGTGATAAGCTCGATCACGTCAAAGGTGTCCAGCACAAACTCAACGCCTTTCAAAAGTTTCTTACCACCTTTCCCGAATGGCAGAACAAGGTTACCATCATTAAGTCTTTCTTGTATCGGCAATGGTCCCTAACTCCCCGGTGATTAGGTGGTGCTGATCCAGGTGACATCTCCTGCTGAACGGGAATCGCACAAACTGGAATCGAAGGTTTCTGAACTTGTGTCCCGCATCAATGGAAACTTTGGATCACTCGAATTTGCTCCTGTACATCATTACCACCAACACTTGGATCAGGATGATTACTACGCTCTTTTGAGCATTGCCGACCTTGGATTGATTACATCGGTTCGAGACGGGATGAACACGTCCTCCCACGAATTTGTCGTGTGCCAACAGGAGAACCGAAGTCCGCTGATCCTTAGCGAGTTCACCGGGACCGCAGGGTCTCTTAGTGCAGCAGCGCTCGTTAATCCTTGGGATTATCAGGTGAGATGAGTTTCATTACGCGGATGGGGCTTTGGACGTCCATCCTCACCTGGCTACCATAGGGGGTCGCAAACGCTATCAATGAAGGCTTACTGATGTCCCGAGAAGAAAAGGCTATCAAGCACCAGGTACATGATTTGCATGCCAGGCGAATGAAACTTAACTATTATGCCTAATCTTCGAGTTTTAGCAATTGTTTGATCACGTCACCAGTAATACCGCCGAATTCTGGGGACAATCCTTCATTAAAGAGCTGCGAAAAGCTGCCCAATCTCGCACAGCAACCAACCCAACTCCTGCCCTGGACTTTGCACTCATGCTGGATAGATACAGACAGGCATCAAAGCGCCTACTAATGTTTGACTACGATGTAAGTTATGTCCAGTCTCGCGCCCCCAAGATAGTATATGAACATCCAAATTGGCTGCTTATTTTGTAGGGCACATTGACTCCCATTACCAAAACACCGGGTGCCGCGCTCCCACCCCCTGAAATGTTGAAAGCCATGCAAATCCTGGCAAATGATCCTCGTAATGTGGTCTTTGTAATCTCTGGCCGCGATGACGATTGTCTAGATCGATGGCTGGGCGAAGTCAAAGGGCTTGGCTTGAGGTACGCTTCTTGTATTGGTAAATTTACCCCGTCCATGTGGATTTTAACATGACGTTAAGTGCCGAGCATGGTTGCTTTATCAAATATCCGGATCACAAAGGCACAGGAAAGTGGATCAATCTTTCAGAAGACGTGGACTTCTCATGGAAGAATGAAGTCACGGAAATTTTCAACTACTACACTGAGCGAACGCAAGGTATGACTGAGGATGTGCGCAGTCCATGATGTGACGATGATACTCATCATATGTCCAGGGTCTTTTGTTGAGCACAAACGATGCTCCATCACATGGCATTACCGTCTGGCAGATCCGGAATACGGGTATGAATTTGTCCTGTTTCTCTTGAGCTCGAGCTGTCACAGGCGCCGTCGACTAAGTACTTTTGTTCCAGACATTTCCAAGCCAACGAATGTCAAAACCACCTCGAAAATGCCATCTTGTCCAAGTTGCCGGTAGAAATCCTTATTGGCAAGAAAAATCTAGAGGTGCGTCTCCGATCGGGCTACAAATCCAATAGTGATGATTGACCGGATTTTGCAAAAGGTTCGGCCCGTGTCGATTAACAAGGGAGAGATTGTGAAGCGCCTTCTATCTCAAAACCCGGATGTAGAGTTTGTGTTTTGCGCTGGGGACGATAGGACCGACGAGGATATGTTCAAAATGGTGCGGAGGAGCGCCCTCCCTGACCACGTCCAGTGCAACTGCACGATAGGAAATGCCACGAAAAAGACGCACGCCCAGTGGCACGTTCCAGCGCCTGAAGATCTTATCCGCCTGATTGGCGAATTTGCAAAAGAGTCCACTGTACATAGTTCGTTGTAGACTTTTCTCCATTTCTGGTAAGGTCGCTTTCCGTATATTTTATCACGAAAAATGGTGTAGATGCGGCGTTGACACTGTGATAGGTAGATGACGGTTGTTTGGATTCTAGAGGCGAATCTTATATATTCATACCAATCTTGTTATAAATCTGAATATCAGAGAATTGTCATGTATATATTGTTTGGCTAGACATCCCATTCCGTCATCAGGCTAGTTGCTCGGAACAAAATTCGGTTAGAGATTTTGTCCCTCTAACAAGTAAGATATCGTCTCCGTGAACAAGATTGATCCTTCTATCTCCCAAAATCTTGGCGGTTTCAATCCACGCTTGCAGCGTCACCTCACTCCAATTAAGCTGCTTTCCGAGGTTTCGAATCCCCTGTTCACCAATGTACTCAACACTGACATCTCTCTTCAGAATCCTGGCAGCAGCATTGGCAACCTCTTGCGGAGCATACTCATCAGGCCCAACTACTTGCACGACTTTGATGCCCTTGTCCACTTGTTCTTTTACCATCCAGTCACCAATGACATGAGCAATGTCACTTGCTGCTACCATGGCCAGTTTGTCTCCCACGTTTGGAACTGTACTTGTTAGGATGTTTTGACCATCCTTGACAGCAGCCAACGAGAGAGCCCAGTTCTCCATAAAATAAGCGGCGCGAATAATGATGGTTTCGCACTCTAACTCTTTCTGGAGGATGCGCTCTATAATGTGGCAAGTCCGGAGGAATCCTGAACCGCTCGCTAGCTCGGCACCCAGCGTGCTGAGAAAAATGACTCTTTTAACGTTGCCTGCTGACCGCACTGCCTGGACAAAACTGTTGGCGGTCCTTCCTGCTTCGGTGAAAATGTCACGGGAAAAGTCTTCAGGATGTAAAAAGAAAACTGTGGAAGGAGAATCATGAGAGAACCCTGCCGAGAGATCACTTGGGTTGTTTATATCTGCAATGGAAGTTGTGCATCCTTCCTTTTCGAGACCCGGCGCCTTGCTGGCTGAATGGACAATGCAGTGAGTGCGGAGATTGTGAGACCGAAGGTAAGAGACAAGATGAGTGCCAACGTTGCCCGTGGAGCCTGTAACGATGTAAATCATTGTGATGGAGGATGTGAATGTAGAAACCCATTTCTGTCGAGGACACTAAAAAGCAGGACAGCGCCATTTGTGGGGAAGGTTTTGGAGCGCGGTTGATGACCTCACGCGTCAGAACAACTGTCGCCTGCATTTCACAGCAACAGATACCATTCCAACGATTTTATATTACAAAAGAAAAACATAAAGTGAAGACGACGACATTAAAATATGGGGACGACAACCATCACACGTTGCCATCCCCCAAACGGAATCGATGCACCCGGGCTCCCTAGCCATCTAACCAAAGCTCCAACCCATTCATCCTCTATGGTGCAAGATATGAATTGGCAAATTTGTGATGTGGCTCATCAATTTGAATGGCTCCAAGCTCCATCTAAAATGAGAGAAAAAATCATCGATGAGAGATTGACACCTTGAAAACCGCCGCCGAGAAAGTCCAGCTTACCTCGTGCAAAGCTTTGCCAGCGGGGACCATAGGGTATACATGCTCATGCTTGCAAACAATGGCGTCCAGGATAACAGGCTCATCCGTCTCCAGAAACTCTTGCATCGCATTTGGTAGCTCGTCCATAGTACGTGCACGAATACCCTTGCAGCCCATAGACTCAGCAAACTTGACAAAGTCAGGGTTACGCATCACAGTGCCCGAGTATCGCTTGTCGTAGAAGAGATCTTGCCATTGTTTTACCTTTATACAAGAAAATGACGGACATTAATTATATGTCGACTTTGAGGATGAAACGGCATCGTGCTCTGATCCTTACCATTCCCTGGAAGTCATTGTTCAGGATCAAGACCTTGACACCAATGTTAAACTGCCTTGCCGTCATCATTTCCATTCCCGTCATTGAGAAGGAAGCATCGCCATCAATATCCACGACAATTTTTTCCGGGAATGCCACTTTGGCACCAATGGCAGAGGGGAGACCGAAGCCCATAGTTCCGAGACCACCGGACGTTACAAATGTACGTGGTGATCTCCAGCGGTAGTACTGGGCGGCCCACATTTGGTGTTGACCGACGCCAGTAGTGATAATCACATTTTCCTTCATGTGGGCCACCTGTCGATTCAGCTCCTCGATAACAGCTTGTGGTTTCATAGCGGTGCCAGGGACTGATGGAGTATACGAGAATGGGTATTTTCTCTTCCATGTCGCCAATTGATCGAACCACGCGTCCCGCTGTCGGTGTTTAACGTGGTCCAAAAGACGGCGCACATTCGCCGACACGTCACCTTCAATCGCCAAGGTAGCTTCCACCACTTTATTGATGTTTTTGGGCATGATCTCAAAGTGGTAAATACCCCCCTTTCCTTTCAAAGCTGCCTGTTTTGCCGCAGGGGCAAATTCTGGTGCGAAGAGTTGATTTAGTACAAGTGGGGTTGCATCACGAATGAAGCACCACTTACTTTTCAGATTTCCGGTGACACGATCATCGAATCTGGCACCAAGAGCAACGATAACGTCGGCTGTTTGCATCGCGAGATTGGCATACGCTGCACCGTGCATTCCAAGCATGTGCAAACTCCGTGGGTCCTCTTCATCAAATGCTCCCAATCCTTGAAGCGTAGTAGTGACAGGTACGTTTGCCTTCTCCACCAACTCGCGCAAAATTTTCGGGCCCTCTGGTGTAGCAAGCATGCCCTGCCCCACATACAAGAGAGGCTTCTCGGCACGGTTGAGAGCCTTGGCAACAGCGGCAATGTTTTCGAGGGTAACAGGAGAAGGCTCTGAACTAGCCGTCAAGGGTTTTCGCCCAGGAATAGACGGGCCGAAGCCGCCAACGATAGGCTTCGTAAGTGTGCCAGCAGTCACGTCCTTGGGCAAGTCCACCAAGACCGGTCCCGGACGACCGGACGTTGCGATCTCGAATGCTTCATTGATACGGCGTGGCAGTTCAGCAATGTCCTTCACCATTACATTCCATTTTGTACAAGATCTGCTGATACCGACAACGTCAGCCTCCTGGAAGGCGTCAGTCCCAATGGCTGAGGTTGGGACCTGCCCACAGAATACCACCATAGGAGTGCCGTCTGAGAGAGCGTCCTGCATAGGTGTGACAACGTTTGTGGCCCCCGGTCCCGATGTCACCAGAACAACACCTGGCTTTCCGCTGATTGCATGGAAGGAACATTGTTACGACTGCAGGAGATATCCAATGCATCTCTCATTCTACTTACGTTACACGAGCATATCCCTCGGCCATGTGTCCAGCTCCTTGTTCATGTCTTGGCAGGACAAAATCAAAGTAATCGCTGTTATAAATGGCATCATATACAGGCAGGATTGCTCCACCCGGGTAACCGAAGACAGTTTTCACTCCTTGTCTCAGCATCATCTCGTGGAAGATCTCGCCACCCGTCATGCCAACAAAAGTGGAGTCGACCACAGGGTCATTTCTTGCCGCCGTTTGGGCAGGTGCTGCTCTTGTCGGGGATGGGATGGACGTTTGCTGTTTCTTCAATGGCTGGAGGGGCTCAGGGCTTGCCTTTTGCGTTTGAGCTGTGAAAGCTGTTGCCTCGCTTTGACGACGGCTTAAAGTTCGATAGACATTGAGCACCATCCACTTTCACAAAAACAGACCTGAACAAAGAACATACCTGGCCACAGAGCCTTGGAATCGCCGCTGCTTGGAAGCGCAAACAGCCGAGTTTGTCGCATAGCGTGAGCACCGACGTGTCGCTGTGGAGAACATGCTGGTGCAGAGGGATACGGGGCGGATGCAAATGGAGGAACCTTCTTTGTACACAATCGTCTCTCCTCCCAAACGATGGGTTAAAGTGATCTGATTGGCAAGAAAACGGCTTGAAAGAAACAAGTCGACGATGAAAATCAATTCTGAGATTTCATTTCTCGTTTTGAACGCGGCACAGCACTTGAAAACCATCAGAACCAATCAATTGCGTCCTGATTCGAGTGCGTCATCTCTTGAGCCTTTTCTTGTTTGTTCATCATCTGCAAAATCATTTCGTATTGTTTAGAACAAAAGCAGATATGTCGACGAACCAGACCACCATTGTCTTGCTTCCGGGGGACGGAATAGGACCCGAAATTGTTGCGGAAGCGCGAAGGGTCTTGGAGATTGTTGCTGAACTTCGCGGGAAGGCGACCGGTTTGTCATTCCAGTTCAAAGAGGAACTCATTGGAGGAAGCGCCATTGATGCAACAGGTGAGGGAGGACTGGATCATGTGGGATCTTTTGCGCTGACAGAGAACATCGTGATTGTTGAAATGACCGCATTTCCTTTGTGTCTCGTAGGCTCACCCCTGCCAGATCAGACGCTGGCTTCCTGTAAGGCCGCTTCTGCGGTTCTTTTGGGTGCTGTAGGAGGTCCTCAATGGCCGCGCCCCGCCACTGCAGAAAATCCCAACCCACCGCGGCCCGAAGCCGGTCTGTTAAAGTTGCGAAAAGAGCTTGACCTTTACGCAAACATTCGACCTTGCATCTTCCCTGGAAAATCGCTGCTCAAGCATTCGCCTTTAAAAGAGGAAGTGGTCCAAGGCTGCAACTTTACCGTTGTCAGAGAGTTGACCGGTGGAATCTATTTCGGACGAAGACAAGAGGAGACTGACGGTGTTGGTAGGTGACCCAGCAAGTGCCCTATAATGCTGCAGTCCCTGATCGCACATACTCAACAGCATGGGACACGATGGAATACTCTGTGGCGGAAATTCAGCGTATCACCCGCATTGCAGCTTCTCTTTCCCTCCTCCATGATCCGCCACTCCCTATTACCTCCATTGACAAAGCAAATGTCCTGGCCACCTCCCGTCTATGGCGTAAGGTGGTGACGGAAACTTTGTCCAAGGAATACCCAACCATTCCCCTTTCTCACAACCTTGTGGACTCTGCGGCGATGCTTCTCGTGAAAGACCCACGAAAGTTGAATGGTGTTGTCTTGACAGAAAATATGTTTGGTGACATTTTGTCAGATGAAGCTAGTGTCATTCCTGGAAGTTTGGGCTTGTTGCCAAGTGCGTCCTTGAGTGGTTGGGGTAACAAGAGCGTAGGTCTCTACGAGCCGATCCACGGAAGTGCCCCAGATATTGCCGGACTTGGTGTGTGCGCTATTTCACTGATTCATTCAGCGGTTTGATCGCAAATGAAATAACCAATTGCTCTTTCTTTGATAGGTATTGCGAATCCCATTGGCACGATCCTCTCGGCTGCTCTCCTCCTGCAATATTCTCTAGGTTTGGACAGGGAAGCACAAGCGATCGAAGCTGCAGTTGCCAGAGTGCTGGACGAGAGTGGATTGCGGACGAAAGACCTTGGCGGGAATGTAGGCACACGGGAAATGGGAGATGCAGTTGCTGCAGCATTAAGGGAAGAATTAGAGAAGCTTAACCGCGCGTAAAGGATCCCTACAAGTGTAAAACCATTCCCCGATATTAAGCTATCACTGTCTCTTTACTTCACGGCGTAAGCAAAATATACACTATTATTCACATGCAAGTTGAATCTACCATACATTTCTCTCCTGATGTACCCCTAGAAACAGTAGAGCCCTAGATTAGACTTTCCTTCTCTTGCTGGGCAGGGGTTGGGTCTGTTGCTTTGGCGGTATCGCTTTTCGAAAGTGGCACGTCCACTTCGGAGGATCCATCAGAGACTGCGGTATTTGCGACCTCCGTGGTTGGCGGCGATACCGCCTCCCCTGCTGTGCCTGGGATTGAATATGGTATTGTTCCACTGTTTGATCCATCAGAGGTCGGTTTAGGGGACAATGATTCCTTGGTTGTACTGGCATCTTCTTGACCTGCGTCCATAAGATCTCCGGTACCGCCTGCCGGGACCTCTTCTCGTCGCTTTCGTTCCTCCTCCATACTGGACAAACTGAGGGCCATCGCCAACTGTAGCTCAAAATCTTCCATTTCCGCCTCCTGCTGTCGCGACAGCTCACCCGTGGGTCTTGTAGGAGGTGAAGGGGTAGCACGGGGTTCTTCGCCAAGTCCCGGAACAGGACTTAGTGGAGAAACCGTCGGTGACGCTTCCATCATCCACTGTTCATTTGCGGTCTGTGGCCCAGTCGTTTTTATGTTTCCAGGATAGGAATTTACGTTCTGCCCCGATTGTTGCCTCGGCGGCAATGGCGGTCTATTCTTTCCCGTCTGCCCGTCATTTTCTTCTTCATCGCTGTCCGCCATCACCTGATTGACGAATCCGTCCACTTTTCCTGCTGCCTGCTCACCAAATATCTTCGCCTCCCTGATTAACGTATTAAACCACCCTGATGTCGATGTGTATACTTTGGAAGCTAGTTGCGAAACCTGTGGAGTCGAGTCTGACCGTTGCATGGATGAGCCTTCGCCTGGTCGCGGAGGAAGGTCCTTTGCCACCCCGTATTTCACCTTTTCTTCATCACTCAATGTCAAGCTCTTTGGAGACATGTTGTAAATGAAACTGACAGCGCTCATCATATTCGTCAAGCAAAACTGATTCGGCCCTTTCTCGAGCTCGGTCTGATTCCGAAACCGCATGATGTACTTGATGTTGCCGATCAGGTTGGGGGGATTGGCGCGAACAATTGTCAAAATGAGGGTGGGAAGAAGATGGTCGTTTCCGGCATTCTCGTCCGATGCTTTGCGGATAAGATCTGCAACGATTTGCGTAGTGTTATGTAGAATCACAAGTTTGTCACGGGGAGCGCGAAACCCATTCAAGCGAAGAAGCTCAGCTTGGGCAACCTCCAGGTTGTGATGAAAGGAAAATGGAAGATCCAAGTGATGTTCCTAAGGTTGATATCAATATGGATGTTCCACAATGAATCATGACAGTAGATTTGACACTTACTTGGAGCCACTGGAACGTCTCAATCTTCCGTTGTAAATGAAGTCCCATTTTCACGTCATCAGTACCCGGTGCCCCAAACACTTGATCATAAATGTTCATCATCACGAGCTGTAGAGTTACGGTTATATAATCGCACTTGAACGCTGACGGATGACACTCCTATTACCTTTTCCCACCCTTCCCGGATGTTCTCCAACTCAGCATCTTCTGCAGCCTCTGCGAATAGCTCGTTCTATCCATATTGCCAGTGTCAGAACGCGCTCAACCATTAGGGCGTTTCGGGTGACAGCCTATAACAGCTCACGAACCTGCAAAGATTCGCCATATATAAAGTGTAAAAAGCTGGCCACCAGCTTTCGTTGCTGCATTATGGGGCGGCGTTCCGAGTTGAATCGTGCCAAAAACCTAATAGTCACCTGTTTTCAGCACTGCGTGCCTGAGTACGACATCCTTGGTAAGAAATACCCTCGAAAATGGTTCATTAGCGGCGACGCTTCCTTTTGTCGCAGCTGGTTCAGGAAATGCTCGTAGTCAACCATTCCGCCTCCTCGTTGTCTTCAAAATCGCAAGTGGTTCTTTATCCTCAAAAGTATACGATAATTTCAATAAAAGTATGCAAAAGATGAAATGGGCTTCGTTCAGCTTTGGGGCCTCGCATGCCACACCGTGTCATGTCATGTGCATTAGCATGCACTCGAACCGAGTCAAATCGGTGCTTACGCGAGAGCCGATCAACCTCTCGTTCCCAACCATCTTTGACCACCACCGTTTCTTCTTTATCCATGAACGCGGGAAGACGTCGACCATGGGCCCACACGGTGGGTGAAGATGCTGTGCTTGAGCATATCTTCAAGAAGTTGTCGACTTCTGCTACGGAAAGTGAACCCGAGTCCTCCGCGTCCGATGCTTTGCCAGAAGCTTCTCCGCTTTCTTGGCGATCTAGACGCCATGACGTGCAGCTTCCGCAGCCTCCCAAGCCGCCATTGCCCTGGTGGAACCTGTTAATGGATGACGCTTACATGTGCCGAGAAATGGTCATTACACACTGTATCGAGCAAAAGTTTGTTGGGTTATGGGTGTCCATCAGGAACCTTGAAGAGTTAGCGGAAGCGCCTAGTTTGGAGGACCCCGACCTTGCGATGCCGCCTTCGTCGTCTCAAGCCGCATATTTCAGCAAAAGAATTATCAGGAACCCGGAAGATACGCCCGATACGGAAAACGACGACCGCGTGTCTCGACGACTCTGCGCAAAATGGTCACTCCCTAACCCTACGGCCACAGTGCCTGAGCTTAACAACAGGCAATCGACAGTACCAGAAGCAGACTACAGGAACAAGCGCGCTCAAAATTCCTTTGACCATCAAGAAACTCCTTCTTCGACTCCCGGCCGTTATATGATTGATTCACCTGAAATCGCGACTGCGTCTATGCGTGACGCGACCAATAGACGCGCATCATTCTCGACCCCTTCATTTGAATCAACAGATGATACAGATGAAGTCCTAATATCCGTTGAGCGGTCAGCGGAACGACCAGGTGGACGTTACAAGAATGCGATGAAAGCGTCTCAACAACCAAACCATTTGAGTGCTCATCCCAAGGAAAAACCACAGAATCTCCTTCAGCAACGCGTTGAAGAGCTACCGAGGCTCCCTATCACCTCAACAGATACAGTTGCGCCCAGAAATGCAGAGGTAGCTGCCGTCTTTGTCCAAATCAGGCCAGAGCAGGCGCCTGAGCAAGTAGGTCTAGGAATGGGTCCATGTGAAGGCGCTGCGGAACTCATGGCGTGGATGGTTGCTGGAAAGAATCTTGAAGAAGCCTTTGAGAAATGGTGTGGAAAGTTTATTACTCTATATCACCGAAAAAAGAAAGGTTCTCATTCGCCTGTTGGAACAAAGATTGCCATGGGCTGGTGATTGAACAGATGTGAGTCGTGAAGGCAGCAGGTATGCGGTCTTGTCAATTGGACTTAAGGGGCAAGATGAGCGGACTCCCTTTGCATTAGTGTCGGGCTTCCAGGAGAGTCCTGGCGATACATATGCTACATCTGTTGGTTTGTGTTTTTTTATAGTTGCAAAGGACTCTGGTTGACATCACTGTGGGTACGATGAAACCGAGCCTGATTGTAATGTGCCATTGAGATAACGAGTCCAAGCTGAACAATAGACAAAAATGGTTCCTAAAGGCTTGCCATGCGAAGTCGAAAACCTAATGCTTCCTCAGGATTAAAATCCGGATCTATTCGTCTATGCCAGTCCACACGGGTAGTTCCAAGCATATTTAAGCGAAATAACTATCGTAATCAAATTCTATTCCCGTGTTCTACCACACGCTTCGCATATCCATGCAGTGTAAGAGTGCCTTGATCGTACCTTATTCTGGTCAAGGTTCCTGAATATCGCTTCCATGTCGTCAGATAAGCGGTCCAGCGTCCGCTTGAAATCGGCATCGCCCTGGGTTATCGCGCGATACGATGCAAGTTGTTGCGTAAATGCTACCATAATTACCGAGAGAACAAAGTGGTCGACACTTTGACGCGAGGAACATGAGTCTTCGATGTGCGTCTTGCTTGTGTCCAGTATATTGCTGAGCACGTCAATACGGTCGCGAATGTCATCCGGTGTTAAGGAATGGATAGCCGTATCTCGCAATGAAATAAGGCGTTGCGCTACATCGTGAAGTGGGTGGTCCTGGCCTTCGACGAATTTGCGCCCACCGGCCCTCTTCATTAAGGGAGCTGGAACAAACCAACCGCGGCAACCATCACGGCGACATAACAGCTTGTCTAATCCAGTGTCAACAACCTGGTCAGGTTTGTCGCGTTCCGCTGCACATCGCTGGCAATCGCATTTGAAGAAAAACAATTGCTCCAGATTTTGCCGACGCGATATCCCAGTTGTTCCAGCTTCACCGTCCAACGCCACGTACGAGATAAGCGCCTCGTCGCCTTTTTGCAGGGTTCTAGTCGCGTAGAATACCATTTCAGCACAATCTGCTGCATCAAGGCCGCCGCGCTCTGGAGGTATAGCTGCATGTCGCGTCACATGTCCAATATTTGGCACACAGGAATGATTGAAGAATACTGCCAATGGATATAATGCCAACGCGTAACCTTGTCGGGGAAAGCGATGGCCCTTGTAGGAAAACGTGTACAGACCAAATGAATTACACTCTTCTTTGAGGATAAGGTCAAGGAGGGATGCTTCTAATGGGGGCAGTGGGTCAATATATGAGAGCAGATCTGACGGAGCTGGGGCAGGTAATAACGTATGCTCAAATGAATCAGGAAGTTTAGCGGCAGGAATCAGATACGATCGGACAAAACGTGCAAGTGAGCGAGCAACGGAAATGAAATGCGGCATCTTGTCGGGGGGAAATAGATGAGAATTTGAACATAGTTCCCATACGTCGGCGAACGTGCCCGTCGATGGTTTGTCGATGGGTGAGCTAGTTGATGGAGGCGACGGTACTTGGTTCATTCCCGCTTGCACCTCTCTTGTCCGTTTCGTCAATACACGCATGAGGAGCCACATGTAGTCTAGGGTGTAACTATCGAATTCCTCTCGATTGGGTACCGAGACTTCCTCCCCACTGCCTAGATCATTCACTCGGGGAGCTGGCATCCCTAGCATAAGATCCTTCATAAATGTGCACTCGACCGCGTGAAATGTGCCCCAGTCTGCCTCTGCACATCTTGAAGAACAATAAAAGGCTTGCTGGCATTCTGCACACGATACCTCCAATTCCTTTGACCCATGAGCAAGGCGCAAACAGTAGGCGCAGACATGCCGTCGCGATCCGCAATCCGGGATTGCAGCGTAAGGTTTTGTGCGGAGAACGACTGAACCAGGAGGGACAGTTCGCGTGGCGATGAAACTTCGGCCTTTGTGATCTTGAACGGCGACGGTGAGCGGCGACATTGTTTTCCTCGACCAGAATACAAAGTCGCACTGGATCAGGATGTCCCAAAATACGTGACAAGCAACACAGTCTAACGTGAACGTAAACGGGGCAGACCTAGACGAGGTGATGAGCGAAATCTGTGGGGTGTATTAGCTTCTGTGTTCAGACTCGACGTCGACTTTAAAGACAAAACCATCACACTTTGATGCCAAGTTCCATAAATTCCAAGGACGCGTCACTCATCGACAGGAGTTGAAAGCAACCAAATATCGAACAATCGAAGCATTCCAATAAAAGAAGAATGAACAGTAACGAGGAATGAAATTTCTTATGCGCAAAACGATGTGATGTGTGGACATATCCACAAATATTTAACAAGACTATTGCATAGTTTACATTGGAGCTCATCCACCAAAGCGCTCCAATCTTTTCCGCCTAATGTTCTCGGGGTCCAGGGATTCCGAAGCAGCGGCTTTAACAAAACAAAACTCTAAAAATGGCGCCCAGGCGCAGCAACAAGAGTATAATAGTTGCACCTACCTGATTCCTGCAAGCTTGCTTGAAGGGCCTCATTCATGAGTCTCTCCTCATCTTCTTTCAAACTCTCGTCTATGGCTCGCTTTAATGTCTTCGAGTCTACACCACCCTCCAATAAGCTCTGCTCTAAAGCCCGCTTGAGGTCCTCGTCTTCAGGATTCCCTGTAGGTATATGTGTAGGCCCATCCATTGGGCCAACTTCTTCACCCAGACTCATAGCGATGGCCCGCGCCAGGTCATCATCCCCACCAGCAGAAGATCCGACGCCTGTGCCTGTCACTTGCAGACTGCTCTCTGGCTGAGACCGGCCCCCCTTTGTATTGCCCTTGGGAATTTGTGACGGTGCTGGAACTGGATCGCTAGCAGCGTACAGATCGGCTTCCGACTGCGGAATTGGACCATTCACCACAAAGATGGAGTACCCTTCGTTTTCCAGCTGTGCTAGTAGAAGGCCCTACGAAAAAATATTATAGACGTTGTTCATCAAAATGCAGAGCGCTTGACACAACTTACAAGGTACGTTTCAGACACGTATTCGGGACCGTCGAACACAGAGTTCAGGTTATACCATCTATAAAGTGAAAGTAGAGTTCAGTCGAGTCGATGGACTATCACACGCCATACATTAAAGTGCGGCGCAAATGATACCTCTTTGGCGATCCACCAAATCGGCGCAAAGTAAACCAATGCTCCTGCAAATTACATATAAATGCATTCTCGTTCCTGTTCCGGCATCAGCAGCAGCAGGAGAGCAGAGTAAGGCGAGATGATCGTGGATATGGAGGGATTGCACTTACGTCGGATCTGTTCGGGCGGCAGTGGCCTGTTGTGACCCAATCGCGGTAATATCCAGATTCCAGACCCGTAATGCATTAGATATAACCTGAACCGAAAAAAAGCCTGGCGATAGGACAATGATCTTAATATCTGTGTGCTTTTGGAAGGTATGAAGAAGGTATGCTTACCGCTATCATCATAGTTTGCTGACCCTTCCTTCAAAAATCGCTGATATTCTTCAGACTCTACACCTCCAACGTTTCCCTCCGCCATCGCCTGGGGGGTTTTTTTTTCATCACTATATTATGCTTCCCTCCGACGTGTACTAACTCTAGAATTCTCGTACCGTCAGTTCCTGGGCATCCAGCTGCCTGGCAAGATCAGCCAGATCTACCGCGGTAAAGTAAGACCCTTGCAAGAGTGCATTCAATGCATGTTGAGCACATAGCTGCCCTTCTTGCTTTGTGAAGGGTTGGAAGGTCATCTGTCAATTCATTGCCTAGAAAAGAAACGCGCTAGATGGTCTACCTTTTCGTGAAAGCTAATAGTTGTTGACGTTCAAAGAGGAATAGGAGTTGGAATGAATGACAAGCTGAGTCTATCTAGCTGGGCTTACATATACGGATACAAGTCCATGGTAGAGTTTGGATGATGCGATCGTAGGTGATGACAGTCAACTAGGGTGTCGCTAGCTTCCCGTAAAACGCACGGTGACTTGTCATTTTACCACCGACCACGTAAGCAATCCGGATGACGGGTCTTTTGGTGGTCTATTCCCGATATAAACGAGCCTACTATTACTCTACTTACAAAACACAACTATGAGAAATCTATAAATCCTATATCCAAGATATTAGATATGGTATCATCCATACAAGTCCAACCAGTCAAGTTCATCCATCTCGCTATCTGGTGCATTAGATCCCGATGATGATTCTGAGCTGGATTTGGCATCCACCTCTTGGATATGCCACGTTCGACGTTGATGACTCTGTTCGCGTTTATTCCTCACCATAAGCTCATATGCGCCGTCTCCGTCTCTACTAGAGGACGGATCAATGTCCACGGCGATAGCATCCCTAAGAGCACTATGAGAAGCACTAGAGTTTGGCGGAAGGTCAGGTGCAGGCTCTGTATCCAACACTTCCACGTTCCCCCAAATCTCTTCATCCTCCCACCAGTCATCATCATCATCATAATGCTCGTCTTCTGCCGAAGCTACAACAAATGTGCCAGGGCTACGGCGGGGCCGGATATGTAGGATGGGTTTGGGGGCGCTTGTTCCAGAAAAGGAGAACCACGATCTTCGATGCGATGATGACGGACGACTTTGTGACACAGCGTCTGTGCTTTCGAGTACGGGTGGGGACGTGGCGACGGTGGCGATTGAGTACCGTTGGTGTTGTGGAGGTTGCGGGACGACCACAGTGGAGGGAAGAGGTTCATCAGGTGGTGGAGGAAGGAAGGACACGCGTTGGCTTGAATAGTTCCGCTTGCCTTGAGCATGGTGCGATCCGTCATCGGAGGGTCTCGACAGTATGTTGGAAGGTAGGGCGGGTATGCTTGGTATCCTTCCACCCTCGTCCTTGCCAAATTCCGACGCGGTACTCCATCCCGTGGCAAACGATCGTGCTGAATAAACTGACATTCTGTTCCCAATGAACATTCTTGACCTTCTCTTTTTCGATGTTACCGCGCCGCTCGACGTTGTTCGTAACCTTGGTCTCCGGCTGTGAACGTGGGCCGTTGTTGTACGCTTTTTGAGAAAGTGACCAGAAACAACCGAGAACAGTGTAATGCCCAAAGTCATTCCAAGTACAATGAAAGCAAAGAGCAGGCCTGCGTACGTAGTGATTTCATGGCGAAAGACGTCAAAGTCTGGTCCAAGCTTCATGCTTTCGGCTATGGCATGTTTAACGTCGTCTGTAATGTTGGGCACATCGCGGCGGATCAAGTGGAACGCATGAGGCAATGTTGACATGATTTCTTTGTGGCTGCTGCTGCCTTTAACACTTTAAAATCGTTGATGCAAAAGTCATGGTTTCCTTTCTTCCATCAATCTGCTTTCCCCCCCAAACCTCCCATGCCCTTTTTATTTCAAACACCTTCTTCTTGGCCAGCGCACAAAGGCGTGTCTGTAAGGTTTGTCAACGCGTGGCGATAAATTGTATCCAATTGTATCCATACATTTTATGCATTCAAATCACATTAACCCAAGCGATCGATGGACGGGAAGCCAGTTGACAGCACACTCTTTTTTTTTGTTTGAAAATATACGGCATTTTGACAATGCTGTGTAAGTACTTACGTGGTCATTGCTTGAATATCCCCACAAGAATGTTTACCATCCAACGCACATACAATGATTAGGAATCGTACTAGTATAGAGTCCCAAATGGAGTCGACCTTTGAGTTTAAATGGGTTTGAGTGCTGGATCCCTTGAAATTTGGGTGAACCACTCGAGCAGCTGGGGCCTCGAAACGTATCCCGCAGTCAAAAGGTGTAAGGGTCGTTCGGAGGGGAGACAGATCGGGCTTGGAACATTCGAGGAGTGAAATTGCACACTCGGACTAGAAAAAGAACACTTGTTCCCCAAAAAGGGCGGGGTTCCAAAAAAAAAGAAATGTACATAGTGTTTACAGAAAGTCCGATCATTTTGGATTAAGAGGCTTAAAGAAAGCAGTGATGGAAGGTGCTGAAGACTTGTTTATTCCTTTCGCACTGCTTTTCTGCACCTTTGGCGTGGGGCTTGTTGGACCAACGGATGCATCATTCGCGTGCCCGTGACGTCGCTTTGACGCTGGGGAACAATTTGCATCCGTACTCGAGGACTTGCTTCCTTCCACGCAGTCGTCGGCATCATCATGTTTTCGCTTCGCAGCTGTTGACACTGCATCAGCCTCTTCTTGACTGAGCTTCAAAGCAACTTTTAGATCCCGCTCAAATTGCGCTTCTTCCTTGGCCATATCGTTTTTAGTCTGCTTTCTGGGTGACTCTATTTCTCGCTGACTTGATTGCAGAGCTGCTCGCAACTGCTCTTCATATTCATCATCCTCTGTCTTGATCTCCACACGCTCCGTTTTGGGTTGTGATGAGGTTACATCCAGTGAATCCTGTGATGACGCTCGCTTCGTGTCAACTGTTTTTTCTTCAAATTTTTCATGTGATGCCTTTTTGAAGAATCCCAAGAGAGCCTTTTTGGAAGCAGACTCGTCCTGTATTACAATCGGCTTGATGCATTCAATTGAATCATTTCCTACTTTCCCTACAAATGACGAAACGGGATGCCTGACGATAGAGCGATATTAATAATGGTGGACCAAACCCTGCTATCCAAAGTTCATTGTTCCTACCATTTCAAACCATCTTCCGTCGGTCTCATAAGTCTAGAAACTTCTTCAGTAAAGCGTAGCTTCGGATCCAGCCACATATCGATCTCTTCTTCCGACTTTAAAATCACCGGCATCCGTTCGTGTAAGAAGGACAATGCTTTGCTAGCATTCGTCGTGATGATGGTGTAGCTCCACACATCCTGTCCCTCAATCACCGCATGATCCCACAGACCAGCAAAGCACATGAGCCGTCCCGGCTCTTCCCATTGGACCATATACGGTTGCTTCTCCTTTTTGCCTTTTTTTTGCCATTCATAAAACCCTTCCGCGATGACAACGCAGCGCTTGACGTGCTTGAGACCGCTCCACATGGATTTAGCTTCTTTAATTTTGTCGTCGCGAGCATTAATCGTCCGCATTGTGAATGTGTAGTCGGGCATTGTCTTGTTCCAAGAAGGTATCAATCCCCACTTCTATCGAGTTGGTGAGAGGGTCAAACAATGCGATTTGAGAGTGTGGCATTCTCGTGGGACATGAATCGCGCTAACCATGCATTGTAACAATCTCTCGCCTTGATGGGCGTCCTTGTCTCTACGAATGACAGGTTGATACCGTGTTGGAGCAACTTGCAAACAAGGCTATAGGTTAGATAAAGTGGTGATCTTTGCCAACTGATTTCCCATATACCATTGTAAGACGGGCGATATAATTCTTTGTCTCTCCACTTTGAAATTCCTGTCCTGTTTTGCACTTGCTGAGGATCTAACGCTAAAGCAGTTCGTCCGCACATTTGGAAATGGTGAAGGTTCAGATACATGCAGCTCACTGACTCATCACTCCGAGATTTGCGGTCACGTGTGTCATTGGCTGAAGGCCTCTGCAGGCCGTCCACCAAGTTGCGCAAACCACGTCCTACACCTATGCGCTTCAAGCTCTTGTCCGTTATAGATATATTAATGCTTCTGTACAGGTGAGTGATAAATACAAAAAATAATTATGCAATCTCCACTTCATCTTCCTCAGACTCCTCATCCCAGTGTTTGGGTGCTTTCATCATGAAATCTGATTTAACCCACGGAACGCCTTCTGTATCCTTTGCGTCCTTTTCTGATGTGTTCTTTACGGGAACATGTCAATAATTATCCATCTCATCCAGTAATTCGTCACATCCTTGATACCTTTTTTGTAGCCCCTTTTGTTTCTCCTATTGATGATGGTTGAGATTCATCCTTTGCGTCAGATTTGATCATATTGAGAAAACTATTTTTCGAAAGCACTGGGACTAGAAAGTGTATATATGGCAATTAGAGACTGGCGCATCATCAACTCCGTAGAAATCAAATGCCCCTACCTGTCGCTGCATTCTTTTGCACTCCGTCCGCTTTGACTTCTTCGGCCGTTTTTTGTGCAACTCGAATGGCATTAAACAGCTTGACCACTGCATGATGCATACTGTTGGCTTTCGGCAACTAATAGTCACGGATCAGATGCCAAGCCTTACCTCCTCGCGTGGCCACCTTTCGCAATTTTTTTTCATAGTCCGTCGTGGTATGATCCGGTATTATTCTTCCGACATCTGCCTTTTCCTTTTTCTCTGCGGCAATGATTTTTCGTGCCTTGGCTTCCAATTTTTGTTCATCCAAAGCACGCTCAATATGTTTTTGTTTTGCCAGAATCGGGCGCTAACGTAGACATGTAAATACAAACCAAAAAAGCTGCATCAATTTATCAAGGAATACCAACGTTTTGATCCTTGGCATCGAGGTCTCCAGACAAGATCTTTCCAATGGCATTTGCCATTTTCGTAGACTTTGACACTGCATCTCCAGTCTCAGCTTCACCATCTGCATCAGCGCGATCCTCATCGTCCAAACCATCCATATTGAATTCATCATTGCCCTCTGCACTCTCCCCCTCGCTCACGTCCGAGTCGGATGACATTTGTTCCACTTGTTCAAAACTCTTTAGATCAACCACCACGGCCTCCCCTTCTGATTCCTCGTCCGGAGATACATAGTCGTCCTGAACAGGCCGAATCTTTGCCTTTCGTCTCTTTTTGGGCCCATCCTTGCCGGTAGAGGATCTTGGTGGAGGGCCTTTGCGCTTTGGAGGCATTTGTGAATAGAAGATCACTCTGAGCGACTGCCTTTCACTTGACCCACTCTCTCCATCCAATCAGCGTGTCCCATCCATCAACCAATCAAATGCAATTCACGTGGAATAAAAAAGGAGAGCCCGCAGTTGGCAAGTTGGCTGGTTGGGGGTTTCGGTGGGGGGGAAGTCTAGTTTTTTTTTTTATAAAAGGACGCTTTGCAGCAGTGTTTAGGGACGTTTTTCCGTTTGGTTTTTTTTTCTTTTTTTTCAAGGCTTTTTTAAAACGAAAACTGCTCCCGTTTACAACGACAAGCTTGTTTTTCTTTTTTATACGGATCGCTTTCGTACGATTCCTCACTTGTTTTTACAAACTACTTTCCCTATGCTAGCTATGAGCAACCAAAATGCGGACGTAGAGGCTCTTGACCAACGTTTCGCTTCTCTCGGCGTCAACGGCGCCTCCAACGAGAATGGACAACGCGGTCCTCGTTCGCGATGTAAGTGCTTGTTCTCTCAAGAGTTTGGCAGTTTGACAGGCCGCTCTTTTCTCATGCACACTGTTTGGCTCTCTTGCAGATGTTCCTCCCCACCTTCGTAACGCTGGCCCAGCTCCACAAGCTGATGGTGAGCGCTCTGTCTCTCCGGCAGCTCCTGCACCTCGTGCCTCGGGCTGGGGAGCTCCTCGTGAAGGTGGCCGTGGTGGGTACAGCCGTGGAGGCGATTTCGGACGTGGTGAACAGAACCGCGGTGGTGATTGGGGAAATCGCTCTGGAGGTGGCTTTGGTGGTGCTGGTGGTCGCCGCGATGACCGTGGCCCTCGCCAGTATGTAAAAGATCCCAGCGATGAATTTGCTCACCGCCCCGATGTCAAGCCTCGCGACAGTCGATTGGAAACGCAACTTTACGGAAGTCAGCACAATAGCGGTATCAATTTTGAAAAGTACGACGACATTCCCGTCGATGCTTCTGGACATGATGCTCCAGAGCCAATCAAGAATTTCGACGATTCTCTTTTGGATGAACTTGCGAAATCCAACGTAAAGCTCGCTGGTTACCGTCATCCCACACCCGTGCAAAAGTACTCTGTCGCTATCGTGACCGCTGGGCGTGATTTGATGGCTTGCGCGCAAACAGGTTCCGGAAAGACTGCCGCCTTTTTGTTGCCAATTCTCAGTCAAAACTTCAAGGATGGTCCACCAGACCACCAAGCGGACGGTGGACAGCGCGGTGCTGGCGGTTATGGCCGTAGCAGACCAAAGGTCACTCCATCTACACTTGTCTTGGCCCCCACACGTGAACTTGCTCTGCAAATCTACGAGGAAGCCCGCAAATTTGCTTACCGCTCATGGGTTCGCCCCTGTGTTTGTTACGGAGGTCAGCCAATGGTCGACCAAGTCCGTGACTTGGAACGAGGCTGTGAACTGCTTGTTGCTACTCCTGGTCGTTTGGTGGATCTTATTGAGCGTGGCCGTGTATCTCTGGCTGCCGTTAGATACCTTGTGCTTGATGAGGCCGATCGTATGCTTGATATGGGTTTCGAGCCTCAAATCAGGCGTATTGTGGAAAAGGAAGATATGGCTTCTGCAGATGAACGTCAAACGCTCATGTTCTCTGCAACCTTCCCCCGGAACATTCAAATGCTTGCAAGGGACTTTTTGAAGGATTACATTTACCTCACCGTCGGTCGTGTTGGTTCGACATCCGAGAACATCACACAGCGCGTAGAGTACGTGGAGGAGGCCGACAAGCATTCCGTCCTTCTCGATCTTTTATATGCCGATGCCGAAACCTCTGAAAAGGATAACAAGACGACACTTACTCTTGTGTTTGTGGAGACCAAGCGTTCGGCCGATATGCTGTGCAACTTTTTACTTCAGAACAATTTCCCCGCAACGTCTATTCACGGAGATCGTACGCAACGCGAGCGCGAACAAGCATTGCACTCGTTCCGATCTGGCAGAACGCCCGTCCTTGTGGCAACTGCGGTTGCCGCGCGTGGTCTCGACATTCCCAATGTCGGTCACGTTATCAACTTTGACTTGCCGTCCGACATTGACGACTACGTTCACCGCATTGGTCGTACCGGTCGTGCCGGTAACACTGGTAAAGCAACTGCTTTCTTCAACTTGCAACGTGACAAGGGTGTGGTCAAGGAACTTTTGGAAATCTTGATGGAGGCCAAACAAGACGTTCCCGAGTGGCTGGATCAATGCCGCCGCGAAGCTGAGCGTGATATGCAGTACCGAAGCTACAACCGACGTGGAGGCCGTGGAGGTAGCCGTGGAGCAAGCCGATTCGGCGGAAATGTTGACTACCGTAAGGAAACCGGTGGTTTTGGACCGCGTAGCGGCGGCTTTGCCGACAAACGTCCAGGCGGCCGTGACGATTTTGGCGGAAGCCACGGTAGCGGATTCGGTGGATACGGCGGTGGTGGCTACAGCTCGGGCGGTAGCGGCGCGAACAACTGGTTCTAAGTGTGCGGTAACAGTGCTCTCTGGGACACAAAGGGCGGTCTGGAGGGCAGGTTTGAGAGTAGTCACAAGGGAAATCCCACTTCCCAACTCAGCCCGGTTATGTGCAATGCGTGGGTTCGCGTAATTTGGGGGATAAGTGGTCTTGATGGTTTATTGGTTTGCGGTGTCGAACGACTGGCCTTGGGTTATGTTCTCCATTGGCCACTGTACATATCCCCTATCTTTATTATTTTATTATTTTAGACTACTCTCGTTTTGTTTTCAATGTTTTCAGTTTGATTTTTCTATAGAGAGGGATTTGGAGTGGGTGAGGGTGTGTAGAGCAAAGTGCTCGTATGCAGTTTGCACGCTTGTTTTGTATTTAAAGAGAAGGTTTTTTGGGGGGGAGTGGAGCGCAACCTTTTCGCCTGGGGGAAGGGTAAGGGAAAATGTACAAACAAGTTGGGTGCATGGATGAATAATTGTGTACGAGATGGATGATAATAAGCAATTTCTTTCTCTCTCTAACACAACTTTTGAGATGTGTTTTCCAATAACGCTTTTTCAATGCAATCCAATTTGAAATATGTGAAATATGTACATCATTTGAGGATAGCGGTATTTGACCTGGAATCGTGGGGTTCGTCCTGTACACAGTTTGGCATTGATGGTAGGCCAATATCATGTTCATGCTGGAATTTTGCACTAAATGTTTTCTTGCTCGTTTGCTTGTGAGCCCATTTTGCCAGTTGCATTGGCCATTTAGAATGCTAGGACGCAAAGTCTCTTTTATGGCTATTGAGCTTTTGACAGATGGACATGCTCCTTGATAGGAAACATTAGAGGATCAAGATACTGCGCAAGCGCAAAAAGTCTCTCCAAATCGGGGGCCGTAATTGACTTTGTTGGGCATTTTTACCTAGTGAATAGGACGAGGAGAACGGACTTGGCGTCTTTGTTTTTACCTTTCATGTCTGAGGATTTGGTGCGACGGTCGTTTAGCATTCTACAGCCCATAGAAAACATTCTCCCTCGCTTCCGTTCATTTTGCAGGATAGGGCTTGACCCTTGTGCATGAGACAATGAGACATGGTAATGGAAAAGCGGATGACAAAGCTCATATCCTGATTTACTTCAGGGCATCACCCATCGGGCAGCCATTTATTTTTTGGCGGAAGTTTACCGTATGCAGTATTTGGGAGACCTTACGCCAAGAGGACTTCCGAAAGACAATTTTAAAGCCAGAACTGTTCTGGACAAGGGCTTGCACATTTCCTTGACTAATGATTCAGGTGCATGAGTGGGGATGCGTGGAGGGGGCTTTTTTTGACGGGAGCACATTTTTGATAACGTGTACTAGTATCGCAATCTATATTTTGTATCCCTGCTGAGGGGGATTTCCCTATGTACAAAAGATATGTTCTCCCCCTTTTTTTTTGCATTGAATGATTGAATGGTCCAGAAGCACCGGCAGGCAAGGCAGGCCCGACAAGCAAGGCAAGGCGCACTACGCACAAAACGAAAAGTCCCATATTCAAAACAGCTGTTCAAAAACGAGAAACACTTGAATCGTCCTGGTGGTCATCGTTCACTAAAAATAATAAAAGAAAAAATAAAATAATAAAAGAAAAAATCAAACATCGGAACCCCCATTGTTAAAATACCCAGCGATTTGGTTACACTGGGTAAATCCAGTTTCCCGGTAGCGATAGGGCCCGATCGGCGATTTTACAAATTGGCGTCGATTTCAGAGTCCGAATCCGACGGTCCATTGACGCGATACGCAGCGGATTATTCGATTAATCCGCGGGGCGTTCCCATGCGCCCATATTCTCGGACCATTCCGCTAAACTGGATGTATTGGTCCCATCCTTTGGAAATCCTGGATGGCGGTACATTTATCAGAATATGGTAATGTTTACAAGGCAATAATACCCGAAGCGCCGGCCACTTTTTGACTTTAAACCAAACGATGCTCCCCCCCTCAGGAATGAAAAAGCGTCTTTTTGACGTCTCCCAAAAGTTGGTCGATCGTGACTGAAAGGCACCCCCGCCCATTTTCCTTCCCGTCGTCGTCGTCGTCGTCGTCGTTGGTTCTTCCAACTGGCTTCGCAGTTGCGTTCATAGGCGCCTAAGACGTTTATTTTTCTCGTCGCGTCACTACCAGTTCAAAGGTTTGGCCTTTCCGAGTTGGGAACGGGACGCGTTGTGGTCTAAAAGCCCGTCCAAAGCGTTCCCAACGTATTTTGATTTGGAGTAAAAAACGATACAAAAAGTCCGTTCGAACAGACAGAGATTTAAAGCAAACGAGGCTCTTGGTCCACAGTTCTTCTCAAAGGTGAGTTTATTAGACATTTTTGTTTCCCCTCTTTTTCGACCACGGTTCCTGCGGCCTTTCTGAATTTTTCAATCCACCTGTGAACGATGGGATACGGGGAATGGATTTTACAGTGTGTGATTCGGGCGATGCAAATGATTGACATTTCCGCCTTCCTTTTGTTATAGATATCGAGAGAGGAGGCCCTTTTTTTTCCTGTCAACCTGTCTATACACAGGCTTCTCAAGTCAAGCAACACAATTAGGTTTTTGACTTTTTGGCTGGTTGGTGGGAGTGATGCAATCGATACCAGGGGAGTTGGGAGGAGAAAATGTCTTTGGCTCTTTGTGAGTACTGTAAGCGATAGAGTTGCAAAGGCTGACGTTTGACACTTTTTGACATTATATTGTTTTTACAAGTGGTCTATCCCAGTCGTCGCTTCTTGTTCGTCGCCAGAAACGCAGCATCTCAGAATTGGAGGAGAGGGAGAAATATCTGAATAATCGGGAGCAGCAAAGTATGGGTACGCGCCTCGTTTGGTTTTTGTCCAAAATCGCCTGTGATGACAAGGCTAAAGATCTGTGTGTGCACAGTAGCGGTAAAGCATGCAGTACAGAGTCCATCACCATACTATGGACTATATTCGGGTACAGGTAAATTGTCTTTGTATTGCTTTTCGAGCTGGATTTTTGGTCTTGACTGCTTTACTGATGATGAAAATTCGAATTCATCACAGGCTTTGATATGCTGGGCATTCTTGTAAGCTTTTTTTCTTTGTTAATTACCAAATCAGAGGACAAAATGGGTGATCTGTATTTGGCACAACCACTTTAGGCCCGTGTTGCAACCCGCCCAAATCCCATCATCAACCTTGGTCCCATTGACATGAGCTCCAGTTTCATTGTGACGGATGCATTAAGGGAGGATTTGCCAATTATCTATGCGAGCCCCACGTTTGAACTGTTGACTGGATACACGTCGACGGAAATCATGGGCAGAAACTGCCGTTTTCTACAGTGTAGGAAGCTATGGTCCTTGCTCGTCAAAGCATCTTTGCATTCATGCCTTTTTTCATCAGCCCCAGATGGCCGCGTCGAGAGGGGCGCTTTACGACAGTTTGTGGACAACAACGTCGTGTATCAGCTGAAGAAATGTGTGGATAGAAGAATGGAATGCCAGTACATCAACATAAATTACAAAAAAGGCGGAGAGGTAACAATGTTCTGATTTGTTGTTATTGCCATGCGAATATGGTGCTAATCTGCCAATCTTTAATAGCCTTTCGTCAATCTTATCACAATCATACCCATTTCGTACAATGCGAATGGAGATCCGTCCTTGTTTGTCGGCTTTCAAGTTGATCTTATGAAGCAGTCCGGCGCCATTTTGAGGACACTGGAAGGTATGACCACATAGTACTAGCCTGTAAATCCTTGCCTGCGGTATCTGGCTTAAAAAATCCTGAATTTTGCAGATCACAGTTATGTTATCGACTTTAGTAGCAGTCCGGACACCTTGACACGTCCTAGCTCGGACATTTCTCCACGTCTTGTCACAGCGTCGTCAACACCAAACGCCTGCTTTTCAACAGCTTCCCCCTCCGACTATTGCCCCTCACCAGATGCTTGCGATCCTCATACCTTTGCTTTTAGTCCCGGAAATGCACCTAGTATTAACATTGAGGCCTGCATGATGGATGAAAGCATCATGGACAAATTCCTGGATCCAGATGATCCTAGTCTCTTATCTCTCACGGAACCTCCCCAGGACAACATTAGCATACCATCACCAGTCGAAACCCATCATAACCCTTACATTGAGCGTCCCATCCCCGCAGTCTCATCCGCTGCGGATGCAATTGATCCCGGGTTCATATCCCACTACAGTCTTGTGCAAAACGCGCCAGATTTCATTCACATCCTTTCCTCACGCGGTATCATCCTCTTTGCCTCACCCACAGCATGTCAAGAAATATTGGAATACGAAGCTGGAGAGCTGATTGGTCGAAATATATCACAGTTTTGCCATGCTGGGGATCTCATTTCGCTGATGCGAGAGTTGAAATGCGCTGGTCTGAATGATTCGGTATCAGCAGTATATCGATTCCGGAGAAAGCAGTCAGGATACGTGTGGTTGGAGATTAAAGGACACAAGTACGAGATGGCGAATAGGAAGAGGACAAAATGCTTTATTCTGAGCGGACGGCAGCGATGGATGGGATCGCTAGATCAAGTGAGTTTGCAAGGGCAGTTGCATGTCTTAGACAGTTGCTAACGCGCGTATATGTGGATTTTGTAGAGCGAGCTTATCAAACCAATCATGGCGTCTCCACCTGGTCAAGACAGTGACCTTTGGGGAAAGTTGACTCCTAACGGCTTTTTCATCTACCTAAGTCGCACTTCCGCTCCCATCCTTGGTACCTCCATACAATCCCTCTACGGTCAGTCTATATTGGACTATATTTACGAAGGCGATCGGCCTCGCGTCGTTCAAAAGCTGTACCAACAATCCACCTTGCCTGTCGTCGGCGAAGGAACAGAGGTGAGGTGCTCCGTGGACAACAACGGGCGGTTCATGCCCGCAGTAGTGGCGATATACCCAGGCGCAAGAAGGGACGAGTGCGAGGCGGAGTTTCTTTTCGTGCGAGTGACTTTGGCGAGTCGAGGCCATGCAAGTTCACGTGGATGTGCATTTGGGGGCATCGCGCCGCCGCTTGGAGAGCGGGCTTGTGGGCCTTTTGGGGGAGATCTTGGGTTCCTGCTAGACGACGATATGAGCGCAGATATCTTTGCGTCAGTCGGCGTGGATCAATCCACGAGCTTGCAGTATGAGTTGAATCAACTGCGAATGAGCAATAAACGATTGCAGGAGGAGCTGGACATTTTGCAAGGGCTAACAGGGGTACGTCCACGTATGGGGTAACTAGACTAGAGGTTTTTGACTGACGATTCTGTTTTCGTTTAGCCTTCGGTTCATAGGCAATGGCAACAGCTGGACTTGAGTGTGTAGATTTTTTTTTTTTTTTGTTTTTTGTATATTTAGTTTGGATATAATATTATCGCTTTTGTTTTTCTGCTTCAATATGAACAGTTCATGCACGCAATTATGATACACTTGCTGTATGGCAGCTCAAAAAATGTACAGCTGATTTCCCCTAAAATGTCGTACTAAAAATGCCGCTATGCACTCACTACCCCACTCAACATTTTTGCAAAGAGCTTCTTTTGCTTTGCATCTGTCTCCTTCATTCGCATTTGTACATGTTTCAACAAGACTACCAAGTCTTTCTCCACCGTCTCATCTGCATACCCAAGAGCGTGGTCACAATCCTTTTTGGCCAGTTCATAGTCCGCGCGCCCGAGATAACCTTGAGCCCGCCGATACAGTGCTTTAACATTGTCACGATCGATACTCAGCGCTTTGCTGGCATAATGAATCGCTCTGGTCCATTCCTGCGATTTCAGGTAACAAGCCGCAAGATTCGAATAGCATGGTAAGAGTACTGCATTGACACACGCTTGGTATTTGGGGTCTAGCGTGTATTCATGCTGAAAGTATTTCACTGCTCTCTCATAGTTTTTTCTTGCAAGCCGAGGTTTTCCATCCTTGAAGAGCTTGTTGCCCATTTCACGGTGTGTTTGCATGCCCACAAATCTCTCGTCGTGGGTCATATCCCAGATTTCACTTGTCCTTTCAAACGACACCAATTCTATCTCAAACTCCAAGTCGTCCTGCTGAGGTATGTCAACCTCCCTTGCTAACGATTTGCCGTAGCCAAAGTCTGCGGGAGCGGTGACAAGAGCCTTTTCACCCACTCTCATGTGCTCGACAGCAAGTTCCACCGCTTCTGGGAATGCACCGGAACACAAAACAAAGTGCGACTCTTGACGGGTGGTTGGATTGGAAGACGGGATTTGGAGAAAATGTTTGCCACATTGAACGCATCTGCCTGTAGCACGCACCTCGACTACACTTCCAACATGGGGCTTTTCCCAACCAGTGCCTTCAACAAGTATCTTTTTCACAACGGGGGTGTGATTTATTTTATCGACTTGATGCCATCGGAGCAACTCTAGTTCGTACCGAAGCGTTGCAAAAGGTGGGATGCCAAAGCTTGCGTTCCCGTATCTCCCGTACGCGTGCTCTGGGGGAACGACTAGGAAGCCTTGGTCTCCCCGCTCGAACCTTTGGATGGCTTTCGATATGAGACACCCCGGTGGAAAAATGGGATCGGTCTCCTTTCCAAGGGTGAATGCAAAATCGTCTCTCTCGACGAATATGGTCTCAGAATCTGTAATGAACCCCTTTAAATTGACGATAACCTCCCAGTCATCCTTGGGTGTATGCCATCCTTTCTCATCCTGTTTCGTCTTCTTCAAGATTACTTTGCCGTCTTTGGTTAGGGCGCTCGACGGCTTCCATGACCAAACTTGCACTTTGAATTCGAGCGTCGCGTTTGCGGGGATCTTTGGTGGTAGACCGACACGTCCGTAGCCGTATTCTGGTTTGATGGTCAGAATGGCTTGTTCACCCTCCTTCATCGTTGGTATACCTTCCTCCCATCCCGCAATCACCATCCCTGTAACGACAATGTGTTTGTCATGTCAAACACATGAAACAAACTTTGGGCCATTGCTAGTAACAATGTCCTCACCGCTGCCCAAGATGAATTTGAACGGAGCTCCTTCATCCACATGCTGATCAAAGATTTGTCCGCCAGGAACCAATCGTCCAATGTATGTGACATACACCTCATCCCCTTTTTCTGGCGTCTTTAATCCTTCTCCAGCCCTCAAGATCCTCTTTGTCACACCGCCATCCTTTGTGATGTTCTTTGTAATGTCTTCCTCGTCTCGTTCGTCTTCTGAAAAGGAATCATAAGGATCTTGACCCAGATCTGGAACTCTATTTCGTAAGATCTCGATGGCGGGGTCATCCATATCCATGATCTCAGCAGCAACTGCTAGTTGGGCATCCATGGCTCAAGAAAGTATGGTTCAAGACAGTGCTTGGAGAAAGCGAGCAAAAATCAACGTGAAAGCATTCCACTGGATTCATGCAAATCTGGGGGGGATGACCCTCCCCCAGAGATATTACAAGTAAACGCCCCCCAAGAGCCCTTCCAAGGAACCCGCTGTGCAAGGGCTAAAATAACTCGGAGCGTAAAGATGTCCAGACGATCCTAAAGTCCCCCTTGGCCTGGCCTGACGCGTTCAAGGCACAGCAAACTTGCCACGTGGGTTCCCGGCAAGGATCTCCTCCGAAGCCTCCGCTTCCTCTTTTTTCTTCCAAGGGCTTTGTAGGCTTTTAGCCGGCCACGGGTGCAGGCCAGATTAGCAAAAAGGTTGTTCTAAAACAGTGTTTGTGAGCAACAGGTACAGCAAAAAGCAAGAAGATTCCAACAACAAAAGGGTGTGCCAACCGGTGTGGTTCATCCAAACATGGGCCATGAAACCAACATTGGGTGTTCCAAGCAACAATTTTCTAGCCTCGTACAATGATCTATTGTCCAGCTCAGGTTTTCGTCCACATAGTCTTTGGCCAGGCGAAAGGCTCAACAAGGGTTGGCGTGCTCCTCACGTGGGTCTGTCTATTAGCCTTCTTTCTGGCAGTCGTCCTGGCAGTCGTTGTCGGGTGAGCAACCCTCTCCGCCAACGACCTCGTCGCTCCCACCAGGCCCGTCGCTCTTTCTTATTCGAGTCTTTCCACATGTGAGGCGCAAAACACACATGGCGTTGAACATGAGCACTTTTTTCCCCGCCCATCCGTGCAGTACGTGCCCCATCCGCGTACGCTATCCTGCTTCCTGCTCGGCTGTGAACCTTTACTATTTCCTATGCCTATGCGTATAGCATGGCCAGCTCTTCCTTTTCAAACTCTTCAAAAACGAATGTTCCCATCCTCCAAGTGGCTGTGTGATTCATAAACCTATATTTGTACTAATGACACGATGACATGAACGACCAACGCCCCATAGAGTGGAGGTGATTGAAAATGGCACTAGGACTCATTATTATCCGGCTCAATCCGGTTAATCATATCGCATAATCAGAACCCCCATCTATCGCTCAGATTGGTGTGGCATGCATGTAATGTTTTTTTTTTTAAACTGTAGTGAGGCACATGCCAAAGGTCTATAAAAGGGGAGCCTTTGCTCTCTCTCCCCTTCCTCACTAGTTCCTTGACTCTTAAACCATCTGCGCAACACTCATCGCGACCCACATCGCAACACTCATCACGACTCTCAAGTCCAATCATGAGAATGCAGATGTGGTGGTGCCGAGGACCTCGCCCTCCTGACTACAACCAACTGGAACCAGCAGCAACCAATCAGATCTGATAACAAAACCTACTATTACGCTGCCACATTAGTTGTGCTTGGTTGGTATGTACTGGGCATCATCTCTTTTCATTCTGTCATTCTGTCGCTGACATGCAGTTTTTAGTCTCCAAGCCTTGTCACTGAAGATCCTCCAGCTTGCGAGTCTCCCCAATGTTGCGAAGACTCTGGCTTCAATGCCATCAAGAGTTCTGGATCAAGGCCTAGTAGGGACCGCGTGTGGTGGTGGGCAATTATCCGGTTTAGAACCGTTACGTATTGCGTGTATAATTGCCTATTAGTAGTTAGTTAGCTTTTCCGAACCGGTTGTCGCCGGTTTATTCCCTGGTGTAGTAGCCAGTTTCTGTCACCTCTACACTAAAAAGCGCTCATGTCCAACATCCCCCAGTGCCGAGGAAAAGGGCGATGACTCACACGACCTAATGCCCATAATCACCAAAAGGAAGGCTCCAGATCAACAAACACGTTTGCCATCTACAACTCGTATGCAATGGAGTCCCGTCAACACGTAGTGTTGCCTCCAGACCGGTATCCAGTCACAATCATCACTCTACGCGTCGATGCAGGGCAAAATGTCCAGAAGGATGATGTCCTGGGTATTTATGAATACCAAGGTACAGTCATGGTCAAGGATCGCGAATCTCAACAGGAAAGGCCGGTGCAGAAAAGAGTGAAAGAGGAATTGCGATCACAGTGGACAGGCAGAATCGATAAAGTAGCCGTGCAACCAGGGCAGACGGTGACAGATCCACGGTATGTTGACTGAAAACAAAAAATGGTGGAATCCAGTTTTTACCAATAATAGTTTAGAAAAGGGCTGGATCAACTCTGCGGGGAGCTCATAATACTGTCTTTTTGGTGTAGGGAACCATTAGCGATAGTTGTGGAGCCATGCGGACATCTCATTCAAGTCCGTGGAATTTGCGCAACATGCGGAAAGGACTTGAGCATAGGCGACTACATGGGAAATGATATGACCCGAGCGACAATCAATATGGCGCACGATGCTCTTGGAGTTACAGTCAGTCGTGATGTGAGTGGCTATAATGTTGACACGCTCGCATTTTGTAAATGCATGTTAATCCCAAAGGTCAGGTAGCCGAAAAACTTGACAAGGATACATCAGAGCGTTTGCTGAAGGAACGAAAGCTGACCCTTATCCTCGATCTTGACCAAACCGTCGTCCACGCAACCGTGGACTCTACTGTAAGAGAATGGAAAGCCGATCCATCAAATCCTAATTACCCATTCTTACAGGTAAGCACAGTAAGTGGAACGGGCCAGAGCCCTCAATTCTGACATGGGAATGCACACAAGGACGTACACGTATTTGGCATACCGCACTATCAGACGCACTACGTTAAGCTACGGTAAGTGGGCCATCTCGTCACCGAATGCCGGTCCGCCTAGGACTAAACGCGCTCATAAAAGACCAGGCACCCGGGAATTTCTTGCCGATATGAATAAAATTTTTGAAATGCATATTTACACTATGGGATCTCGTGCCTACGCGAACAAAATAGCTGAAATTATCGATCCTGACCGTACTTTATTTAAGAATCGCATCCTCTCGCGCGATGAAAATCTCAGTAAGTTCACGTTCGTATGAACATGGCAGAAGTATGTAGAAGTTAAACCCGCTCTGTGCAGGCCGCTCGTTCAAGAGCATCCAAAGACTCTTCCCTAGCGATCAGTCCATGGTTGTGGTTCTGGACGATCGCTCCGATGTGTGGCACTGGTCCCCTAACTTATACAAAATCCTACCATGTATGTGTTCAACGGTTTGAGCACCTCTCCTCATCCTGCCTAACATTTCTGCTTCCGCAGTTACATTTTTTGTGGGCACGGGAGATATCAATGCGCTCCCGACAGATCCACCGCCAGCGCAGGTACAAACTTTCTCAATTTTCGTATCACTCAACATTACCACGTTGACCTTTCTTCTCACAGCAGCGAAGGCCCTCATTAAATGCTGGAGGTCTCAACTCAGGTCCTGATGAAAAGAGCGATGAGGTGGAGGAAGTAGAAGAATCTCAAGAGGTCCTGGCTCAGCTGGAAGATGCCCAACACCATGCACTTGAGGAATTGGAAAAGAATCGGCCCTTACAAAAGTTAAGCGAGGAGACGGAAAAGGATGAAGAGACGGAGCCGATGAATATTGATGAATCGCGAGCTGGTGCGGAGCAAGCCACTCCCACATCTGTGACTCAACCTCCAGCGGACCATCAAGGGCAGAGTCCCAGAACGCAACGACGGCGACCTGTGCTTTCCGAAAACGATCGTGAACTCGACAGGGTGAAGCAAGTGCTGCTAGACGTCCACAAGATGTTCTATGATGTGCAGGATAAAGAGCATGCGGCACCGGACGTGCGTAAGATAATGTCACAGGCAAAATCAGAAGTATTACAAGGGGTGAAGGTTGTCTTCAGTCTTGTCTTTCCAACAAATGTGGACCCATCCACGTACGTTACCATTATGCATTGTTTTGCTGAAGTAAGTAGTTCCCTACACTCATCCGAACAATTAGGCAGGATTTATGGCTTGGGGCCGAGCATTTTGGAGCGAGATGTTCCTTGGAACTTACAGATGATGTTACGCATGTCGTAACTGTTGAGGTGAGTTTGTGCTACCTCATCAATGGAAACACGTCGGTTCTGAAGGCTTATAGGATTGTAGCAAACTGATGGTAGTAGAAGCGACAAAGTGAAGCGGGCGCGTCAAATGCCGGGAGTGTTCGTAGTGAAGCCAGAATGGTAAGCTTTTGTTGGACGAGTCTGTGGATGTGACTACGGCCGCTAATGGTATCGTTGCAGGCTAGTACATTCTATCAGTCGCTGGGAACGCCAGAAAGAAGCAGGGTACCTTTTGGAGAAAGTCTGCAGGGGTCCACCCCCTTCCATCGAAACCGCGGGAATGTCCGAGTTGGATGAAGATGATGAGGCAATATTGTCAGGCCGATGGGAACATGAAAACGACATATACCTGAAACTAGGCCATGACGATATTGAAGCCATGAACAGGGAGATCGAGGACGCATTGGCGGATGATTCTACAGAAGAGGGTGATGGTGACGCTAGCCAACAGTCTGATTTCGACCTGGACGCGGCGTTAGATGCCGAATTTGACGCGTTATTGGAGGAAGATGATACGCAGGAGAGCGTGAAGAAGCGAACATCCGACGAAGCAGGACTGAACCGGTAAGGACGCCTTGGGTAAAACTAGATTATAACTTGATGCTCAAATATTACGCGTGTTCTCTCTCTGTAGACTCCGGGAACCAACATCTCCACCAAGTCCGTCGTCTCTTCCACCGACGAAAAAAACGAGAACGGACGACGCAGATATCATAAAATAATCTTCCCAGTGATGGCTGCGCTTTAATGGGGCATCGATGAAATGGTCGGGTCATACAACGATGAATGATGCCAGCCGTTGTGGATGGATGGAGATCGGAAACGGTTTTGATCACCGTGGTGTGACTGTACAGTTGTATATTGCTTAATTTGATGGGCGGGTGACGCCTGTATACCAATGGAGCGTCCTGCGGACACTTTAGAGATTGCCGCTCTGGCTGAATGAATGTAATAGCGGTCGATAGTGATGCTGTCAGGGGGTTGACCGGTCAGGAATGAAAACCTTGAGCGCTTCCCTCACGGCAGCTTCATCTCCTTGAAATTTTCCTTTGTCGTCACTCAGTTTTACGACATGCCTACCATTGCATTCATACAGTTTGATGACGATATTCATGGGCCTGCTCTTGGTCCCATGGCTTTTGACTCGAAAGTTATTTGTAAAGTGTGTCCCAATGCCAAAGCTCACTTCTGGAGTTCCAACTTTCCGCTGTCGTTGTATCCCCCTGACGTAACTTTCCAATTCCAATGCCTTCTGCACCGTCAAGGCATCGGAGAAGACGATCAATTTCTTGGCCGGGTCGATATTAAGCTTCTCATAATGTTTAATGATTGCAAGCACGAATTCACGGGGATCGCCAGAGTCCTGACGGACAGCGGTGTAAGATTCGGCAAGTGGCTCATCAAAGTCGCGAAGAAATGCAGCAGTCCCGAATGTATCCGTCAAGGCCGTTCCAAAATACGTAGGGTAAAAACGGCGCCAGATCCGCAACGCGTTGCCGTTTGCGTGAAACAAGTCATTTTCAAGGACTGAAGAAATCGCAACCAGATAATGAGCATTTTGGTTGGAAGAGAGGATTATGTTTAGAGATTCGCCGTTCATTTCTTACCTGAAATTGCCATTGTCCATTCATGTGCCACGGTACCAATTGGGTTGAGATCATACTTCATGGCAAAATACACATTGCTCGTTCCCAGCAGCACTCCCCTCTCTTCTCGTGGAACCCGATCACAGCCTGGTTGGTCCGCCCCATGAGTTGATCCATTTAATTCCTCATTGACCTTCGTTAGGGATTCCACAACCACCCTTTGAACCTCCCTTGATCTCCGCCGCCTGGTCCCAAATTCTGTAAACTTGCATCCGCCGAGTATCAATTGGCGAGCATCCGCCTCTGCCTGCTCGTCTTGTCCTTCCATATCCCAATCCGTTTCCACAAATTCAAAATAGGTTTCACTAACTAGAGCAAGAATTGGCACTTCGTAGAGTATCGTGTCAAGCCAGGGTCCTTTTATCCATATCTCAAGTGCGCCTGATGATGAAAGCGACATTTGGATATGCGCCTTTGGGTTATAGCGGAACACTGAGAGATAGTCGAGATATTTGGATGTGAAGAATGGGCACTTGCGTTCCAAGAATGTGCGTTCATCGGGTGTAAGAGCGAGATCTGCCAAAGCTAACAGGGAAAGTGGCATGAGATGTTGCATCTTTTTTCTGACTTATTCAAAACTCAAAGTCTGGTATACGACACGTATTTTCAACACCAGTAGCGTTGATCAACATTACCTTCTATTCTTTTCGTTAAAATCTCATACGCTTCCTTTGTATACCGGTGCTCTTGTGGTGACCGGTTCCTGAACTGATAGGTTACGTTGACATCAGGATAGAGACTGAGGACGGCTTGTTGCATAGAAAACTTGTACAGATCATTGTCCAGAATAGAGTCTACCGAGGATATCCTCCGCGAGACGCTCGGCACTTGGTTCATATCTTTTGTCATTCGTCGTCGAGCTTTTTGCGATTTCGTTCACAGTTGAACTTCGTCATCGGAGGGCGCAGCGGATGCGCGTCAAAGCCACACCAGGTATGTCAGCAAAAAGCAGACCTTTGGGATCATCAACAAACAAGGCCGATAAATAACACTATGCCACCAAAGAAGAAGCCGGGTACGGCAGGCGTCAAGAAAAAGACCAAGGAAAAAGGGTCTTCCGGTAAGACTTGCCGTCTTATTTCGCTCCATGGAGACGTTCAAGTGACTTTAAATATCGTTGCTTAAAGACAAGCAACAAGAATCCTTCGATGTGACAGAAAAGCTTGTAAAAGCCAATGTGGAAATCGATGCCCTCGTTCGAGAGCTTGGTACGTACCATTTCACGTACATTCTGCAACACAGACACATTACTGAATTGCGATGCAGCCCTCCAGACAGACCTGAACAGTCGATTGAAGATGCAGATGGACCAACAAAAAGCACGAATAGCACATTTGGAGGACCAGCTTGAGAAAAAGTCAAAGGATCGTTTGGACTTGACGTCAGATATGGGCCGGCAGTACAAATCCATGCAGGCGGAAATGTCTTCCCGAATTGTCACGTTGGAGAGTCAGGTTGCAGACTTGAATACAAAACTGAGTATGCAGATACTTCCACGGTGATCGATGATGGACTTCTCACATTACGCTTTCTTATATAGCTGCTGCTCAGACGGCATTGCAAGATGCCGCTCGCGATCACGAACGCGTTCTAGCCGCAAAAGAAACGGCCATCGAAGACCAACAAGTCAAGATGTCTTACATGTCAGCGGAGTTTGAATCCATGCTGAATGTACATATTGTCCTCTAAGTTGTTAAAATGCGTTTACAGCAACTCATAATGGTCATTTTTTGCAGGAAACTTTGGCCAAAATGGCCAAGAAGCTCGAATCCGTCAGTCAACGATGGAAGGAGAGCGATAACATACACCTCTCAGATGTTAACCAACGTCGGCTGGCCGACTTTCATTTGACGAGGTTGACACTGGGAAAGACTGATGGTTAAACGACAATGTGTGCAATATACCGTCCGCTGTTTGACAGGATATGGAGGGTGAAGGCGATTGATTGTATGCAGAAGTGATACTTAGTTTGATTTAATTGTTGGGAACGGATATTAGGTAACAACGCACACCTCGTATCTAAATGAGTTGATATTGATGGAGCGGACCTTCTCGGCTACTCTGTTGCAATAGGTGAGAGATGATCATGTTCGAAGATAAAGTGTACTATTTAGACAAGGAACGACCGAAATGAAAGCCAATGTCAGCTGTTCACACCATCAAATTGATTGCCATCCACCTTTCCAAAAGAATTCGAGCTATTGTTCCGGCTGATCTCTTATTGTTGAAGCTACCCAATCAAATAATGTGAACCTCAAATCATGCGAGATCGACGAATCGGTGTCCGTCTGCGGACCAGTGTTAACATCTGGTCGCCTGTAAAAATCTATCAACACCGCCTGAAATGGAATGTTGCTTTATGATCGACTGTACCTAAGAATTGTTTAATCACAAAGTCTTGCAGCTTTGCTCCATGCAAGATTGAGGCCAAACCGTAACGCAGAATGTTGAACGTTTGCAGCCTGGATGTGGTCGGCACAAAGAGAAAAGTTACCAGATTCCAAAGACCGACGCGATCACCAAATTTACTACCTTCGCAGGTCTGCCAACCGCCGATCTCCATATCCAGCATCATCCGTATCGGCATTTACAATAGGTTTATTACATTGGCTGGCCACACCTATCTCCCTATTCACAAGCTAGTCCAGCTTAGTACCAAGGAATATGTCGCTTGAAGCCAGTGAATCGGAGACTACAGAGGTTAGAACACTCAAGAGGCCCAAGCGAAAGGTGAGAGTACAAAGTCAACGACAACGCCCAGGTGTAGGACTCACTCTATAAAAGGTGGCAATTCTCTTTGGATATGATGGCAAAGACTTTGCTGGTTTACAACAGTATGAATACCAAGTGATAATTGGCCGCCAGGCATGGCGTTTAACAGTATTCTAGACAGCCGAAATCCCAGTCTGTCACTACCATTGAAGACCTGCTACTTGGAGCACTTGTTGAAGTCGGGGCCATTTCGGTTGATAACGGCACAAACGTGGAAAAGAACTCTTGGACACGTTCCGGGCGGACAGATCGCGGTGTGAGTGCGTAAGTATCTACCGACGTTTGGACATGGATACGCCCTTTCGCCGTAGTAATTGCCTACCGCAGGGCACGCCAGCTGATCTCGTGCAAAATCATGTTGGAAGATCCTAGGGCGATGGTCCAAAAGCTCAACGCAGTGCTTCCATCCGACATCCGAGTATGGGGTAAGAAATCGTATCAAAGCCCTTAGTTAGAACAACACGCTAACTACCTCAGATATCATTCCCACCCCAAAAAACTTCAACGCTCGTCGCACATGCGACAGCAGAAAGTACGAATATGCCCTACCCACCTATGTGTTCCGAGATCCACCTCCCGCTGCATATTACGGTCCAAACAGCGAAGCACCACCTTTACCTGTCAGCGATGAAGATATCACAATGATACAACTTCCCATCTCGCAGCCAACACTCGAAGACATAGACTGTGACCGTCGCTTTCGCGCAACTGCGGAGCAGATCGCAACGTTCCGAGCCATAATGACCTCCTTTCAAGGTGTTCACAATTTTCACAATTTCACACTTGGAAGGTCATTCAAGGACAAAGCTTCTGTTCGACGCATGATTCAAATTCAGGTGACGAATGCGTTCCACGCAATGCCTTGTACAGCTGTTCATTCTTTTGTAGGTGCTAGACCCAGAGGTGCACGATGGGGTTGAGTGGCTAAGAGTACGCCTTCATGGTCAATCATTTATGCTTCATCAAATTCGAAAAATGATTGGTCGGTTGCCGGTGCTGATAGTACTTGATAGCATGAACTTAGGCTTTTCTCTTCAATGCAGGTCTCGCTAGTTTGATGGTGCGCACGCAGACCCCAATCAGTATCATTCCAGAAACTTTGACTTCTGTGAAGTTGAACATTCCGAAAGCCCCAGGGACTGGTCTTCTCATGGATGAGGTGTAAAACATAACGTTGGACGCATCTAAGCAAGAATGAAACCAAACTAATGCATATGATATCAAGCCACTTTTCCAGTCATATAACACGGCCGACAAGCGACGAATAGAGTCCGGAAAGGACCCGATCGACTTTAGTCTCGCCGCGGAAGACATTGAAAAATTCAAACAGCATATATTGGCAGGAATACGTCAAGATGAAATGGTCAATCATAGGTGCGTCCGATCTGCATACATGATATCTGCCGTGACGTTGACGCTATCTTGCACCAGATTTGGGCGCTGGGCACGGTTTATAGATTCCTATTCATTTACGTTTGCCACCTATCTGAACCGGGACGGCATTGTCCGTCCGTGCTATATACTAGGTTTACCTTTACGAGATAGCTCCGTAGATATTAAAGATGTGGTTGATGTGGGGAATGGGGATGATGGTCAGCAGTGTGATGAACAAGACCAAAACGACTGAAACCTCCCAATATTGCTGATGTAATTACAAAACTAAGCACTGGAACCACATTTTCCACCATCCAAAAGCGAATTGCAAGTGGGACCTCCAAATGCAAACAAGGGCCCCGTTCGCAGTGAATTTTCTTTTCTTGCAATCAGGCCATTCTTTTAGGATTTGTTCATCGGTAACCTGCAGCAAAGTCACGCATAGGTCCCCGACTCTAGTGGTCTGCAAGAGCATTTGTCAGTCCTGCCTAGATTCACGATCAGTTGTTTGTCGTACCCCTTGTTGCAGACGGTATCGTTGACAAGATTGTTTACCATTCGAACTACGTGTCAAAATCGAAAACGTGGTAGTGTTTGCGGTCCCAGGCTTCCACTTCATATTGCGAGTCTTGGCCCCTTCCCCTTAGCTCCTGCTGCGCTTCGCTCGCATCGTTGAACAACAAAAAAGACCTGCCGATCCTTGCATTTAAAACCTACCAAGAATTTGTTTTTTGGAAAGATACCAATATGGCTAGCTCAAACCCACAAAAGTATCTTGGCATGACTCCTCCCATTTCAACGGCGGAGCCAACGCAGAAAGAAATTCAAGCGACCGAGCAGCTGGTAACCACGTTGAAAGAACTTGGTCTGTTTGAAAGCGAAGAGGAATCTAGAAAACGGTACGATTTATAAGTGAGATGGACTCATTCTGAATGTGTATTCACAAAAGACTCCTTGCAGTGAGTTGGTGCTGGGGAAGCTGAACTCAGTCTTCAAGGACTTTGTCAAGAAAGTCACGATGCAGCAAGGTGTTCCAGAGTCGATGGCAGCAGAAGCTGGGGGGAAGATATTCACTTTTGGATCATATCGTCTTGGAGTACATGGCAAAGGTACGTCTGCTAGCGAGTACAAAAACATGTTCTATCTGTTGACGTGGATATCCTTACAGGCAGTGATATTGATACTCTCTGCGTGGCGCCAAGACACGTTAAACGGGAAAGCTTTTTTAGTTTGATGTATTCATCACTGAAAGCAAGGTCGGAGGTGACGGAGATCACGGCGGTTCCAGATGCTTATGTACCTGTGCTGAAGTTCCAGTTCTCTGATATACCAGTAAGCACCAGAATGCACTGTCGCACACTGTATCGGCACCGTTTGTCCCGTGACTGATTATGTTTGTAAAAATATCTCAGATTGATCTCCTCTTTGCCCAACTGGACCGATCAACGGTACCTGACGACTTGGATCTAGCTGATGATAACTTGCTGAAGGGACTAGATGAGCGTTGCGTTCGAAGTTTGAATGGATCACGAGTGACCGACGAGATTCTGCGCCTTGTTCCGAACATTGATGCGTTTCGAATAGCGTTGAGATGTATTAAGCTTTGGGCAAAGCGTCGAGCGATTTATTCTAACGTTATGGGCTTCTTTGGTGGTATTGCATGGGCTATCCTCGTGGCAAGAGTTTGTCAACTCTATCCTAACGCGGCTGCTGGCGCGATCGTATCAAAATTTTTCCGTATCATGCACAAATGGTAAGATGTTGCTATTCGGCAGGCGGCAAGTGCTCCATACTGATGTATCCTTTTAAATGCAGGGCATGGCCGCAGCCTGTACTGCTGAAGCAGATTGAGGAGGGGCCATTGGCAGTGCGAGTATGGAATCCCAAAATATATCCACAAGATAAGGCGCATCGAATGCCGATTATCACGCCCGCATATCCGTCAATGTGCGCTACCCACAATGTCACTGTTTCAACGCAGCGAGTGACGACTGAGGAATTTGAGCGAGCAGCAGATATAGCTGATCGCATAATGGTCGGATCTGGACGTTGGGTGGAGCTGTTCACAAAAAGCGATTTCTTCTCACGATACAAGTACTACTTACAAGTGATCGCGTCGTCGAAGGAAGCTGAATCACAGCTAAGATGGTAAGAATTAGATTTAACAAAGTCAACCGCCAGCAGCTTGTTCAATTATGATTGCTTTACAGGGCCGGTATGGTCGAATCGCGGTTACGTCAATTGGTCATGAAGCTGGAACTGGTGGACCATTTGGAGTTGGCGCATCCTTATATCGAAGGATTCGAAAAAGTATGCTGGTGTTTAAATGAGGAAGAAAGGAACCAGGCCGCCCATGGCCAATTTCCACCTCCGCGCGAGGAGAAAGACTTGGATATGTCCACTGCTACGCAGATCCATACAACGACATTTTACATTGGGCTTTGCATCAAAGCAAAGGACCCGAACTCAAATGCCCCCAGGAAATTGGATATATCATGGCCAACTAGAGAGTTTGTTGGAATGGTCAGATCTTGGGATAAGTTCGATGCTGCAAGTATGGGAATCGTCGTGCAATACATGAAAAGGTATGATCTTGTTGATCATAGTCATCGATGGCGGCTAATGTTCGCGTCGTCCTGGCTTGCGCAGTGTAGCACTGCCGCCTGAAGTATTCGACGAGGGTGAACAACCAAGGCCTATGAAGAAGCGACCAAAATCCAGGGTACGTGCACAATGTATGAAAGCATCTTATAATATCGATCTCATAATATGGTACCAGAACCGCTCGAATCCTCCACTCGAGGACCTCCCCGCGAAAAAGAGGAGAGCATCTTTCACAGACGCTGTCGCAATTTCTGGAGATGGATATGCATATACTCATTTGAACGGAAGCAGTGATACCAACCTAAAAGAGCCTACGATAAGAGAAGGAACTGAGGAAAACGGGAGCGACAGCAGTCATGTACCATCTTTACAATCGGGAATTGATGCTCATGACAGTGCCGGATCTGATGCAAATGGATCCAATGTCAAGTACAGTCAAGCCGTACTACGGAAGCTTGGCAGGTTCGTGTCAATCTCAATTATCAACATATTAAGACAGTCTAATAATGTTACGTTTATTCAGCGATCGGCCAGCGTCACCGGCGAATGGCTCATTTAGCGGCTCGTCACCACCGGCAGCAATCTCCAGCCACACGTATGCGCAAATTGGCGGCATGAGCGGCATCAATGTTGGGATGTCGAGAAAATTCCCAGAGATCAAACTGAGGTTGGCTGGGCAACAACCAAGGGCGGGGGAAACCATCGGAGGGTCAAGCGGAGCAATATGATAAAACGAGCCGGAGGTGCTTTCAGTACCTGAACACCCGCAAGTGCCCCAAACGTTGACAGTAACGACGCTAAGAATGAAATCTAGTGCAGGGTATCCGGCAACACAGAAAATTTATAGTCCAGTTGGGCACTTAATTTGTAAAAAGCACGAAAAACCATCATGTCTAAGGGACAGGTAAGGAAAGAAGGGCATAGAAAACAAGAAATCATCATGGCGTGTACTCGGGGACATTTAAACAGGCAGCGGTTGTACACCAACTATCTCCAGGAAGCTCGTGGTTTCAATGCCTACTACTGGACTTGACGTCGCGCATATGGAGGAAAATTTAACCTCCAAACTGTGGGAGGTATGCTAGGGATGGTGCCAAGAGAACTGAGTAACGAACGAGCGAGAGGCAAACTCGTATGTTATTCCAAATTTCTCTTCTGGATGGTAGCTGATGTTAAGGTTGGGGTCCCCGATCGCCTGAAATGTAGGAGGTTCGGTGTATAGCTTGTGTTCAAACACTTTTTGCTGTGTAAGATTTTAATAACTATATTCCTTTAAGCCATTCCCGTCCATGTATCTATCAGCATGTGAATGTTCGCCTGGAGATCTGTTGACATCCGCTAGGACGCTAGCTGGTGGGAAGGTACATACCGTTTCTTTGTGATGGCGAATGAGACGGTTAGATATGTTCTGTGCCTACCATATACCCTTTTATGAGCGCCTAATGACATACAGATCTTCATTTGTGCTGATATGCGATAACACACTAGCAAAAATGCATATTCACACTCAGTTGTTCCTCCATATAGGATGATGACCAATGAAAGAACTTTATCTAAACGCAGCGTTTTATTAAATTGGGGGTTCTCAGCCCAAAGCTTTCTTTCATTTATGCGCCGAGTCTCCTATCCAGGAAAAGTTCATTCGTTGGTATTTCGCAGGCCAGCACACTTACGCTATGACGAGGAAAGCTTTGCGACCTGGTACGCGGCATCCGTTCCCATTACCTAATCTTGCAATGCACGTGATTGGGTTCAAGGGCCGCATGAGGGGAATGGACGTTGTCTAGTTGGAAGCGTGCTGATCTCTCCTTGGATGTGCAGCCAAGTCGGACAATGTGGGCTCCTCTCCGAGTACGGCTAGCCTTTACTTCGCATAGACTAGTACGAGATAGGACTGTCTTACGATCTTATGGCCATACATCTACCGAGTCTTTAACGCCAAATGTTGCGAGGTTGCCCTCGACAGTCGACGTCGGAACAAGGTTTGAAGAAGACACCCTCCGTTGTCTATCCCGTTATGGCATAGACTTACGTCGAGTCGGGGGCGCAGACGACAAGGGGGTCGATCTTCGCGGACGTTGGAGGCTTCCAAAGGAGGGTGGTGTGGACCCAGCACTGTCATCACCTGGCCATCACGGTGGATTTCTCGAGTTCCCAATTATCGTACAGTGCAAAAAGGAGCGAACAAAGCTTGGACCAAAATATTTTCGCGAACTGGAGGGCACCCTTGCGCGTGAATCACCTAATACGATTGCCCTGTTGGCATCTAGTGAAGGGTTTTCAACTAAAGCGGTGGACCTATTATTTGCTTCCAGAGTGCCCCTTGCACTGGCTGTTATCAATTCGGACCGGATCTGTGTGCGATTGGCGTTGAATCGGGCACTGCAGGAACTAGTACCTGGTCTGATGGTTTACAAGAATCAGTCAAACGAGCTCACGGTATGGTACCGAAATAAAAGCTTGACGTCAATCTAGCATAAAGAAATTCCAGTCGTCTTTCCTAATGTCGCTACCAGTTAAGGGAACCCTGACTTTCCACAGAGATGTATCTTCTTATTTGACATGATTTTACGTTTGGCTAATGAGCGTATGCGTCATCTATGTCCCTTCGTCATCACTCCTTTCATTCCAGTTACGGACACCCCGTGCCCGAAGTTCAAGTTTTTGCAGTTGCTCCTTCTCTCCCTGACTCAAGTCATCTCTCTCCTTGATAGCTGTAACAGCGTCGACTAAAATACGTCGATTTGCTACAAGGCGTTCCTTTACTTCTAGTTGGCTTTGTGTGGCACGCGCACTCTGTTTGACCGGACGCGGCATAATGGATTGTGGAATGACACCTCTCCGGGCATTCCGGCTATCCGTGACGGTTACCGCTACGCCAAAAAAAAACCCCGTAAGACAAATCTCATCTTTCCAGTAAAACCACGTTTTTCCTTGACATACTTTGAGTAGCAGCGTCTCTTGTATCTGCTGCCTTTTCAGTCCAGAATCGCACTTCAGCTTTCAACGTATTACTCATCTCCAACAAATGCGCCTTCTCGTCCGCCATTCGCTGAATATCTGTAACAGCTTCTGCCAACTTTTCTCTCAAGATTTTGTTGTCCTGTTGCAGCTTTGTGATTATTTGCATCGAGCCATCTCGGTCGCTCGATCTTCCATTATTGCGATCCCCTATCAGTCGGATGCTGTCGTCCATCTTCTGATGCAGCTTCTGTTGCTGGTCTACCAATTGGTCAATTAGCGACTGCTTTTGAGTAAGGAGAGTCTGGAGCTTGATCAGCTGTGTATGGAGATGAGCAGACTCGTCCAAAAAGTGACTTTCGTCAATTTCCTAAATAAATCTCGTTCAACAATCGCATCTTCGTCCTGACCAAAATCTGCGGGTATACCTTGCTGTGATGTTGCGGGGCGCTATGAGGGGGGGCTTCCTGTTCCATAAAAGCGTGCTGCATGCTTTCCATGTCGTTTCTCATTTGATGAATTATGTCACTCAATTGAGCATTCTAATTGCCATGATGACGTTTTAGTTCGGGAATGGACAGCAAGAAGACCTTGTCCTGGCCAACCTGGGCGCGTAGCTCTTGTACGCGGTGTCGCAAGACATCAGGATCATGTTCCGCCATTCCTCCCACATCCTGGCTTGATGAATTATAAAAGTCGCTCAGATCGCGCAAATCATGTCCGTGTGACCGCGTTCTCCCCGTAGCTCTGCTGGAACTCCGATAAGTGATTCCAGTACTGTGTCGATTCGTATGGGCTGGTCCGACTGGAGGCGTAGATGCGGGTCGAGAATCCATGTGCGCCTGTTGGAATACACATGTTAAATAACTGGCATGTGGAAGATATGACATCGAACGGAAACGGGGAACCTACATTGATGTTCATTCCGAAATCCATAACTGAAGATGAGCGATGTTGTTCTTGCAGGCGGCTTCGTAGTAGCTTTTCGCATTAAAGGACATGAAAATCTGAGCAGAAACCGTTGTAAACCAGATGTACTCGCACCTTAACTTGAGCCTCCGCAGCATCTTTCGCTGCAATAAGTGAGCGGACCAGATCATCCTGACTCTGCGTATTCCTTCGTTGAAGATTGGCCATGCGCTTCTCCCACTCCAACTTTTCTGCAATTCTGTTTCATCAGCATCGGGTGGACGACAACGAGTTGCTGAGGCAGCTACCTACGCTGGTTGAGAGTGAGCTGAAGGGCTTGCTCTGCCATCAAGCGTTTTGCCACTTCGTCTTTATAAGCCTCTGTTTCTCTTCTGCTGGCACTAAGCGCGGTTTCCAGATCCCTGATGCATTCTCGCTGCTTTGACATTTCTTGGTCTCGGTGTGCTAACTGGTGCATCGGACAAACATGAGCAATAATCGATCAATCATGACAATTTGTTTTGGTGGTGGTACCTCGGATTTATACTTTCGAATAATAGCGTCAAGATCGCTCCTTCCTACGTTCATTTCTGCATTTAAAGCTTGGAGCTGTTGATCCTTGCTCGAGAGTGCCTCCTTTAACTGTCGCAAGCGGCCATCGCTCTCTGATCTGTACGCAGCAAAGTCGTCAACTGCTTTCGCAAGCTGCTCGTGCAGGTGGCTGACTTGACCGTCAACCAAAGATTTCCTCTGTTCTAAGATCTGAGGAACTTCAAGCTCAGAGCATGTCCAAATGCCGAAACCTCCCGCGCAAATCCACAAATACCTTCTTTTCGTCTTCAAAGTCCAGACGCAATCTGGTGCAATTTTCCTCATATTTCTTTGCGGCTTCCGACGCATCAACTTTGGCCTGTTCGTCCGGATTACTATTCCATGTTCTTAGACATGGTAACCAGCGAACCCCACCTGTCGCAATTGTTCTTCAAGTTCCGCAATTCTCCCTGTCGTAGCCTTCGCCGTATCTGCCGCCTCCCATTGCAGTTCACGAACCTTTTTGTCTAAATTGCTAGATCGGCACTCGCCTTAGTAAATACTCATACAACATTTCAGTAAGGTCAAGCAGTCTATACCGAGTAATCTCCAATTGTTCTTGAAACTTTTTCTCAACACTGTCTCTAGCAAGCTTTACGGCAGTCAACTCGGCGATGGCGGACGCAACACGATGCTCGGCTTCAATCAATTGTTGGCTTAAGTTTTGCTTGAAGACTCGCATCTCGATGTCTTGGCTTCTCTTGAGTTGCTCTAATTCAACAGCAAAGGCATTTCTATGAAGATACTCTTCAGTTAATATTACATTGCAGATATTCGCTTCATATGAAGACTTACTTTTGCAACTCAATGCCCTGCTGGGCTGTCTTTAGCTGCAGGTTCAGATCTGCTCGCTGTAATTCAAACTCTTCCGCCCGCGCATTTATCGCATCCTCGTAATGCTGGGTAAGGATCTATGTCGAGACATCACAGATGGAACTGGTAAGTCATTCCATCTCATCTGAGTCCAAAAGAGTTCATTCTGAGTAAGATATCACCTCTTTCTCTCGTTGAAGTTTTCGAACCACATCGTGATGTTGCTGCTCCTGAGTTTGCAGAAACGATTTCAGGTTCGCCAAAGCGGTGGTCTTTTCATTTAGCAAGATCTTTAATTCGCTTATCCGGCATTCTCTAGTGCAGCCTGCCAACATTAGCAGGAACCATTGTAGACTTTCGAATTGTTGTTGGTACCTGTCGTGTACGTCCGTTTGCAAACCGTCGGTTATAGTGTCAGATCGCTCGAGTTCTTTGTCGCGTTCCTCCAACAGATTGAGGTTGTAAAGAAAGTCGTCCTGTAAGCTTTTCAACTGGGTTCGCAACTCTTGACACTATGAATGATTGTAGGTGAGGCAATGCTAACTGCCCGACAAGTGTCAAAAGGGTTGGGTAACCAACTACCGACCTCGTTCCCCTTCTCCCGCAATTTCTCTTCCAAGGCGTTATAAAAGTCTCGGAGCTCCTGCTCCCTGTGTGTCAGCAGCTCCTGGAGCCCAATTCCTTTTGCAGTGCCCATAAGAAAGACTGAAGGAAGTAGAGGGTGAGGTTGTATGCACAATTTCTGGTTTGCAGATCATGGCAAGGGCTTTGCCAAAAACGCGTCGACAGTGCTGACGTGGGTGGATTCTGATATCTGGAATGGAATGTTCCGGTCGGTGGTCACTCAGCTCCATTCAAGTAGATTAGAGCCTGCGGGCGACTGACGAAAATGTAATGTCTGTTCCGGAGGCGGAGGCGGATGTGTCTCTAGCGGCGGACGACAGAAACTGTTCGCAAAATCGTCTGAGGATAGAGGACGTCGAAACCCCCACAGAAAAGACTGTGACATTTCGTCCGTTACCTTTATGGACTCTGCTCATACCGTTCTCTATCGTCGGAGTTCTGATACGACTTGGTCTTTTGGCTCTTAACAATTATCCTGGTGGGTTGCTTGTTCAGGACGACTAGGTCCAGCAGTTCACCCCTCTCACTGGCACATTGTTTTGCGCTTCTGCAGATGCCCCGGTTGTCAGCATAGTCTACCCTCAGATTGTAGGCTGCGTCATAATAGGATGGCTCAATGCGAAAAGGGAGATAATAGCAGTCAGGTAAGCGGACAAACGGGTATGGAACGTGCCAGGTATTCGAATAACAGATCAATGGCACCAACCTTCAAGATACTATCCAGCGTTTGTTGGTTTAGCAACCGGATTGTGCGGTAGGTCCTGCATTTTGTTCTCGATCATCTTGCTGAGCTGTACAATCTTGTTGATACTACCAATCTAGGATCAATCACAACTTTTTCCAGCTGGAATCTAGCAGCGTTTTCCGCCTTTGCGAACCTTTCGGACGCGCCCAGAAGTGTTGGCCAAAACGTAAGTGTCGACCGATTAGGACGATCGATCACCTCAAGCATACGGCTTACTTGGCACCTGGCTAAATTCAGTTCCTTGCTGGAATCGGGGTCATTGTGATTGTATTGGGAATGTCCATCGTTTCTGTCGCATTCGGAGCGCACCTAGGGCGCCTGCGTTTTGGAGCTTCTTTGAACGGCCATACTAGCCCCCTCGTGAAGCTTACGTTCCTGCGGCATCCTGAGTCTCTTATGAGGCCGACATTACCCGATACTGTGGCAGTAGCGGGCGGTCTCAGCACTTGGTTGCTGGTTGCGATTTTATGCGGTACCTTATCAAGTCAACGCCATACGTGGTTTGCTACCATCTTTGGACCCATAGGTATACAGTTCTCAGCAGATAGCTGCACATGGTTCAGGGAATGACGAGGCGATCTTCTAGGTACTATGGTCCGGTATCGCTTTGCTGCGTTGAATGGAAAATATCGGTCTTTTCCCTTTGGTACCTTCCTAGGTTGGTTTTTTTTTGCTGTTTATGATTCAGTTAAATCTCTGAGGGACTCATTTGGTCGACAGTCAATATTATCGGCACAGCGATTTTGGGCGCACTGTATGTGATCAGTCATGCCGCTGCACTTGACCCAACATCATGTTCTGTAATCACGGGTCTAGCGGACGGGTTTTGCGGATGCCTTACTACTGTCTCGACATTTGTGGTGGAACTAGAGCTTCTCGGCTTGCGACGGTCGTATATCTATGGATTTACGTCCATCTGTTGTGGCCAGGTGGTTCTCGTTCTTATTGTCGGCATTTTCAAGTGGAGCCATGGCTTAGGGCCTGCATGTATTTCTTGAGCAAAAATATGAGAACCCGTGTATCAACCTTATACCCGGAAAGCGTGTGTTCAAGTCTAGTTTCGAATTCATGCTCATGCATACCAGTATCATGCGCACAACGTCAAATGACCACATCCTTGACATATATGCGAGCTCATTGGAGATAGTTTTGTGTGATTAATCAAACTATCTCCAAAAAGAGCAGTCTGTTCAAACCGCATGGCAGAGTTGCTACGTACATGTTGCATTTCAACAGATATTTGACAGCGAGATGCAGAGGGCGGCGAATCTGTAGGGATGTATAGTGTAGGAGGAACAATATGAGGCAATGACTAAAGTCTTCATTTATTCCACAAAACTAATTGGTTATCGGATATCGTACATGTGTTGCTTCGAAGCGATGGGAAAGAGGAGTCATCGCTGAGGTCGGATAACTTTCTTCGAGTCAAGAAAAGCAGGACGTCAATGGCCCGCATGGATATCTCCAAAACCCTGCAATGTCTTTGGGCTTAGAAAGTTGGATAATGCATCTCTGTGCACACGCAATGGTCAAGATGGATGACGTAAGCTGATCGACGGTCACGAGCATCACGTGCCCGCTCATGGACCAGGCAATGGTCCCAAAAAATGATCACTTTGCGATATTTTGCGATTCCAGCAATACCAATGTCATTGACAAATACGGTAGGGAGAGCCTTGGAACAACCCGCAAGATCTGCTCACCCCGACGGGTTGCTAAATTGTACAATTCTAGGACTGCCCAGAACTCAAGCTCATTGCCCGCGGCAAGGTGCGGGATCTGTACGATGTTGACGAAAAGACTCTACTTTTTGTCGCCACGGACCGAATCAGCGCTTTTGACGTTATCATGAAAAATGTAAGTCATTTCGAGAGATATGTGCACATTTAGGTGCTCAGTATTATGCATAGTTAAATAGGCTACGTGATTCAAATAGGGCATTCCTGGCAAGGGCAAGATATTGACACAAATCAGCCAATTTTGGTTTGATTTGTTGAAGGGTGTTGTCCCAAATCACTTGATCACTTGCGATGTCGACGAGATGCCAGAGTCTGTGCAAAAGTACCGATCAAAGATTGAAGGCCGCGCTATGCTGGTTCGCAAATTGAAGATCTTGCCTGTCGAAGCGATTGTGCGGGGCTATATCAGCGGTTAGTTGTTCAGCTACATTTAGTAGTGGCATGAATCTATCGGGTCTCACAGGCGGCATCACGTATAGGATCCGCGTGGAGTGAGTACAAGAAGAAGGGCACAATTTGCGACATACCTTTACCAGCCGGATTGAGAGAATCTGAAGAGTTCGAGGAGCCGATCTTTACGCCAAGTACAAAAGCCGAGATAGGAGACCATGGTGAGCATACTGCTACAGACTATAAGTCATCATATCGCTGGCGTCGCTAACCAAAGTTACCCCAGACGAAAACATTCACCCTGACAAACGTAGGTTTCCTTGCAAACTTGGGCCAAAAAGGACCTAGGATTCGGCGTAGCTGACCACTGTGAAATTACAGTTCCTGGCATCATTGGGGAGCGGTATGCTAAGGAGGTTGCCGAGGTGGCTGTGAAAATCTACACTAAGGTGGTGGCCGCAGAATCCATTCCCTCACAAAATGCGGAACTTATTTTGCCCGTTTAGGCGAGAGATTACGCGCGAACGAAGGGTATCATCATTGCGGATACCAAGTTCGAATTTGGAGTTGATGAGAACGGCACCCTCGTGCTTGCGGACGAAGTCCTCACCCCAGGTATAATCCTCCTTTCTAAATACCCTTTGGCGATGACGCTTCTATTAAGTCTCTCCCTCTCACTAGACTCGTCCAGATTCTGGCCGGCAGATAAATACGCCGTTGGCCAAGGGCAACCAAGGTAGGTCTCATCCATTCGACAATACATCCTTGTCCATGTCCTAACTATTCCCGTAACAGTTACGATAAGCAATACCTTCGCGATTACCTCACATCCATCAATTTCGACAAATCGGCTGGGGTTGAGCTTCCTCAAACGGTTGTGGATAACACCATGGCCAAATACGTTGAGGCGTTCACCATCCTCACTGGCAATCCACCACAACTTTAATTCATCCCATGGGGGTTCCATGTCACCATCCTAGGGCAGCGTATGATAATGAAAACAGTTTCCTCAAACATCAAAGTGCACATTTTCAATCAGTCGTGTTCAAACCGGCAACCCTACTGTATTTCTAGCAAAGTATCGCGTCATGTAACCTAATCCTGTTCCGATCTATTAATACTGGACTATCTTGACGCAATACAAGCTGAAATTTGGTGGCCTACCTGATACCCCTCCCGGGACGTAGGATCCAAGATAATAAAGCAGTGCAAAAATTTGTATGACACTGCAAATGATAGTCATGATAGTATAGTTTTTCTGTTTTGTTCAATGTGAGACTCGAATTGCACATCAAGCGCTATTTGAAACATACCACCACAGCAAAATATAACGTAAGTATCATTGATCCCAGATACGCCGCGGTGAATGGAAGCCTTTCTTTGGAAAATATATGCCGTAAGAATGCTTTTGGGCCTGAAACAGCGGATATGGAAGGAGTCAGAGGGACCAGTTTTCATCTGTCATTTGCGAGCCTCATGAATTACCTTGCAAAAGAGATAAACTGATCGCGGGCATAGTAGTGAGCTGTTTCTTGCCAAGTGCTTATTCGTGCCATGCGAAAATCAAATGTTACCTTGTCAAAGCTAGCACGCTTCCCATTGTGTATAATGTTGCAAATTTGGCAGGTTTAAGTGCCAGTATAGGGATGGTGAAGAAAGCCTGGAGTAAATAGGAGGTTAGATTAGATACCCACCACGTAAAGCACATCTTGCGATCCACGTACAATCATGAAGCAGAAGATAGACAGTCCTGGGTGGTGATGCCAACAGAGGTTTAGGTGTGAGACGCTGGCTGCCATAATCGCACTGAAACTATCTACCTAGAGTAGCAACGAAGCCAACAAGCCGCTGTCGAGAGCTAATGAGTATAAGAAACGGGCGTACCAACAAACGTGCATACATACCTGCCAGCGAGACAACCCGAACAATTCCGTCTCTTGCTGCCCCCCCAGCCCAAGTCCCGAAAATGCATCTAGAGAGCCATCATAAGAAAGTTCGAAATTTCCGTCAATCATATCCAAGTCACATACTTTGCGTTCCGGTTCTAAACCGTCCTAGTAAACTTTCGGTGGCCTCATCCTGACCAGGCCCGTTTCCAGATGGTCCCCCGAAATACGAGGAAATGGAGAATCCGGAATTTGCATTCCCTGCTCCAGTGCGCCCAGCGCCAGAAGCATTGAAGGATCGTAGCGACTCCCGGAAAGTCTGCTCAGCGTTGCTCATGTGCAAGATCTGCTGCTGGGGCTCTTCAAGTGATGATGCAGTCTGACCCTCCTCGAAGCGCCACACTTGAGGCATTACGTAAATGCCTACGTTAACCGCTCACGGGACTCTGGCCAGGATCGTCGCTGTTGAACCTAGCAGATGGTTGGGATCAACGATGCCAGAGTTCTTGCGGTTACAGTTGACTAAACCGCCACCACAAATTGTCTATGTGTCCCAACCTTTTCCCCTTACGGTGACCATCTCGGATGATCTTGGATCCCATGTGTACTTTGGTGCAAGTCCACTACGATGTAAGTCTGGTCGTCGAACCTCACCCTAGGCAACAGACAAACCCACTCCAGCAGTACGACTACAGCTAGTGGATCCGAATACATATGAGATCGACACTCGTTTTTCCCTTCGACTGGATAGAAAGGATGGAATATGTGTTCCTCCCAGTGGCAATAGTTATGTCAAGTTCAATGTCACAATAGAGCCCGCACTTCGAGAGAAACGCAAAGCACAAAGAATAGATATTACACATGTCAAGCTTCTACTAAAGGTTGACGAACAAGAACTATTGAAAGAGGTGAAAAGCGAAAAGAGCTGGACTCAAGAGGTACCTGACTTTGTTGGATTTCGCGGTGTTTATCATAGCGATGCCGGGGAAATACTCCCCCTCCCCGTCTATTCAGCAGCAATACGTATCTCGAGTGCAAAGGCACCTACCAATACTGAAGGTAGGTTTTCCTCGTCTGCAGCGTAGGGCTGAATATCAACATTTCAGTGTGCTGGAATGGATGCTTGCTACTGGATGATGTCAATCCCATATTTGTAGTCCTCAAGACACAACGATGCGAACGCCACTTCGTTTTCTCACTTGGCCCCGAATGTCCAGTGCTCCGTTTGCCTATTCAAGAGCATATCCATATGACGTTTTCCACGGGCACTCACATCTGGGACTGTTCCCCTGTTCTCGCACAATATCTTCTGCACGCGAGGGAGCGCTGGATTCCGGAGGGGGAGCATGTCAAGGTTTTAGAACTGGGTGCCGGCTGTGGATTATTGGGGATTGTTAGTGCCATTGTTGGCGGAGATGTTGTAGTCACAGACATGGAGGATACAGTACAGGGAATCTTGCGCGATAATGTCAATGAAGCGCAAAAGTTGATTAAGAGTTCTGGGAAAAATGGGCGTCTTCGTGCTCTGTCCCTCGAATGGGGAATACTTCCTGTCGATACCGTCACCAGCGTACTGGAAGCAAATCCTGATGAATCCTCTCGAATGCTTGTTCTTGCGGCGGATGTCCTGTATAATATTGGCTCGCATGAAGTTTTCCTGCAGACTCTAGTATCTATCAAGGCGTCATTCAATGTAGATGTGTTGATTGGGTACAAAAAGAGGGGCCCTGGTGAGGAGCATTTCTTCGAAATGGCAAGTGAGGAATTTGACGTCGAAAGTGTCGGAAAGGGGTGGAATGTTGAGATATTCTGGCTGAGGTCTCGGTAGTAGTATGACATTGGATGCATATAGCTGCTTGCAAGCTTGTAATGTAGACCCTGTTTAATAGTGATATAAGCAGTATAAGCAATTCTATAAATAGTACCCAGCAATTTGAATCATAGATTCAGGGTAGCAGGGTGATGATTTACCGTTCGCCTGGCGCTTTCTCCTACCACTTGTGCGCATCTTCTGTTGCTTTTTAACAACATTTATCCATCCTCTGAAAACATGCCGAATTCTGACTGGATAATCTCGTCAAAGTACCAAGCCGATCCTTCAGTGGCAGTAAGTGGTCTCTGGGCTTTGTCCCTATCACAAGGAAGACGATTGACAACGATCCTTTCCTAGGGAGCTGAAGCCCAATGGAGATCGAGCCCCAAATTGGAGAAATATTTCATGTCTGATGATTTAGAGAAGACCAAGCTCAGAAAGATGGTTCGGACTGGCATACCCGATTCACTCAGAGGTTAGTAGTTTTGCTGTTTTTTCTAATAGGCTTGCGACGCTCATACAGTTCGCTTATTTCATTTAGGGGAACTATATGCAAGAATGTTGAAACTCGACAAACTTAATGGTAAGGAGCTCAATCCCATATCTATCAATGTCAATCAAAGCCTCAAGACAATAAGATATTGTGGGCGCAAGCTTTGCAGGCTAGCTTACATTTCATCATTTCATTACATCAGAGTACGAGAAAAACTATGAAATCGCCCTGTCGCGGACTCACGGAACTCAGATCCCGGCGACACCCCTTCCTCCCACCTTCGGCGGTCGATCATATCGGCATGGTATTGCCTTAAATGCGAAGGGTACCGCGATCGTCGAACACGTTCTATGCATCCTTGCGCATGACTTCCCGAATCTAGAGTATTGTCCCTTTGTTCCAGCTTGCGTCACGCTACTTGCCCATCATATGCGGAACGAAGATGAACTTCTCGCAGCTGCGGTTAGCATCATAAAGCGAAGCATGGCGCAGTCTCAAGTAATGTCCAGTTCAAACTTGTCAAAATCTTCCTCCAGTGTGGCCATAGGAGAATGGGCTTTTTTCCCGACGTATAGAAAAGGTGTCAAGTTCATGTTTCGGGCCTTTGGAAACCTGCTGCACAGAACCAACCGAAAACTCCATTATCACATTACGGAGCTTCATTCGTCTTCTCCCGACCCTGTATGGGCGTCCTGGCTCACGAGTTTGTTCATTGATGTCTTCCCGCAGCCAGCTTTATGGCGAATGCTTGACTGCTTCGTATTGGAGGGTTATAAGGCGCTATTCCGGTTCGGGGTGGGCATGCTGCTGGCAAATCGGGACGGAGTTATGCAACAAACTGACTTGGCGGGAGTGAAAGCACTTTTAACACCAGAGAATCCTGTGTTCAAGAACTTGGCCCCATTATGTAAAGCAGCTGATGGCGTGAACGCAGCCCGCGCAGAGGTCCGCAAATTGGTCGAGCACCATCAAACATTGGCTGCGATAAGTCGAAGTGACGATATCCACGAAGCACAGTACCGGTTTCAGCGGGGCTTGCCAAAGATTGTAGGAGGATTGAGCGATACAGGCACTGGCAGTAGCATTTTGAGTGACGAGCATTGGATTGCACTGTGGAGTTGGATACCGCCTTCGAAACGGGTTGAAGGACTGGAATTGCTATTTACGACAAAAGAGCATGGGACCCATGTAAATAACTTGTTTCGCAGGACCGATGACAGAGCTCCTTTGATTTTACTAGTGGAGACAACCGAGGGTGCAGTGTTTGGGGCTTTTCTAAGTCACGCATGGCCAGGAGAGGGTGAAAGAACTGGGGAATGGTACGGTAATGGTATGTAGTGCTTCTGCTTCGAATCTTGATGAAGGTGGGATATTGCCGAAGTGTTAACCTGTTTCCTTTATCGTCAGGCGAAACGTTTTTGTTTACGCTAGAACCGTACGCAAAACTGTACCCTTGGGTCGGTCGGACGCATACCATAATTGAAACTGAGTCTCCAGATGGTGATCTGTCAGAAAGTGCTGCTTCCCCTTCCAGCATTTATACTGCCGATTATGTACGAGATAGAGCATCCATGTTCATCATGATTGACAAGAAGCAGATCTACATTGGAGGCGGAGGGTATGGCAGATGACTTTGATGTGATATACTTTACCTTACCAATCTAGGACCTAACTTATTTCTCAACTTAAAAGGAGCGGCACGGGTCTCTTCCTAAACGAAACGTTGACGGCGGGTGATACGGGTCCTTGCCAGACATTCGAAAATGCGCCTTTAACGGGCTCAAAGGATAAGCGTTTCGAGTGCCACGTCGTGGAAGTTTTTGCCTTTAGTTGAACACTTTGAACGTGTACTTCAAAGGCACGAACCGGCCGACATCAGGGTGAAGGCTTAGGGCTACTAGTATGTACATATACTTTCTCCTTAGAATATACAAAATCTATATACATAGCGTCGATAGCGGTCCATTAATGATTCTATATGTTAAGCAACTCCTCGACATCAATTGACTTCAGAAGTCTGGATGCATACTGGGCTTGTGGATGCCGTCGTTTCAGTCCCTTGTAAGTTGAACACGCCTAACGGAAACTCCTCCCGAATACGGCAATTCACGCCGTTTGATCGAAGGTCATATTCCCTCCAAAAGCTATTCACGGTTCGGCCGACTTGTAGCAGTTCAAATTCAGGCAAGATGTTGAGATATCTGAAGAGTTGTCCAATGCCAACTTGCTGTTCAAGAATGAGTCGCAGATATTCTGGATCTGTAATCGTCACCGTGCTTTTCGCATTGCAACAGATCTGCACGAATGCTTCAGTAGGTGAAACCACTGTGGGTTTTGGTAGAACATTATTCCTCACCTGATTCAAGCAGCGCAAATTGACCTCGCGCCGAAAGACGCTCTCCGTCTCCGCATTCGAGGCACTCTCCTCGTTGATTAACTCGTTGTGTATAATGTCCACCGAAACCGTAGAGTTGTAATAGGCGCTTTAGTTCACCAAACAAAGGTTACACATTTTTGATGCCATCATCCAAGGTTTGACCCTTTACCTAAGAATTCTTTGCACATTTCCATTCGCTGTCAAGAGTATGCGTTCCATGGGAGAAAAGTCAGTTGGTAATATCAAAGTGGTTTCTCTCGAGGACATAATATCCCCCTGCCAGAAGCCATGGTTGGTGGAAGTATCATGCTAATGCTTTTGCAAGTTCATCACATACAAAGTGCCGAGGCACCGTCTCAGTTCCTTTCTCGATAGGTTGCATAGGTACAGCTTCCTCTACAGCGTCCTGGCTGTCCAATTCCGTCGTCGGCGGCATCGTTGATGAAAAAAACAAATGCTGATGATCTTAACCGCGAGTTTGTTTTTGCAATGCGCCCGATTGGAACCAAACATTTGGTAAATATCATTAAACCCTTTCTGGCAGCGATCAGTCATGACGTCTCCAAACCCATTGGAGAACCTTCGCCTGCCTTTCGAACGAGCTGATGGGAAAGCTTTTAGAGATTCAGTGATCGGGAGATCCTGCGCAAGTATACTGCATTGACAAGGTCTCGCTTGCCCTCTACGCCGAACGGGTAACGAGCGCAACCCATTTGGCCGTCTCCCCAGTCGCCAGGAACGTGCTCTTGTCGATCTATCGATCAAAGCTGCGACAGCTTGGCCTTCCTTCTCTCCCCCCTTGAGCGCTGGTCGCTTGGCAAGTTGTCGTTGCTCAACATTACGCTGAAATTGTACTACCGGCTTAACGCTTGAGCTTATATTGGAATCAGTGTGCTGACGCCTGAAGCCTCTTTGGGCATCCTAATCTGGCTTGACCCTCCCACGCCTACTGCCGCTATATTCGATAATCGATATACGTGGAGGTTTGGATTGAAGAGAAAATTACGCTGCCCCTTTTAAGAAAGGCTTTGGGGCCTTGATTGCACAATGGCGGAAGTGCCTGAAGGATCAGCGCCGGTGGACACTGTGGAAGAAAAAACTTTGGAAAAACACGAGTCACAGAGTGAGGCAGATACGTCGGATAAGGATACAAAGCAAAGTTCTCCTGGGGACGGAGAGGAAAAGGATACCGCTGAAAGTGAAGCCGCACCTGTCGAGTCCTTGCGATGTGTAAAAGTCTTTGAGCTAGACACAGATGGGAAGTGGTCGGATAAAGGAACTGGAGTTGTGGAATGTGTATATGTGGAGGTTAGTTTGCAACCAGATCTCACATACCAGGTCCTTGAAGGAAAAACGGCCGTGCCTTGACTAACTGGCGCTCTCTTTCCTTCAGCCTAAGGAAGCGATGTGTTTGGTGGTCCGCTCGGATCGAGACAATACTGTGCTGATGAATTCGACCATTCGCAATGGTGTAAATTATGTTCGTCAACAAGGTAAATAATACAATACTCTTCGCAGTCCCCGTTCACCACACAAACATTTTGATTGACTCGGGAATAGATACCCTCATTGTCTGGACGGAGCCAAATGGCCAGGACCTAGCACTTAGTTTTCAAGCGGCGGCAGGGTGTACAAATCTCTGGTATTTGCGTCCATTGAGCGTATTCGCCCGGATGCCACAATAGTGACACCTTTGTGCAGGGACGAACTAGATCGAATCAAAGAGCGGCAGGCTGCTGATAAACACGGTATGTCGTAAAATGCACATTCGAGATATAATATGTTCTTGCTCTCTCGATGCTCATGCGAAGGGCGGTGCAGATATCGATCAGCTACCGAATACCCATGAGCATGACGGTTAGTGCTGGAGAGGTACTATGCGTGATTATCCTCTGGATGCTGATTATGTCGGAACAAATGTGTAGAAGAGGCAACCACAGAAGATTATCAAGGACCACGCGAGTTGGATCTGCCAGATCCCGAACTAGCCAATCTCAAATACTTGGAAGAGCTGGTATTTCGAGCAGCCAGGAGTGTGTTTGGAAGAGATCTTCTTTTGCAAGCTGTAGAGCGAACGGTGGGCGCATTGCGTTGGAGGATTATTATTTAAAGGTTTCCGTGTATTGATGACCAAATTACAGAATTTTATTCGAAAACTGCTCCCGGTGTTTGAGACAAGTGAAGATTTAGAAGATATGGAGAGCCTGTACGCGCTGTCGAGTATATTACGGTCATTAAGTATGGGCCGCTACTTACTTGCCCTCAATGGTTGTCGCTTTTGTCTAAAGTATCATTCAGTATTTTTAAATGAGGGAACCATTTTTGAGTTGATTCTCAGTGATGAACTCTTCACGAGCGTGCTTGGAATACTAGAATGTGAGCATTCATCACATGTCGCAATTCATTACGAGACCTCATATGAAGTGATTTAAACAATAGACGATCGGGAGTTTCCAAACATGAAAGCGGAACACCGTGAACACTTTGCAAAACACGCCCAATTCAAACAGGTGAGCCTTAGCGACGCGATGCGTTTCGTGAACTTTGCTGACCGTAGCTTACCAGATTGTACCGATACGAAACTCTGAGATACGCGCCAAAATAAATCAAACATATCGGGTCCAATACCTGAAGGACGTTGCGCTTGCCCGTTTATTAGACGATGGCACTTTTTCCGCCCTATTGTCGATGACCTTTTTCAATCAAACTGAGATAATCCAGTATATCAGGCAGGATCCGACGTTTTTGAAAGATGTCTTCGGACTTTTGATGGCGCCGGAGACCCCGCAAGAGAAAAAAGGGGATGCAATCATGTTTCTGCATGAGCTTTGTTCGATTACAAAGAATTTGCAATCCATGAACCGAGGATTGTTTTTTCGGTAAGAATTGATATACACGTTATCCGGAAAAGACATATCTCATTTCCTGCAGACATTGTGACCCAGATGCATTTTATCGGACTTTGATCAATCACGGGCTCTTCAATGTTCTGAGCACCACGTTCTCCAATGAGGATGTTCGTGTTAGGACGGCCATGACAGCGATAACAGCACATCTTCTAGAGCACGATGCAAATATTGTCCGAACCATGACTCAAGCACAAGTCAAGGCTGCGGACGGTCCCCCTTTCATAGAAATGCTGATCGATCGGCTACTAGAGGAGTCGGATGCGGGTCTACGATCACAATACGCAGAGATGATTCGCATTTTACTGGATACCGCACCATTAGATACGTCTGAGGTAGGTGGTCGAAGGACGAGGCTGCATCCACCCTGGCTGCTGACCAATGTACTCTTATCAAGGGCATTGTTCCGCACCTCCCGTCTTCGGAACATGCCGTAGATAACTTTTTACAGCTTTTCTACGACAACTGGGTGGCAAAGCTCGTGAAACCTGTCCTGCAGCTTAATACCGAAGGGCACATGAAGGCAAGACCTGGTGCGTATGATGTCATCGTGGGTTTTTTGACCATCAGACAATTTACAGTCTCATGTGGCAGACGGCCTGGAAATCTTTGAGCTTGATCCTGACCAAGCGGCCGTGTGCAATCATATTTGCGAATTGCTTTGCTTCATGATTAAGCAGCATCCTGTGCGTTGCCCGTACCTCTTTACCACGACCGACATTGCATCCAAAGTTGCACTGCTACTTCGATCAAAGGAGACATATTTACGTCTTTGTGAGTTGCCTGTCGATACTCTTAGGTCTTGCGTGGTTTCTAATTGTCTTGTCCAAAAGCTGCCCTTCGAGTTTTTCGAGTATGCATCGGAATGAAAGACGTGTTTTGGCATCGACTGCTGATCAAAAAGGACATTTTCAAAAATGTTCTTACAGCGTTCTTCGAAACAAAGTCAAAATATAATTTGCTCAACTCGGCATGTTTAGAGCTATTTGAATTTATTCGAAAAGTAAGAATACTCACGCCAGAGTCGATGCCAGATACCTAGCGCTGACCACTGCATCCTAGGAAAACCTGAAACCCCTTGTTGCGCATGTGGTCACAAACTACAGGAAGCAGATTGAGGAAGTGGACTATGTGGATACTTTCAAGGCCTTGATCCTGAGATATGAACAAAACATTGAGCCGCAGCCCAATGGCGGGGAGAGTTCAGAAGAGTACGTCAAGAATCATTTTTCTCTTTTTCAAGCCAAGCGCGTACTCAACATAATTTACGTTACAGGCCGACTCACGACAAGCAAAAAGCGCGCGATGGCTGGAATCGGACGGACGATGCAGAGGAAGCGTACTTCAATACGTCAGATGAAGATGAGGACGGAAACAGCTCTGGCACAGTCGTGAACGGAAATTCCACTCGGGACAAGAAAACGTCAAGCAGTAAGCTTTCGCCGCGCCGTGGGAATATTGAATTTGTGCGCGCTTCGCCAGATCTATTACCACCACGACCATTGGTTGACTATCCTGATGACGACGACGATGATGTGATCGGGGCATTGGCAACTAAGGGCAAGACGGGTAGTCCTACTGCTTCGTCGAAACTCTCATCAAAGGTGTCTCCAGTGGTGTCGGCCCCAGTAAAGATTAATTTTACACTTGGAGGACCAAGAAGAGAAAAGAGGACGCGGGACGATGAAGAAATGGCAAAAGGGCAAGCAACTAAGAAGGAAAAAGTTGCAGACGTAATTGTTGAAACAACGGCAGATGCAAATGAGTCAGCAACTGCTGGCAGGGAAGAAAAGAAGAGTAATGGCAAGCCGGGTGCATTGAAGGAAAATGCAGGAGCGGAAAAGACCCTTGCGTTGGTGCATGAAAGAGGTGACCCAGAAACTAAAGTGGAGTCTGAAGCAGGGCTGTCCAACGGCGAGGGCACCGCGACACCACCCACCGTGAACTCCACAGGGCGAAATGCTACTAGCAAAGAAAAGGGGTGACGACACAAATGCATTATCCGCGCCACTTTACGGGCTTTTCTTTACGAGAAGGATGTATTCGCAATCGCGCTGTTGATCGAGTAACCGAGAGATGCGATGGGAGTCTAAGCATATATTTCACAGGGAAGTAGGGTTGCGGAGGAACGGTCAATGGTCCCGCTAGGGGAATAGGTGCTTGTAGATGTAACTGTAATTATCATGTCGTTTTGCCGGAATCGTGTGACCGCGCCGTTTTAACTTAAAAACGAGGGATGACACTCCAGTCGGGGAAACAATAATAGGATGATGTAGTATCAGAAATGTATTTCTTTTGAAGGCAATCTACAGGCACCAGCACTTTTTGCACGGAAATATAATCTGTGGCTGTTTTATGTCGACTGACTAGCCGAGCGTAGGTACAGTGCGACAGTATTATGAGTTCCAGCTTCTCGCCCAGTGTCGACGCTGTTCCGTATAATTGTACGTCGCAATTGTGTAAAGTGGACGCAGAACCGTCCATGGAGCGGTTTGTTCAACACTTTCTAGGATGTTTCAGACCCAAGTGCGACGAGTTGCTGCGCATCGCTCCCAGCTTGCGCAGTACTCACATGTCGACCGCTTTTCAAAGAACGCTTGCGCAGCCGACACGCCACGCATGACAGTTTTCAGCGTGTCTCGCTGTAGAAGGTCGCTGCGCTTCGTTCATGCCCTGCATTGGGCTCAAACATTGGCCGCTCTTCCAAGGGCTCTTTGCGCGGCCAACCCGACAATTTCTATCATCGATTTTCTATCATATCTCGGACTTACCTTTGGGCGACAAATCGCTCCACTTCATTCACACCTAGCTGTTTCACACATTGGCCGCTCTTTCGAGGGCTCTTTGCGTGGCCGATCTAAATTGAAAAATAGTTTCTATCGTACATCGGACTTACCGTTTGGGCGACGACTTGCTCCACTTCATTCACACCCAGCGTAGCGCTGAAACATTGGCCACTCTTTCAGGGCCTGTTTGCGCAGCTGCCGATCTAACATGGAAAATAGTTTCTATCGTATATCGGACTTACCGTTCGGGCGACGACTTTCTCCACTTCATTCACACCCAGTATAGCTCACACATTGACGCCGCTCTTTCCAGAGTTCTTTGCGCAGCAGACACGGACAACAGTCTCAAGCATTACTATGTACATTGAAGGAATTGCTGCGCTTGGTCCACACTTGATACGTCAACGCTGTCACCTCTACCTATATATCGCACTTTGTTTAGCTGGTGCCTTGTACTTTGTCACGCTCACCTCTATTTTTTCGACATCCGCATGTTGCATGTTGGCCATGTGCTTGTCTGTCATCTGTCCCTTGCTTTCGCGCACATCCCATCACCAGTAGGATTTGTATTCCGTGTGCAGTACGAACAATCTCTATATCTTCTTGATAAAAGCAGAGCAGATTGTGGAGGCCGAGAGAAAGAGAGAAGAGATGAAAAGACGGGGGACGGCCAGTAGTGCGTCATTTAAATAGACGAGGTCTGGCGCGTCCACGTAATCACGATAACGCGTGCGCCAGGAGTTGTGGGCCCTGAAGCCCCTTGAAGCATGCGAGTGCTGGCAGGAGGTTGCGTCACAGGAGGTGGAGGTCGTGCACCATGACCGGCCATGGCCACATTGATCAGATGGTGGACAGTTGGAGATGCAAGTGGGGACGTGCCCACCGCATCAGTGTGATTATGCGAGTCTATGTGTACATGTCTTAGCGCATGAACAATTTACCAAGAGCATGCTGATACGGCTGAGGCAAAGGTGTATTTCCATGAAAACCTGTTATTAGTGTTGTGATACGTACCTTTTAATGTCAACAACGAAGTCACTGCAATCATAGCTATAAGAAAGGCGGTCATCCACAGGGCCGAAATATCCCGTGGTAGTGATATTTTTTGGACTGGATCTGGAATCTGGATCGATTGCGACGTCAATAAAACGGATTTACGCTGAGTGTGAAAGAAGCGGAGCAATTCGTCACCCGAGAGGTAGGTCCGAGGTACGATGCAAGCTATTTTACATGTTAGATCGGCTGCGCAAACAACCCTTGAAAGAGTGGCCAATGTGTGGGCCTGATGCCGGACACAATCAAGTTGGCTTGAGGGCGAAATGAAGTCCTCAATCTTTACGGGCTTGAATAACAGTGGAGCGTGGACATGCGAGAGGAATGCTCGAGAATTGAAAGTGCTGATCACACCTGATTGTAAACACGGGCGATGCGTTACAGTGAACACTGTCCAAAACCAGGCCCCGAACTCATACTACGATATCATATACCATTGATGTTGATCATAGCGTCTTGTAATTACTTTGGTTGAAATATGCAAACCAATCCTGCTGTCAATTTAAGTCCTTTATACCAAAGCTATCACGAGCCTTTAGTTGCATAGTACATCTATAATTCGTCCAGCGTGTTCTGGTGTAAATTTACACACTTCATCGAAACCCATTTGCGCCCCGGAGATCCATCATTTGAAGCAGATGGAGCTAGCGACTGGGAATACAACCAAAAGCACCTTTTCAATCACCAGCGATAATACAAACCTAGCTCGCTAGCATAACCTCAGAAAGTCAGCTCCACCAGATGAACCAACTTTTGGAAAGGTGAGCGATCAGATTTTATATCATTAGAAACGGCAAACGAATGCAGAAAGAGGGCCATTATGGGTAAGATCAAATGTGATGCTCATCGAGTGCCAATAAGCACCCGACCTCATAAGAGATGGTTTACAGAATTAGAGCCTACGTATAATGACAGATCCCCGAGATCTTATACAATCTTTCTACTCTAGCACGTCTTGATGCCATTGGAAGCTTACAGGACACAACCCTGGGGCAGATCTCGTCGTCGTCGGCGGTAGTCAGTGCAAAGTATGAGCTTGCCCGCCATCACGTCAGCAAACTCTACGAACGCGATGCGCGTTGATCGACCCAGCGTACTGTTTACCACTGCACCTTCACAAAATGATCTCTTCTGCCCCACTTCACAGCAATCCCCACACCGATAGTTCATATTTTAATGTCTCAGCTGCATGCAAAAACCTCTTGTTCATTCTCAACACATGGGATCCAGACCGAAAAGCAGATGCTACCCGCGCGGCGGACGGACTTTTTAGAGCTATGCAATCCTTGGAATTTCTGGAGCCAAGCTCAGAAGGCTGCCAGCTGAAGGAAACTGAAATAGATCTGAAACATACGATTGATGCGCTTTTGAGTGGGAAAGACGCATATGCGGCTAAAGCTGCGAGGATTACTGTCAAATTGTTGAATGATCTGGCGAAACAAACCAATAACGAACACCATAGAAGATGGAGGACACCAACAGCATCTTGTAGTCAAATTGGTGGGAATATCATTGCAAAAAGATATTCTACAGGTATGGGGTTTCAGGCAACTGAGCTGGATGGACGTTAAGACGGGACTGATGCTCTTGATTCTCGGCAGAAACTTTTGAACAGCACACTGGTCAGATGGATATCAGCAACGCCATATCGGTCCTTTCCAGGGACATTAACGAGCTCCGGAGACTAATCGTTCATACAAATCAGAAGCATCCAGAGACAGTGAACGCCGCTGTTTGTTTGCGAAAAGAGTGTAGCTCGCAACCTCCAGATGCATCAACTCCAAACGTCCGAACAACTGTTTCACCAAACGCTTTGCAAGGACAGTTAACGGAGCTTCAGGAACTAAGACGATCTATCGCCGTTCTCAAACAATTATTCAAGGAAACCCAACACCGCACAACACAAACAATCACACATATTAGCGCCCAGGTTCGCCTCATGCAAAACCGTCAAACATCCACCCTGAATCCCGCACGAACAGCATTGCTATTAGAGAAGGAAAAGATGGCTCGTGAATCTACGGCCATTAATAGCCGGCTGGATCAGCTCAAGCAAATTGTGGAAACATTGAGAGTGGACGTGACTCGACGGATGAGGCCCAGCCAAAGCCGACTACGGGCAGCCTGGAAGGAGGCCCTTGCTATACAAGAGAGCGTAAATAAATTCACAGAGTACATAGGGCAAGTCCGGCCCACATGGAAGAAAACATGGGAAGACGAACTCCAAGGAATTGTACGGGAACAAGCGTTTTTGAAAGCACAGGAAGGACTCGCTATGAATATGGAAGAGAGCCATTCGGATCTACTCGATATGCTGCAAACGGTGGCGCGGTTTTTAGAGCTCTCAGATTCTACCGGACCGTCGGCGCCCGATCCATACAATGTTCCGCTTGATGTTATGAGCGCAGATGAAGTTCAAGAAGTAGGCCTCTCGCAAGTGCTCGAGCAAATACGACTTGCAGCTAGTGACGATGATAGTGAGCGACGCCTACAGGCCTTGGAGAATCTACAAAAGATAAAGTTATGGGAAAAGAACGCAGAGAAGGCAGAGGGAAACGACTTTGAGGACGAGTTGGTGCAGATGGTGCGTACAGGAGCCTTGAAGAAGACTGGTGGAGTGGAAGAGGTGGAAAGGATCAGAGCACAAAAGGATGCTGCAAATATACGAGCAAATTTCCGATAACAAGAACCAGTGCGCTATTCAGTTGTTCTATTTAGCGCGAGCGACGTCTCATCCCTCTTCGTCGTCGAATGATAAAAGCTTTTTATTCTTGATCTTTTTGGTGTTTGCTAATGCTGCCTTCTTTTTCTCATCAACTTTTCGGCGTTTCTCTGCCGATGCTGACGTTGAACTCTTCTTCTTTGGTTTTCTGAACTTTACTTTCCCATCGGTTCCAGTGTCTTCTGCCTCTTCTTCACTTGGTTCACTCTGATCCTCTTCCCCATCAGCCGCCCGTTTACGAGATTCTTCGTCTGGCGTATCTGCAGTGTGGCTATGAGCTCACTGTTTATTACATATCCCGCTTCTCAATTGCCACCAACCTTTTCCAAGATACCGCTTCACCTCAAAGTCCGTTATCCCCTTCTCCACCACTACCTGTGGTTTCTCATCGTCCTTCTCAGGCGCATCAGGTCCGCTATCTTCGTCATTATCAGCACTAAAATCGGGTATATCTCGTCTAGATCGTTGTGTCCCGCTGGTTGCAGCTTGAAGTTGTCGTAGAAAATTTGGTGTCTCTGCTTGGAAGGATAGACCTTGTCTTGTAGAGAAGCTTATTAGGCAAGCACCACTCTGTCCTTATGAGAACGAGAAACGAAATAACCTTGCGTTGTAATTGAGCTTTTTGTCGGACATGACTGCAATTTGGTGAGAAATGCAGAAGCAAGAGACCGTAGGCCTTTATGTACGCGTCTGCAAAGTGATGCACAAGGCGAACCCAGCATCGAATACGATTTTCCTCTCGACGACACAAACTGGGCTACTGCAAAAAGAATGGAACTTTGGCTGTTATTTGATATCTAGTGTTCAGTGCAGAGTTGAGCCTGCAGGACTTGAAGTGCCCATCGCACTATGGCGTGTTTTTTGGAATTGGCCTTAACGAAATCACAATTGCCTTCAATAAAACGTCCTGGGCCGTATGCAGACGGAGTTGTGGATTGCAATCAGTGAATAATATGTGGATTGAGGATAAGAAATACTATAGCGACCATGCTCCTGAGTGCGAAGAACACTTTGAAATTGTCGAAATATCTCATTATCTGACGCCAACAGCCCCTCACAACTTTCAAAGACGAGTAAAATGATGCTAGGAAGGATTTAAACATGGATGCCTCTGTAATAATCTTGCCTATCGTTGGTGGTAGCACTGTGGAAAGGATTTCTACGTCGTATAAGTAATGTCTATCAGATCTGGCATGCTCAGACACAGACCCCGATAATATGGAAGGAATAACTTCGATGCTGGGCGGATATTTAATAATGGAATGATAAAATCATGCAGAACCCTTTCTGTGGATGAACTGGAACATTGGAGGTCTCATCAAAGTAAGATATGAGGCGATTGGAGGTAAAGGTAAATAGGTTTGTCAAAAGTTCCGAGACCTCAAGTCGTTCCGCAAAAATATGTCCGCAGAGACGACGATTAATGCACTGCGGACAGAAGGTTCACCAGTGGCACCTCAGATACCAGGGTTTGTCAAAAATGTTCACCTGCTTATCCCAGTGGAGGACGATAGACAGGGAGATGTAAACAAAGCAGCTTGCTCTCGCAGAGGACAAATTTCTCTGAGAGTCCTTGCTAATCAGGTTTCTCCCTCAATGCGAGGAGACCCCGCTTGCGAACACCTATTTTGTAGACTGTACTGTAAGATTTCGAGATTCAGAACATAGAGATGGAACTTACATCTAAGGCTACTGGAACCCTTGTAGAGCCTTATGAAAAATCCTTTTTGCTGTGCGTTGTCGTCAGTGTGGCTCCATATGGATCACTGGCATCCGTAAGAGGTAATGAATCACCCGCTGCAAAGCACGTATTGATTGATAAAATGATTCTTAGCTGCCACGACAGTAGGCGATTTTTCCTCGCTGCAACATGTCTCGATCAATGATGTAAAGAAAGCATGGCATTCTTTTCTAACTAGCTAGGCTTTGTAAATAGGGGGAACATGCGTACGTCTATCACTTAATGCCTATCATACTACTAAAGGAAACTACATCCACTGCCCTTGCATGCCTGTGTGCAGTAACCCCCGTCCTTCCTCCGACATTGCAAATACCGATGACTGACGGCTACCGCCCGCTCCGTCCATAGGATTATCATCATCCTCGCTATTCTTTGCTTTTTCACCCAATTCCACATCGTCTGGCTCTTCCAAATGCAGAGGCACCTCTTCACCTTCATCGACAATATGGGCTTCCCTCAATACACGTCGTACCAAAAGTGTGAGATAGATGAAGACCCCAGCGGCAATTACGAGACCTATACTGAGGGCAAACACACGAGCGGGAGTCAGTTTGTTTGTTTCGGCGAGATCTCGGACTGTTGAGCCGATATAGACGTGGAGGATGATTTTAATTAAAGCTAAGCTGGTAGCTTGGGTGTAGCGGGTAAAGGTGACAGAGGTCGTGGCGAATAAGACAGACATGACGTTGAATGGATACGGTGCGAGGCGGATCACAGTGGTTAGCTGACAGACCAATGCAGATTAGAAATGACGACGTTTCTGTGCGAACCATTGCCTGACCATATACCTTAAGGCCCCCACTCTCTACAGCCTCTTCAATGGCCTTAAACTTTGGAAAAGAACTCAAAATCTTGGATCTATAATAATTCCCCATCCACCACCTTGCTCCTACGAAACAGCATATCCCCCCAGTCCAGGCACCAATATAGGCCGGAACGAATCCTAGAGGGAACCCATAAATAAATCCACACATGTAGAGAAGAGTGCCGTAGCCCACTAGCGGTGGGAAGCAGGTGAGAAAGAGTAAAAGGATCATTAAAAGCATTCCCCTACAGTGATGAAAAACAGTGCGTAAGCCAGTCCGCTAAGGATATCGTTCACGGTACGCACAACAGCTACCACAAAATCGACACATACCCAAATCCCATCCCATGTATCAGGGCCGCAAAGCTGGTCAAGAATGCAATTATTTGTTCATGGAACAGGAGGAATATCACTAGCCCAAGCAATGACATTCCGCTGAGTATCCATATTGGGAGCCACTGGCGAGTGAACAAGAATCGAATGCTTGGGATGCGTGACAAGAGGGATCGAGGAGATGTATGGTGGTAATCTGACATTTTACTTTACGTTTAGGGGTTGGACGGGATTTGCTTTGCGGATTAGGTGTCGAGATGAGCAAAATATATCGGATTGGCGATTAGGTTTAAGCGTGTTAAAAAAGAGAGGCAAATCAGAAATGCGTCCTGTCCTCAACCGTCGGTTGATGGAACCATCTGCCAGCCATACAGCTCCAGCATCTGGTAAAAGTCCTTGCTGTCCTCGTCGTCGTCGTCGTCGTTGTTGGTTGTTTTCCAAATTGCTATTGAAAATGCGCAGAGAACTGCAAAAGCCAAACTAATGACGAGGGTCGATTAGCGGGTCATGCCAAGCCACACGAGTGTTCCAACTGTCAGATCGTCGCCGTATTTGTTTATCCTATCTTTTTGTTTTTCATGGAGGACTCGAATCAATCACTCCAAGAAGAGGAATGCTTGGCGCTATCTTCCATCTACGGCCGGGATTTTCACCAAGACCCTCATCTCCCGGACTCTGCTGATATCACCTTGCATCTCGCGCCGGGGCCCGTTATCCTACGATGTCATTTTCCGACGACCTATCCTTCAGATGAACCACCTTATTATGAGCTTGTAGCAGAGTGGCATAACCGGGCAGGAGTTGCACATGGGATATCAGAGTCAGTACGGAAAAAGGTGGACGAGAGGTTGCTGGATCTATTTGTTCCTGGGCAGGTTGTCGTGTTTGAATGGATTGCAAGTTTGCAGGAAATATTGGAAGAAGCGTACGGGAGGGAAGACGAACGTGAACCTGATGAGCCACAATCACCACCAGCATCCATACAAACCACTCCTCTAGTTCATAAACCCCCTTCTCCAATCTCAGAGCCCAGCGAAGACGGAGACACAACCTTCCCAATGACGCTCCCACCAGACTGTCCTCCCATAACTCACTCGGTGAATCCCGTAATCGATCGGAAAAGCATATTTATTGCTCATGTAGCGCCCATTGTGTCCCCAGCAGATGCAGCAACAGTGGTGCAGGCGCTTTTGAGCAACAAACGCATCATGCGCGCGACACACAACATTTCTGCATACCGGATTGTAGAGAACAATGGTGTCGTACGACAGGACTGCGATGATGATGGGGAGACGGCTGCCGGTGGCAGATTATTGCACATGTTACAATTGGCGGATGTGCGAGGGGCGGTCGTTGTTGTGTCGAGGTGGTATGGTGGGATCCAGCTAGGGCCGGCGCGATTTAAGCATATTAATAATGTTGCAAGGACGCTGTTGGAGCATTGTGGGTTCATCCAATCTGGAAGTGACATGCGTGGAAAAGGCAAGAGCGGGAAAAAACGATGAATCCAGCATGTGCTGGTTGGAGTTCTCTAGCATCTGTACATAGACCAGGTCTCTTTGGAAGATCGTAGTATAATAGTATCCTATTATTCAACATACCCTACAACTACATTCCTTTCAAGTACAATCTATTATACTTTTTTCATGAGGGTCGTATCTACATTAATATCACGTTCGCTTCATGCGTCCCCACAAGACCAGGTACGCAATCGCCCGTACCAAAACGGTCAAAACCGCGACCATAGTCATATTAAAAGCCCAATCGCTATTCGCACTCTCGAAATCCAACAATCTCAACGCATCCTCACCAGTCCGGTACAAACAGATCCCATCACGGACATCAGCATCTGAGCAATAAAACTCGAGCCCGTCAAACTCTTGGCTGGCTGTAATGCGGGATACATATCTTGTCAAAAAGGCATAGTTGATACCAGCGAGGAAGGCTGGCATTTTAACGGAAAGGAACCCAGACATCATGACTTGAAGGGAGATAACCGTCGACATGATTTGCACAGAGAATCCGACACTGTTCACCATTGCACAAAAAGCAATCCCGATACTTTCGCCAGTATTTATCTGACAGTGATCGAGGTGTTAGTGATATAGTGTAAGAACAGTTTTAACGACGCTCAACTTACGAAGCAAAAGACAACGTAGAAAAAGACAAGAAAGTTTGAAAGGGACGCCTGAAGTCCAATCACATAGATCGTAAACACAGAATATATCAACGCACTTGCAATTTCTGCCCCAATGAAAACAAGAGTAAGATTTCACGCCTTCTACGGGCAATTATAAGAGCACTTACCAAATGGCAACTCATTGGTCAAGTAACTGAAAAAGAAGGAGGCAACGCTGTACACATTATCCCTGTACTCGAATTTCATCAGGTTGAGTTCTTGTGGGAAGACGGCGATGCAGTTGAGCATTCCGACAAAAATGAGGGAACCCTGCTGTTGCTGTAATAAGACGAATTAGAATCTCGTACAATACTGATGGTTCAAAAACGGCCAACATACCAAAAGACCCATCCGTGCTTGAACAGAAGGCTGATTCTTACTCAACCGTGCAAAATATCTGTAAAGATCAAGACAACGTTAGTATCCTACCGTAATTTACTCAATGTGCAAGCACTCACAAGGTGAAAATAATGCCCAAGGCAACTACTTGCATAATCCTCGCCGCTGCCAAGTTCACCTGACGTCTCATATTCACAATACTCCTCCTAATCAAAACCCCTAATGACGTCCCAAGCGGCGCACGCTGTCGATATTGCAAACCCGCAAAGTCCACAGAAGTCAATACAGCGTCCTCGCTCTTTTGAACTTTTGCCTTTCCATCCGTCGTCCACCGTACAACCAACTCATCAACTCTCTTCCGACTGCGTTCTTCAGCCTCCGCGTTACGCAAGTCTACTGAAGACAGATCCAGGGCAAAATCGGCTGGGTTGGTCAGCGGCGGTATAACGTGGTTCAAAGATGCTAGGTAAGGGATCATAGAACGAGCTGGACCCGAATAAATGGGTCGGCCGCCTCGGGCGAGGAGAAGGATTTGATCAAATAGTTTGACAATGTCAGAGCGAGGTTGGTGAATTGAGACAATAATCGTTCGGCCGCCGGTACTGGCCATTTCTTTCAGTTGGGTCATGAGGTTGTGTGACGTATAGGCGTCCAAACCACTTGTAGGTTCTAAAACACACAGTTTTAGATACCAAATCACCAGATGATAGAATCAACATCCGACTCACCGTCAATAACCAAAACGGCCGGGTTGGTCAACATCTGAATCCCAATACTCAATCGTCGCTTCTCACCGCCAGAAAGACCCTACACAGCACACTATCACGATCCTGCATGTATCGACCACAAAAAAGAATGTCTCAGCCTACCTTGACGACGCCCTCTCCTCCCACAACCCTGTCCGCGCAATCTTTCAATCCTAGCTCAAAAAGAACCTTCTCCGCTCGCTCAATCTTCTCCCCAACACTCATTTCCCTCGGCAATCTCAACAGCGCCGCATACCGTAAAGTTTCGCGTGCTGTGAGAGCAGGCAAGAGGTGGTTGTCGTCCTGGACGACCAGCGAGCAAATGGACGCAATTTGGGCTGAAGAGTCAAGTTCAACGCCCTTGTATAATATACGCCCCGTTTGGGTCGTTTGGGTCAGCGGGCCGGTGTGGAGGGGTCGACCCATGAGGAGATTTAGGAGGGTAGATTTTCCGGCCCCGGATGCTCCCAAGATGACAGATAGTTGTCCAGATGGGAATTCCGCCGTGATATTTTGGAGGATAGGAGTAACCGTTGCCGTCGTCTCCTTTGCCGGATAGGCCTTTTTGGAAATGTACAGCGAGACATCATCCAGTCGAATATCAATTCTCGGAACGCTGGCCTCCCCCCGCTGCATCTCTTCATCAATCGCGAGAGTTCGGTCCTTCTTATCCCCATTCTTCCGCATAATCGCCGAAGCATGTCGAACACCAGAATGGGGCTTAAGTCTCAACACCAAACCAGTGAGGAACATCAGAATGGCATAATTGACGATCAACGCAACAATAGGGGTGGTATAATCGTTGGACTTGAAACCCAAGCTCTTTAAGATGCTTTCGCCCTGGCAGCGCGGGTCCTGCCCGTTAGTGCCGAGTTCGGGGCATGCGTACTCATTGTTCGTAAACTCATTGGTGGCTAGTAGGCGGTAGCCGTAAGTGATGTATGAGATTTCCTGCAGTTGTGGATTAACAAAGAGCAAAATCGGGTGTGAAAACATGAGGTTATTCGCAATAATACCTTGAACCATCGCAGGTAGACGGGAATTTGATCGACCTGGATAAACACGTAAAGCAATTAGCTCAAAAAAAACCGGAGAAAATGGCAAAGACCAGCCATTTACGAACCTGAATGAAAAACCCAGAGGACGTCGACAAGAAGGTGAAAAACGAGTTTCCAATCAAAGAGGCTGTGGCAAAATCTCTCGCCCATGAGATGCAAAAGTACGCCCATCCGATCCTATCACCACGTATCCATTAGCATCCAAGCAACCTAAAGCACAACACGTTTGCAGGCAAACTCACGTTACAAACTGCATCAATACGTTTCCGCCAGCGAAAACTCCCAAATGCCACATTTCATCTGTCCGCAACCCAGACATAAAGTACAGAATGACGGAAAAGAGGCAAGCCAAGACCACATAGAGGAAGAAGTTGGCGACCAACCAGCCGAGGAGGTATGGAATCACGCCGTACATTTTGTCCAGTCGCTCGCGGTCAAATACCTTCATTCTAAGACAGAACGTAAGCATCACTGCGGGAGGTCCGAAAGAAAGATCCTGGAATGCTTACTCCATGGAAAGTTTGTAGATCATGAACATGAGGCCAAGGTAATTTTGTACGGAGGCTGTAATGTACAACATCGATTTACGACCAAGAATCCCACTCTGAAAGTCCAAAATCGAGAGTTGGTCTGTCATGCGCACTAGATATCCGTTGGTAGAGCAAAACTAACCTGGGTCTCATCCAACTTGTAAAAAACATAGCCAACAGCCGTAGCCAAAGTCAAAACTTCCAGGACTGATCCCCAAAGCGTAAGTCGGTCCTGTAACAAATTTCTAAAAGTTCTCTCGGCAAGAATTTGGGTTTGTCCCAAAAAGGACGCTCCAATCTGCTTGTTCGGCATAAAGGCACAGGGTTCCTTTGTCTTCTCTTCCACAGATGGAAGTAAAATCTCCATCTCAATGCCCTCCCCGGTGCGTCCAGTCTTCCATGCTTCAACAAGAGTCTTGACTCTCTCCTTTCCTTCCTCTTCTGCCTTTTCATCCCGATTATCCACACTCGTGACATCAATCAAAAAGTCAGCCGGGTTAACTTGATCGGGAATATCGTAGCCCAGCTTGGCAAAATAGTCCAAAACAGTTGCGCGTGCGCCGGAATAGACAAGATCACCCCGGCTGAGAAGAACGATGGAGTCAAAGAGGTCAAAGATATCGGATCGGGGTTGATGGATCGAGACACATATCGTTCGGCCTTTTCGACAGAGGGAGACGAGGGTTTCAATCAAGCTGTGGGACGTGAACGCATCCAGACCTGTGGAAGGGTGTCAGTATGCTGTGGTAGAATGGTAGAATGATGCGCCTACATAGCCCACACTTACCAGTGGTAGGCTCATCCATAAAGATGATACTGGGGTTAAGCAGGAGTTGGACACCCACCCTACGCATATCACAAAATAAATCGTCTGAGATGATCAGAGCCCCTCGTAAAATCTCGACCCATTACAACGTACGATACACGTCTCTTTTCGCCTCCGGATATCCCTTTCCGCCACTCATCGCCAACAATGGTATCCGCACATTCTTTCAGTCCCAATTCCAAAATAACGTCCTCGACCAGTTTATATTTCTGACTTCGCGGCATGTCATTGGGGAGTCGCAGACGGGCGGCATAGCGGAGGGTTTCGCGGACTAGCACAATGCTGTCAGAGATGCGCTCGGTGTGACCAATAGTGTGTGCACTAAATACCGGTTAAATAGGGCAACAGCTGATCACTCTGTTGGACGTATGCAACACGACCGGTAGCAATATAGGTCTTGGCTGGACGGTTGTTGATCAGGATTTGGCCGGTAGTTTGGACATTGGTGACGCGACCTAGTTTTTTTCAATGTGAGCGTGTAGATTGTCGCAGCAAGTGATTTTGGATTTTTTTACCTGCCATAGCATTCAACAGTGTAGTCTACAAACATATCATGGTCAGTCAAAGCTGTAAAAAAGACATCTCAATAGTGTATCCGATCATCACCTTTCCACTCCCACTCCCGCCCTGTTTAAATAACCAAGAACCATTACTATCACCCGCAAGTCAAAAATCCCGGCAGAAACAAAAGTAAAGCATACCATAATGGCCAGCAACTTGCCACTTGGAACGTGCAGACCCACATTCCTCAGCACCTCTGTCCCTGTAACGCGCCTTGCACCCTGCCATCCACCCCCAACCGACACATACAAGTCGCGAACGCTAATATCCGCCGGCTCGACGTGGTCAAAGTTGTCCATAAAGTGCAAAAGAAAAGCAACTCAAGGACTAACTGTTCAAAACCACCAAGACGACGAAAAGACCAACTTAATTCATTCGGAAGGACGGAAACTTTGGAATGAAATTTAACCTCGGAATGGAATTTAACAAAAACTTGTTCATATCCCCATTTCAACACTTTTTGTGCCAGCTTTGCGTCCAGCCGGCCGATCGGAAATTTCACACTTTTGAGGCTTAGTCTGGTGACTTGCTTACGTACGCATCGAACCTTGACCAAGTGACGTCAAAGGCGTTTTATGTTTTGGTTATTTTTGTGGATGTTTTTTGTGTGCTTTTGGAGGGGAGGAGGGGCCAATGGCCCAAAGATGAGCGATACTTTTATTGTGTCGTTGTTCTGCTTTGCGCTGTTGCAGACTGTATTTGGCTGCTGTCACGAGACGTTAACGGACGTTGAACACAGACATGCTCGTTCTGAGCATTTTAGGGGCCTTCATCGTGCTGCTCATCTTTCATGATTTTCTGTGGACAACCTTTTCGGTTTCTTCGTATGTCTTTTCTTTGTGTCTCTTTTTGCATGGTCTCCTGTTGATAGTCTCGTTTCTATTCTACAGGAATGGTTTCATCACGCGATGGACTACGCGAGGTTCGTTACTATTCGTTATGCGATCAAAATATGCAAGTCAATTTGTGAACTCGGTTTTTCAGGCATCGGAAGGTTTGCATCCTTGCTTTACGAAACCTTTCCATGGACACGCAATCATTTTCACGCTTTTGCCGAAATCACAATCGGTGAGACTTGTTTGTTCTTTATCTCCCAAATCATTTCTAACAATATTCCCCGCTACAGGTGTCATCCTCATGATTTGGTATATCGGAACCTGGGCTGGTTGGTCCCTCATCTTTAGCAACGTACCAATCATACAAGCCAGCAAGCAATCGGACGTCACCCACGTTGGGGAAAACATCACGCCAGCGGATGTGATATACTATACTGGCACAGCTTTTTTCACTCTTGGATTGGGTGATTATGTTGTTGACTCTGGAGCAACGTTTTGGAGGATTATGAGCAATGTATGTGCGGCCGAGGGGATTTTGCTGGGTATTATTACCGTCACATGTTTGTATTCTGTGCAGTACCTGAACATCGTTTTGAGCTGTGGAACTAAAAACAACTTTACATAGACCTACTGGCCGCAGTAGACGCCGCCACAGCGACATGCACATTTGCCAACATACTCGTCTGCATGGGCGGATCGCCGACGCATATCTTGATCAATGCATGGAATCCGAAGACGAAATCGTTTGGATCATTGGAAAGCGCGTTGATTGATGCATCGGATGATTTAGGAATTGAAAGGCAGAATTACATTTTATGTATGGCAGAATGTTTTTTTTTTTGCTTTTGGATTTCATAAAGTATAAAGCTAACAAAATATTGTTCAAAATTATACAGATCCAGTTCTCTTTACGTATTCGTTTTCCACTGGGAAACCCGCCTACGACAGCTCACCTCCCCGCATCGCTGCCCTTGATGACTTGCTGACCATCCTCCTGCACGCCATCGACCCTGCTTACACTCCCTCACGGTACATTCTCCAAACGACGCGAATGGCATTAACAGCGTATTTGGACATACTCTCCGCTGCGCGCATCGACTCTGCAGAGACCGCACCCCCACCCCCGGATTTGACATTGCTACGTGAAAAAGGTTTACCAGTGATTGTCAATGATGATATGTGGAAGAGAATATGTGAAAGAGAGAACATTCGGAAGCGACGGTGTTTTTTGCTGGGTTTGATGGTCCGGTGTGGCCACGATTGGGACGATGTTGTAAGCATTACGTGGCCGGAGAAGAGCGAGCCGGGGATGTGGTGGGAGGAGTAGGATGTTTGACTAGCGTTTGTACATAGACCTGTTTGATATATTATTTACAAGTACTGACGAAAAAAAAAAATGATCGCAGAGACTATGTAGCCCATTGCCACAACCAAAAAAGAGCATATATACAAATGACCACACAGAGCTCCACAACTTACACTGCTCCCCCAGCAACTACCTCCAACCACGGCCCCAGAGCCTTCAACCAGGGTCCCATCAGTTCTGGGACAACCTCCAACCCCAATGGATCCTTCCACTCTGTCTTTTGCCTATACACGACGCCAAAGCCCGAGGCGGCAGCTACAATGCCCGGCTCCACAGTGGGAGGCTCCATCATAAAGGTCCCGTCAGAGGAATCGCCAGATTCATCATCGACCATGAGGGCTCGGAGTTGGCTTTCCACATCCTCTTCGGTTGTGGGCGGTGTGGGAGTCTCGGATGGTGCGTCGGAAGGATCAACGAGAGATTCAAAGCTGGTGATGCTGCGTGCCTTGTGGAGGGGTTTGGGTACTTGGAGTGTATTCCGATCGTCTGCAACACTGTCTGCAACACCGTCTGCAACACCAGTGAGACCATCCACCCAAACTGGCCCATGCTCTTCGGCCCAAATATCCTGCAACGCCAACCCAACATCAGACACCTGTAATTCCTCGTCCAAAACATCTCCCTTGGCCACACCCAAGACTCTAGACAGAACCCTTTGGCGGACCTTTTCATTTCGTTCCTTCTTCCTTGCCCGCAGCTTTTCCAAGTCCCTCATTAAAGCCTCTCGATCAATCGACGGGTTTTGGACGACGGATGCCAAGTCCACCACTGGGCCATATCCACGGAAAAATTTGGCAACGTCATCGGCCCAGGATGCGATCTCTGCTAATGAATGGATACGGCCAGGCTGCGCAGAGAGTGTTGAACGGACATGCTTAAAAATTCGATGCTCATGGCGTGAGAGAAGGGTGATGAACGGGCGAAGGGGTGGCGCATTTGCATTGCGTGGTGCAGTCGGCCCTGTTTGCAACTTTTGTGAGCAGAGGCATGATCCGAGCATTTCATGGCCTAGATATACCTTTCGCCTGCTCAATCTCAGCAATCCGCAACAAATCTTCAATGAACTTTGCCCCGTCTCGTATGCAGCTCCCCGGATCAGCCGCCTAAAGATGCCGTTGAGCGCTCTTGTTTTTAAAAGCCCACTCGAACGAATTTTAGAACCAACCTTGTACGCTTCAGTGAGTGGCTTATAACTGATTGCCAGAATATCTTTGGCGAGGTGAACCACCACGTCCTGCAAAGTAGTAAATGAGCATCTATACACGAGTTGAAAAGAACAATGGATATCGGACGGACCTCCTGGACGAGATTTCTAAACTGATGTAGACGCCTCATCCTCCAGTAATATCCCAACAGTCTCTCTACAGCCTGTCTCTCCGGGCTTGCCGCATCTGGTTGGTACCCCAATATCTGTGCAGGAAGGTCTGCCGAAATATCTGGGGAAAATTATCAATCGAAAGGTTACACCGTGAATGACATTTGAAATTACCTAGCTCATAACCACCCAATGGTGCGCGGTTGACCACTTCCTTGGCACTGATGGATATATCTGGACCTGTAAAACGCTCAACATATTGAATCTCTTTCAATGTCGCTCGGATTTCATCATCAATGATTCCTGTAATCATGCTTGAGACCCAACATTGTATCAGCGGGGCTGTAAACTAATGGTCACACAAGAACGTTGCTCACCTCTGCAATAAGCACTTGGTTCCAAATGGTCGCGCAAGGAGGAGATTTCCAATTGCTTTCACAACCATGACAGGATTGGTGCTCTTTAGTAATGCTGCCCAGCTCCTATACGGGGCACGGGAATGGAAGGCTTTGAGGCGACGCAAGTGTTCTGGAGCGCGATCGTGCGTTATGAACGTGCGGTAGAACGAGGCTGCGGCACTATTCAAGTACATCACGCAAGCATTAGGTATTTTATGATCATGCCTTCCTCAGTACTCTGCATGATACTCACCACATTTTCCACCATTCAACAACCATTCTATAATGTGCTGGCAACTCGGAAATCTCCTCGGCTTTACCAATCACCGCAAAAACCTTTGCCAAACCTCCTGGTTCCAACACCTCGTCCCGGAACATGTCTAAAGCTTTTCGGATTTCATCCGCCTTCTTGGAAGCTTCCTGATCATCGCTATTTGAGTGGACGATGGGCTCAGACTGGTTCAGAAAATCGCGGAGTGTTGATGTCGGCTGTGATGATAGACTCCAGAGATACGTGGTGAGAGACGTGATCGCGTAGCTCAAGGATGTGCCTTTGGGTGTGCCAGATACTGTAGGCAAGGCCGGGATGCGGAGGTTCGCCCGGCGAATGAGCTGTAGGATTTTCATAATGTGTTACTGCATATCCTAATGAGAAAAATATGGAAGATAACTCGCGAACTTGCCTCTTTATGAAGCGATTTAAAAGCACCATAGTCTCGACGCGCGATCGCCGTCCGACCGTTCATGATAGATCGCACTGTATACTCCTACGAAATGTATAGACATTTTAGCCGGACTCTAAGCTGTGTACCATTTCCCCATTGCAAATTAGTGGAGACGTACCACAGTCTCTGAGGACCGCCATAAACCTTTCTTGACAGTCACTTTTGTCTCGACAATCTCCACTTCTTGAAAAACAAACTGCTTTTGCTCCGGGACTTGCACTCCATTACCCACTCTTGTCCCTTCTTTAAGCTCATATTCTTCTGTTGTTGTCCTAACAGATTTGCCCAGCATTGCAGCGATAGCATCCACAGCCTTGTTCGCCAGCAAATCCCTCTTTGCTATATGAGATGCAGTACCACCCGAATCCACCCCGCGGAACAATCCCAAAAACCTTCCGCAAACCCTCCAAAACTCTTTTGGTCCGTTATCTGCTGCTTGGAGAGGGGGAAAGGGGAGTAGAAGGCGTGAAAAGAGAGGAGAGAGGAGAGGGAAAGTTGCGTCAGGTGTTTCGGGAGAGGGAGGAGGAACAAGAGCGCCTATAGATTCCGGTGTATCCAGCAGCGCTGATATTTCTTTTCGGAGTTGTCTTGCAATTAAAGCCTTTTTGAGCAAATGCACATCTTCTCCTGTCAATGGTGCGTTTGTGGGTGACGTGTTCATGGTTTTCTCTCTCCAGTAAGAGTAATGGAGAAGCGCGGGGGTGTTAAAATAGACGAGGAGCCCCTGTTTGTGAGCAGGGGAGATGGAGGAAGAAGGGAAACCTGGGCGAGCAAAAGAGCTCACTGGCAGAAAGTTGCCCAGCAAGTCCCCAGCAGGGTTTGAAAGTTGCTGTGGCAATTTGAGATGATGACATCAGCGATTCTAAAATGGAATCCTTCCAATCCTGCATTTTGTTGGAATATGAGATGCTTTTTTATTGTGTACATTGGGGCATGCCACATCAAAGGATTCAATTGAGATGAACGTAAGTGTGCAATGCCATAACAACCATTGGAACGATATGCGTGAGTATGGCACATACAAGTACATGGGGGAACGAGTGCCGGAGGATAATAGACTAGCATCCAAAATACGATCGGCGAGCGACCTTTCTTGCTGTAGATGAGTAACATCTTTTGTCGAAACAAACTAATCGCACATTCCAGCAGTAAACGTTTGGTTTATCGCTCAAGTTCAATCCATTCTTTTCAAGCTGTCCATTATGAAATTGGCATGCACATCAGATCTCTCGATCTGACAAGGAACCCATCTCATCCAGACTGTGCTTGACTGGCATGTAAAAAGCAATGCATATAGTAGAATTTGTTTTTGCTGCCACCCGTGGTAGCAGCGGCGACAATCCCCAAGTAAATCCCAAAGCAAATCCCCTAAATAAAGGAAAGCTACTATCCATGGCACCGCTGCATTCACTCCATGATGCGTTTGACCCCAGAATGAATCGTTTTTAAATTTAGTTTTTGTAAAAAGGAGGAAATCGTCACTAAATGAGTGGCATAAAACGAATATAAATAGAACACTTTTCGTAGCCGCTAACCATGTATATGTGACTTTTAAAGCGACTGCACCAAAAAGGGCTTGCCGCAAACTGCCCAATTCTTTTCAGAACTATGGACTTTGAGACCAAAATTGTCCTCACACTCATTGGAGCTAGTGTGAGCCTCACTTCACTGGTTGCTATATCTCCACAAGGAGTATTACCCATAACCTCGTTAAAATACTGATCATTGTCCATCATATAGGCTTTTGCTGGACTGGCATCAATCTATACAGTGGGCGTTTGGCAGGCAGTGGTTCAAAAGGATGGAAAGAAGAGCGTTGGAAACAAAGGTGAGTGATGCTACAAAAGATGCTACTGTTACTTTTATGTTAAGTATGCACATGGATGCATCTGTAGGAACGGACAAGAAACTGGTTGGATTGGAGGGGACAAGAGTCGTCTTGGAAGCGAAAATCATTAGTGCAAAGCAGACCTGATGAAGATGAGCAAAAAGAAGCAACTCTGGTATAAAACACATTATTCCTCACCTTTTTTTCCAAAAGATGCTCGATTTTAAAAAATTCCTAAATATCCATTTGTCCATATCGCAAATATCTGAATTTGAACAAATATTGGCTGTGCAGTATAATAGGTACCCTCCAAAAAAAGCCTCGCAACTCTCTTGAAAAGTGGATCTTACAAGTACTGCGTTATAACAAGCATTTGGTGATGAGTGCATTATGTGTCGATGAGGGTGATGCTGCGACTGCTGCAACTGAGATAGGAATATATGGAGCACAGAACTTTCCTGCGCACTGAACGAGAGCGCTTGAGTTCACAAGTACTTTACGCATCGCTACCAACCTTGTGGGCTTACCAGCCTTGCAATCTTCCAACCAGCTCGGTTTCCAGCAATGTTCACCTCAAATTGCCAGCCCTTGATAGCAAGTTGATGAAAGCTTTCTTTTCAAAGCAACTGACTATTATTGCAGTGCGATGGATACCCTTTTGCATAACATACAGTAATCTCGTCATCTATCATACATCCTTCATTTTTCATGTGGATGTTTTGTTGATAGACAACGAGTTCAAAAAGTCAATGTGAGGGAATTGGGAAAAAAGTCAACAGCATTGACTCTATTCGTGTATAATGCCAGGTTAGAACGTCCGATCAGCTCCGTAGGCAGTTGAAAGGTACAAGCCGAGTTGAAAAAGGAGGAACAAAAAATGGCCCCTTGTGGTGTCTATAAAAGTTCACCAGAATATCTACTACGTTCGCAAATCAGCAAGTAAAAGTAATAACCTCAACAGCATGAGCTATACAGACGCATCACGCATGGCACCATACAAAGCCGACACAACCAATCCCACATCCAGCGTCCGAGACGCAATCCTCGAAACTCGCCCCTCTCCAAAACTCGTTCTCCCCAGCCCGTCCCCAGTTTCCTCCTCTACGACTACCCCAACGCCTCCATCCGTCTCTACGCGGAGCGTCAGCCGATATTGATGAGGCGGTCGTGGATGCGCAAATGTAAACACGAGTTGTTCTGGTGGTGTCCAATCCTCGAGTTGCAGAGACACCATGTCCTCTTGAACAGCCTGCAACCCAAGCATGTGCGTATAAGCGTTGAAGCAACTTCGGACGAGTGCATTAAACGTCAATTGACGGCGCAAGAGCTGAAGAACGGGTAAGAGCTGGGAAGGGTGGGAGAATGGGATCTTGCAGAGGACCATGGCAGGTGTGCTCATGTTGCTGGAGAGGGTATATGACTGAGTGATGGGATGGGGATTGTCCCGCGTTTTGCAGCTGGTGGATCGAAAGACAGTCGCGTTGCCTAGTGTGCCTGGCGTTATAGTGGAATCTCGTACCTGTCAGGCAGAGCGCCCATCAAAACACGGCAACTTCGGCAGGTAAAAGCAAAAACACGCATGACTTACCAAAAGCTCCAGCATAGTCCCATACCGAAGCCCACCATCCACAGACTCTTCATTCAATTCATTACCAAAGTCCTCTACACTAACAATCCCAACCACCCGCCCAATGTCTCGCGCAACAGTCGTGGCTGCTGCGATCGGAGGAGTCAGGCGTAGGAAATATGTGATGGCAGCCGTCTCGTTCGACGTTGGCAACGGATTGTAAAATGTTAGCGGTGTTATATTTCGCCAGGATGCACCTTGTATAAGATTATAATACCTATCACCAGCCTTATGTTTAGTAACCAACAAATGAGACGTGGTCACTGGGAGGACGCATACTTACTCTTGCTCATTCGGTGGCAGCTGCAAATCTGCCCGATTACCCGGAACCAAATATTGGTTTTTAAATTTTGGTAGGAAGCGTGTCAGCGGGTAAGATTCCATATCAATAAATGCTCTACAGACTCCAATGACTGGGAACATTTTTCGTAGTCGAGTTGGGGTGATTTCTAAATAAAAAGGTGTAAGAAAGATCAGTAATAATCTCCCAACAATGTGCTCGCTTCTCTACAAAAATGCATACCTCCACTCCAATCAATCTCCAACCTCGCCGTAGGGGTGGCCCAATACACGACAGATGGACCAATCCTTTCGCAATGCATGAATGGAAGCCCATGACCTTCAAACATCACACTTTCGAAATCATTGCCACTGTTTGCTCTAATGACGAAAAGAGTCATATTGGTTAAAAATTATTTCAGCCGTGGAGTGTGCTACAGTAACATGATAACGTACAATTCAATTTGATGAATTGATAAAAGATCATTTTCGATGCATTTAATTTGATGGAACCCGGCATTTGCATCCAGGAAGGCCAATGAAGCAATAGATTTTTTGAATGACTCAAAATCGCCTTTGCTAGAGAGGACAGTGTCAAGATTCTTTAATGGTTTTAGATCTGTGAGACTTTTATGCACATACCTCAACATCTCCGTCAAGAGTTCATCGGCCTCTTTAATGAATGCGGGGCTCAGTTACATGTTCCCAGTACGCGCTCTTTTGCACTACACATTGAACCCACCAATTCATGTTGCTGGTGTTGAGGATGTGTATCTGATGCATATGACAACTTGATCTTTGTGACAACTCCTGGAGGGCTAATAACGATCTGAATAAAAGAATAACCGATATTTCAAACACGATCCATATGCGCTAACACGGTCGAAAGAGATGCTCATGCTCACATCAACCACAAAGATCGTTCCACAGATGGTTACTGTAACCACTGATGTGTCTTCAAAATGCGCGGATAAGTAAAGCTGCAATCTAAGAAACCCGATAGCTCCAACGTGAGTTCCACACACAGCCATCCGCCCGCGCCCGACTAGACCGCATGACACTTACCCCATGTCCGCTATGAGTTGCTCCAGTTTTTTCGCCACTGCATCGACTCCCATTTTTTCGGGCGTAGCCAACTCGTCTTTGGCAATGAATAGGCATTCTGTCAGAGCAGTTTTCAGTGGCGTAATGGACGATTGCAAGATCGAGCGATCCTATGTCGCAGAGAAGATGTGCATGTTTGTGTCCAAAGTCGTCTGTAACAGGTAGCCCACCAATACGAACCTTTAACAACTCTAGAAACTCTTCCACGTCTCCGTCTCCCACGTCTCCCAGAGTTCCATCAAGGGTTCCAGTGAGAGTTTCATCCCTATACCGTAACAGTGCTGCCTGCATTTGTTCATGTATCGCTAGCAATGCTACTTGTCGGTCGTGCGTATTTATTGCCAGCGGGTGTATAACTGTTTGGTTTTTGTTGTTTCAAAAAAAAAGAAACGAAAAAGAGTTGGCATTGTGCCAAGAGCTGTGTCAATGTTCAGCCAAAAAGCATACAGTTTGCTGCACCGTGAGTCTGATCTCCGCTGGGTTTCAGAGAAACGTTTAGCTCTTGGAGTAGCAGCTTTAGATCGCTTTGCAAGTCTGTGAGGCTGCTGCCTATAGTTCGGGAGGGTTGAAAGGGGCGTGGGTTCATGGCCATTATGATGTTTGATAGTCAACTGAAGGGTGGCTGTGAGCTGGGATGATGAGGGAGTGGAGCAGAACGCTCGTGCCACTTACCTCTGTTGAGCAAAAGCTGACGACGCTTGACTAGCAAGATGGCATCTAGATCTGTAAGCTGATCGCAAACCACCTTTGGAGCCCTGGGTGAGAAGGGCCCATCTGCTAAATCACGTGCCATGTTGGCGTCCCTTGCAAAACGAGATGGACATTGGAAGGACATTGGAAGCCTTGCGAGATCTTGTCAAAAGGTGTTGAATGTCCTCTTGTTGGAGTGTATGGCCATGACACACAAACACAAAACACACACAAGACAAATGTTTTTTTTTTTTTTGCTAGCATGTCCACCCAGAAATCTCGCCAGTATAACTATTGCTTCCTTGCTTCTTTGCTTGCTTGCTTGCTTTGCTTGATGACACTCTTTTCATCTTGCCATCTCTTCTTGCGTCCTCTTCATTGTTGCTGGTTGTGCATCCGTCGTGCTTTTTCTGTGTGTTCAAGTCTATGGCCGTTTACCTAATGGACAAAAACACATCACGAACCCACGAAAGGGCCCGACGCGTCAGTTAGCGGCAAGGCGTTCAAATTGCGGTGTTCAAAGACTTTATAAAAGCTTCTTTGCTTGGCTGGCTGGCTTACTTTACGCATAGCAAAACGTCATGTCTGAAGTACCGATTTACGGACTCGACAAGGAATTGGGTATGCTCCAAAAGAACAAAATGCAATTGATATACCATGGGGGCTCATTCCAACATTGGATTGATATAGCTGCAAAGGCCGCGGCAAAGTACGATCCTGCGCGAGAGGCTGAAGCACGGGCTTGGGTGGAAGAGGTGACCGGCGAGAAATGTCAAGGGGAAACGTTGCAAGATGGGCTGAGGGATGGCGTACTGCTTTGCAAGTGAGTTTGCCCGTTTTTGAACAAAATTCACGCAAAAAACACTTTTTAAACAATGAAATTAGACTGATCAACGTCCTGCTGCCCGACAAGCCGCTCAAATTCACTACATCGCGCATGCCGTTCAAGCAAATGGAAAACATTAACCACTTTCTTGGCGCTTTGACAACCTACTTTCAAGTTCCCGCCTCGGATCAGTTTCAAACGATCGACGTATGTAATGTAGTTTATCTTTTTTGTTTTTCATTGGGATTTTATTCGCCTAATCCATCCGATTTCCCCGTTTGCTACGTCTAGCTCTATGAGAACAAGAACCCCAATCAAGTAGTCGATACATTGTTTGCTCTGTCACGCCACGCACATAAACTCGGATACCTGCCTAATGGGCCGACTTTGGGACCGAAGCTTGCCGAGAAACGCGAACTGTCCTTTTCAGACGAGCAGTTGGCCCAAGGGAAGAGCATAATCGGCTTACAGATGGGGTTTGCAGGAGGCGCCAGTCAGAGTGGTATGGGCGCGTATGGTGGGAGAAGACAGGTTGTGGACCCGTCAGTTGGCACTGGGGATGTTGCCGGGACAAGTCAGCAGATGGGGTTTAGTGGGGGTGCGAACGCAAGTGGTATTGTCTATGGTGGGAGACGAGAGATTGGCGGCGCAGATCCAGGGAGACGGCCTGTAGACCAATGACAACCATGGCGGAACCATGGTTGTGTGTAATGGGGGCCTTTGTTTTGGATGGATGACAAGTATCGGTTGACGGGATGTAGCGCAGAAGTAATGTGGTTCACCAGATACAAAACACTCTAGATACACAAAGACATCTCTGAGACAATGGGGGGAAAACCATCAAACATGTTGGGGGCCCTCTGGCCTTGTGCTCGAAACCCAGTAAACCAGTCGCAGCACACGGCTTTGTTGATAAAGTGTTGGTGAAGGTCTCACAAGTTGACTAATGGCTGTCGTTATGTATACTCTAGTTTTTGCATGCACGTTTTTATTCTACAAAACTATCGGTTGTGTATGTGTGTGTGCAGATTGGACAAGTGCAGATTGGCTGATCCCCAACCAGTAGAGATGAACCTTGTCAATCTTTACCGTTGCTTGCCGCAAATCATCCCTGCAATCATGCCTCTTGGCGTTTGCCAAATCCATCTCCTACATATCCAAATCTCTCCGTATATAAAAAAAAAAAAGCGATATGAAAATCAAAAATAAAAAAGCACACTTGTCAATAAACGTGGCGTGCCCAAAAACTCAAAACGCGCAGAGTTCCTTGTTTGTTTCATTTTGTTTTGAAGTAGGCCTTTTGGCAACACTTTCTTGCTTGCACACGGTTCTTGACACTTTGTTTTTTTCAAGTGTTTGGAGTTGCATGGAGTTTGTGTGTTTGTCGTTCAAAGTTCCCTATCGTTCGTAACTGCTACATACTGGCCGGGGGACGTTTAGCGTTTTGGTTTTTACTCCATTCTCCGTTTGTCTACAGACGTAGAGTTTGAAAGTGGGTCGACAAAAGAAAAAAGATCGAAACGTTCGATAAAAAAGTCCGCCATCCTTCTCGCTCCAACTTGGTTGTTTCGTCCTTTTGTTCAAAAGGTCCTGAAGGAAGAAACAAGTTTGTTTAAAAAGTAGCTACCACCCTTGTCGCTCCGTTTCTTGTTCGAAAGATACAAGCGGCTGTTCTTGTTTTGCTCCTCCCCTCGGCCACGAAGTTATGCGTACGAACTTCAAGTGTTGATATTTCTCAGCATTCTTGTTCAGGTATATATCTGTTGGGTATCCGAGTTCCCTTGCATTCTCTCCTTGGAGCAAAAAGGTGAGAAAGAAGGAACAAACATAAAGGGCCACAAACACACACAAGAGGACTTGTTGGTTAGAGAACTTGAAGGTGGACTTTTGGGCTTTCGCCATTTTGCAATCGTCGTTTGGGTTCAACTACGGAAACCTTTTTGTTTAAACCATGTTCAACTTGCTTGTTGTTCTTGTTGCTTTGGGCGCTTGCGTGAACTGCTAGTGTTGCTATTATTGTCTGGGGGTGCCAAGACACACATATAGGTTCGCGCTTGCCATTTCCCACAGCATGCACAACTGACATGGCAATCTCTTTTGGACTTTAGAGCTTCCACCTTTTCGCAAAGACAAACTTTCGGCTGGCTGCTGCTTATTCAAAAGGACTCGTACACTACTTTATATATTTCCCGCTGCGGGACAACCCCCAACAAAAAAAAAACGAAACGAGCGAACTTGCCAAGAATTGGGCGCAACTTGCAACCAAAACACACACACTCTGAAAAACACCCGAGCAGTATGGAGCCGTCCTTGGATGAATTGTTTCTGTCTGCGACAGCAGCAGTGACAGCACCTTTGCTCGATCCATCCAGTTTTCAGACGCACCACCACGACATTGATACACATATGCTCGACTTTGACATGTCTTTTTTTGAAGACTTTAACACCCACCAACAACTACTACACGACGAACAACCACCACACACTCCTCAAGGACACGAACAACAACAACAACATCAGCAGCAGCAGCAGCAACACGAGCAAGAGCAGCAACAGACGGCAGGTCCCGTCAATGTTACTGTTACCGATATGTCCAGCATGCACAGTCCGACAGTACATGCTTTCGTTTCAAACGGAGCGCAGCTGGTCTCCTCTTCCTCCTCCTCAATACCCAACGATTCCATGATGATATCCTCCCCCACAGAACCCACAATGTCTCTCAATCCTCCGTCTGGAACATCTCTTCCCTCTACTACATCCCCTTGGGGAAGTTTACCATCAGAGCCCAAGGTCATGCGCCTGTCGCGACATCGCCGAGTTGCTTCCATTGGCTCTCCGTCTGGGAATGATAAGCCTCATCATCTTCGATCGCCTTCGTTCCAAGTGCTCTCGCCAGGAGGATCCTTATCGGGAGGTGAACAGACTATGGATCAGCTTAAAAAGAATGTCTTCCGTCCTTCCCATAGGAGGGGCATGTCCGTTGGGGGCCACTCGCTAAACACGGGTCAGATGGCCGCCCATCCATCTGTGTCGGCACTCAAAAGCCCGCCCTTGCAGCGACAAAACTCTAACCCGTTAAGCAGTCCCAAATCCCCTTCATCACCCTCACCCACATCGCCTTGGTTGCAACAGCAACAACATCAATCTCCGACCTCGACTCATATCCGGACTCCACCTCGTGCGTCCCTACCGGACATTAGTGACCCGCCTCAGCCGACCGTCCAGGCTAGCCGAACTCACAACATGGGACATCGGAGAGGCTATTCCATTGGAACATTCGCTCCTGAGCCGGCATCGCACCTTCCTCACTCACCTGTCAATGATCCTGCCCTTGTTGCGATTGGGTTCAGCATGGCTGCTCGCCGCCAGCACTCTACGGATTCCATTCCGTCGTCAGCGACAAATGCCGCGGTGCACGCCAGGCAGCTGGCATTGGGGCATCGACGAGGTAGTTCCTTAGGACATGGCTTAGCGTCGCCTGGCGCCCAAATGCTTTCGTCCCCGCAACTGGATCCGCACATGCACTTGGGATCTGGATCAATGCAAGGTATGTTGCATGAGTAAGTTTTGGTGGCACTATCTGCTTATACTGACGACGTCCCAATGTCTTTTCAGTCCTACACTCTCCAACCGCATCGTCCGTTCAGTGGTCGGCGCCATCTTCCCCTGGCCCCGCTTTCCAGCAACAGAACCATAGTCGTAGGGAGTCACACTCCTCTCAAGCTAGTTTCCTGCACTCCCCAAGCCTGACGTCCACGTCAGACGTTGATCCTCAAGTGCTAGAGACATTTGTGAACATGCAACTCCACGCCGATGCAGAGTTTCCTAGCGCGGGCAGCAGTGATTTGCACGGGTTAGGAACTGGGAGTTCCGAGATGACAGCGCAAATACAGCAACGGGAGCTCTCCATCTTGACCGATTTGCAGGGAGGCATGTATCCGTTTGGCATGGAGGAGCTTGGAATGGATATGGACGAGCTGGGAATGGGCATGGCGAGCGAGGACCACTCCAACCCTCCTACTACTACGACTTCTGGGTCCGATGATTTTCTCCACACACCACTCGGTCTTCCCGATGCTGCCGCCTTGGCTGCTGAAGCGCTACTCGGTGCATCCAACAAGGACGCCATGATGGTCTCCACCCCCAAGAGTCAACCTCCCGGTCTGAGTCCCACTAAAGAGGAGCCAAAGGAAGAGGATGAAGAAGACGGGAGTGGAAATTCTTGCGCGGAGGATGAAGAGGATGCAGAAGAGACCTCAGCTGCTATCGAGCAAGTAGAACACCGGTGCCGATGGACAAACTGTGACGAGCTGTTTGACACCGTTGAGGAACTTGTTAGCCATATTTCTGACCTGCACATTGGGGTACGTGCCGTCCATCCCTTTTTTAGTCAACGACCGATATCTAACTCTTCTCATTAGTCTGGAAAGGCTACCTACAAGTGTGAATGGGCAAACTGCACGCGCAACCAAAGACCCTTCACAAAGCGTCACAAGATCCACAATCATCTCCGTATACATACGGGTGAACGACCGTTTGAATGCCCTGTACCAGATTGTGGCAAAAAGTTTTCTCGACAAGATGGACTTAATACGCATATTCGGGTACGTTGTGAGATTATTTTTCGTGAGCCAAGAGTCGAAAAGTGACTCAACCTCGACCATTTTTACAGACTCACTCCAATATAAAACCTTACGTCTGCGGCTTTTTCGGCTGTGGAAAAGCCTACTATCACTCCCGCTCTCTACGAAAACACGAAAAATCCCACCTCCATCCCGTTCTCCTCCCTATGAACCTCCTCCCAATGTTTAACCAGCATCCCCAACAACAACCCATGGTTCAACATGGGAAAATGATGGTTGTTGATAATGGATTTTATATGAGCCATCCTGCTGGGTACGATCAGATCCCGATTGTACCGAGTCAGAATTGGGAGACGGATGGCAGATATTTGCAATAATTTCGGATTTTTTTTGAGACATGTTTTCAACAAGACAAAAAAACGGAATGGATTTGAATTTAAAAAGAAGAACCAAGTTGCATATATCATTTGAACAATTTGGATTAATAGTTTTTTTGTTTTTTAAAAATGTTAACAGTTGGTGGACCACGGAGTTTGTTATTGTTTTTCTTTGTATACACCTTTTTTTATTTTTATATTTTGTTAGTGTTCGTCAAACATACACATGCAGGCATTTTAATTAGTTTGTTGCATGTTTTGTTCTTGTGGGAGGGGAACATGTTCATACCAAAATACAATCGAGTATATGAAAATTACATGGTGGAATATTTGGTTTGCGATACACTAGCATTTTCATGTTATTTGAATCCGCTTGAACATTTGGGAAAAGTCCTCGTAACGAGCGGTAATTGACGCATGGAGAGAACATGTCATGAAATAATGCTCGTGTGTTTTGCACGCATGGCAAGGCTATCTTCAAACATTGAGAGGCTCTGGTAAAACAGGATAGCACAGCGAAAATGGCTTGTCCTTCAACACATTGTCCATGGCATACAAGCCCAATCTTCTGCCCCAAAGTCTTTAGGGGAAAAAAAGATTCGGATGACGTTCATACAAGGTCCCACCGAGAATCGAACTCGGGTCGCAGGATTCAGAGTCCTGAGTGCTAACCGCTACACCATGGAACCGACAACTTGTAATAGGCCATTGGATATTTCTGTCGAATACACAATGTACTGCATTACAAGTTTGCTGGCGAGTCTGATATCGTTTGCGAGCTCAAAAGTCGATAAAAACTAGTTGGTACACAAAAGCCTTGCAATATATTGTTCAAGATTATGAAAAAATATAAAAGTATCTACTCGAATGCAACATTGATCAATGTCCTTTTCAAAAATAATCCCTTTCCACGGTGCTAAACCTTCTATGCTCTTGCAAAATAAAAAATTGAAAACACCTCAGCCCACCCCGCCCCTGTTTGTCCCTGCTTTGCATTATCGTCTTTGTTTGCGCACTTGCTTTGTAATACTTTTCATCAACTTGCTTTTGAATCCTGCGGGACGTGGAGTGTTTGCTGATGATGGGATATTGCGATCCACAGGTAGAGGGCCTGATTGTCCATTCGAGGTTTTTCGACTCCATTTGTAATGTCGTTGTTGTTTTGCAATGTATGTGCCAATCAATCTTTCCAGATCTGGGTGATCTCGGTTGGGACAGGCGATTCGCTGGTTGCCTTCCAGATGCATGAGAACCTCACCCTAAATAACAAGTTAGTAATCATATGAGAGAAAAGTTACAGTAGGGCTGTGTAGGTAGCAGATACTTACGATTCGAGTAAATTTCCTTTGACATAGTGGACAGTCAAATAAATCGGCAGCGTCGTGGTTTTCATGTGTGGCTTGATGCCTGTCTCGGCCTTGTTTGCTGGTGAAGAGTCCATGGCATTTTTCACATTCGTATCGAAACTCTTCAAAGGCTCTGGCGTGGGGGGTCTTGGGTGATTTGGAGGTTGCTGTAGTGTTTTCCATTCTGGGACTCTGTGTTTATCTGCGGGGTTTGAAATAGGGATGGGACGGGAAATGTCGAGTAAAGAAAGAAAAGATTGTGCTACTCTGCGCAGCGCTACTAAAAGCGTTCCGTTGCTGTAACGCCGATCGCGGCTGTCCTTTTATGCTTCATGCCTTGTGGCGATCTATTCGTCATGAGCTGTCAAAAGGCCCGTCAAACTTCCCCGCCAGGATGACAAGCTATCCACGTGACGACTGCGCGCTTTAAAAATCGCGTCAGGGCGCTTGGTGTCAACTTTCCCACGTCCCCCCCTTCATCGAGTTGAGGCAGCTGCGCAAAAGGCCAAAAGGCGTGCTACAACGAAAACATGCTCGCTCATCAAGCCAATGTTGCGCTTGTAGAACGTGGTAACGGGGATTCACGTTCCCACCTCTCCTCGTTCTACAACAGTAGTGCTACTCTTGGAGGAGTTTCCAAAGGCCGTATAGACCAAGAGGCACTTTACGATAGACAGGTACGTGCACCCCTTTTGAGTGGGTTGGAACACAACCATACAAGTTGGCTGTGCAGCACGGTGAGTGTGGATATGATATGCCCTTCTTCCGGTCTCGGCGTCGTCAACCGCTTGTTGGACCACGTTGGACCACTCTGGCACTAGCGTGCTAGAGGAAGCAGGTGTATCTTGTATCCCATTCAATCCGTTGAGCGTTGACGCATTTTGATACCGTGTTTAACGCGAGCAATTGCGGCGGATCAAATGAGACGTTTATAGAGCATATTACTGCTCTACTGTCAGCGTATCATGAAGCACGGCGATGGATGACACGAAGCCGGGTCATCGCAGACGATGAATCAAGCTCAAGTGTGTAGCCGTTCAAGCAAAACCTCCCTGTCGGATACTTTATACGCTTGTCTGTTCCCACATGGTCACGATATTCCGTGTCTGCGGTAACCTTGTCCCAGTTTTTACATTACTGTAACATGCTGTGTGTCTTGTAGATTCAAGACGGCTCAAAAGAGAAGACAGTCAGATTTGCGGCTGTCAGTCAAGACTTTATTTCAATTGGTACGGGTTTTGATCATCTTGGCGACCATCTCTTCAGCGATAACCAATGTAGTATCGTTGGTAGATTGTTCGGATAGCGATAGAGCCCGTGATCGTTTCCGGGAACAAACAGGGGATTACTATAGACCCTCAAATTCCGTAGCGGAAAGAAAAAGTTTAACTGAAAAAGATTACCAGAAGAAGATAGCGAAACAGCGCAAAAAAGCGGTAAAAAGATTGATCAAACAGCACAAGTTGCAACAATTGATCGCGGCAGGGCCCGGTGTTACAACGGTAGGTGGTGCTCGAATAGCTGCATTTTCTCCGATAGACTCTTAAATCTTAGTCCAGCGGTCGATGGCGAGGAGACAACAGACAAATGAAGATTCTACGTTGGTGGATGCGACAATGGTATGCTTCAATCACCGTTTTCGGTATCTGGTGTGTCTGATTTATACTGGGCTCCACAGCAATCCTCCCTCAGAGGGTCACCGCCACAAACCGAGAGAGAGATGAGAGAATTCGCCAAAATCAAATACATAGCATGGGGGGAAGAGCGGAAAATCGAACATTGGGCAAGGGTGGAAAAGCAGCTGGAAATCATTAGAAAGGATGGGAGAGACATAAGAGTTGTGAATAACTCTCTTGTTGAGGTCGTGAATGGAGTCAATACGGAACTTGGGCGTTCGGAGCAGAAAAGATTGAAAAGAGATTTGAGGTCGCGAAATGAAGTGGAAGCTCTCAGATTGGCTGGGAGGGATGTTCGATTTGAGGATGGCAAAGTTGTGGAGACTGTAAATGGCGCCAGGGTGATGCTTAGATGGAAAAGAGGACGTCTTGTGAATCCGCAGGAAGCTGAACTGCTAACCCGGCAGAAAGCACTGAGAAGGAAAGAGAGACAAATGGCTAGGGAACACCGAAAGGGCGATGTGTGGGTATCACCAGCACATTCTACCCGAACAGCGAAGCGAAAGTCGGGGCGGAAACTCTTCGAGGACGGTTATTATGAACCGGATGGTGGGGAAGTCACAGAATTGAGGAAGCAAGGCCGGTGCCAAGTGGCTAATCGAAAAGATTACTCTACCTTGGTGAGAAATGTGTGGTATTATGTTCATTGGCTTCGTTCGTCGATCTGATATTTATGGCTTTTGTAGGGGAACTACCTGTCAGGTGCCCCGGAAATAGAAGTGTATACAGATGGATCTCTTCGTGCTCGAGGAGGGGCTTGCGCTATCGGCTGCTTCTTCCCGAACAAAGAGCGATGGTGTGTAAAAAGAAGTTACGTTTGGAAAGGGTGGCCTGCTCAATTTCTGCTTTTTAGTCACATCTCTCGGGTCGTCCCTGGTAGCACTTCAAATGATGCTGAGGTGCAGGTGCGTGCGTTGTGCAATGCCCTTCTCTGGCTTTGCAGCGAATCCTCATGTTTTGCTCTTACATTTATCAGGCATGTATAGCTGCCTTGCGTGCTATTGGGGATGGTGTTAATGCCATTATCCACGTCGACTGCCTGAGTGTTATTACGGGTGAGGCGCTCCTTGGCCAATCTTCTACTATCAAGCATGTATTCTTATTACTGTAACATCTCAGCTATGCAATATGCAGCATCTGGCAAGCCTGCCGAAGGCAAGTACACGTCTGAATTGGCGGAGGTAAGATAACTATCCATCCAATGCACTCAAATATGATTTGACAATGTCCCCTATTATTACAGCTTGTGTTGACTCGCAGTGGTGGTACACGCTGGAAGTGGGTGAAAGCACATGTTGGAAATCGCGGAAATATGGAAGCCGACAAACTCGCTGGCATGGCCGCTATCATGTGGAGCATGAGAGGACAAAATGAATTTCACCGGGATGTCCGAATAGCTGATTTCATGAAATATGAAGAAGGAAAGCGGCCTCAAATTGCACCAGCTTATGAAGTTTCAAGAGCACCGGATACTCGCACGGGGATTGCAATGAGTAGCACCACTGAACTGACTGTGGGCGCTGTGATCGACAATGAGATGAAGGCATCGACGACAGGTGAGGACGCCAAGTCCACCATGGTGAATGTCGAAGTATCAGCCATGGAGAATATCGAAGTATCGGCGATGGATATAGTCGTGGACAATGGCAACGCCACAGGAAACGCAGAGCAAGACTCAAGTGGATCTGATATGGACTTGGATTCCGATCTTTCCTCGAGCGATAGCTCAGATGAGGACTCGGAGGAGGACCATGCTGCGCACACGATGTTTGTGGAAAATGAAGATGGTTCATTTGAGGAAGTACTTGTTGACTCTGAGGGAAGGCCACTGGGTACTCGTTCCGCCCAGGCTGATCGGGAGACAACTCCCTTTACTCCTATGGAGGTCATTGATCTGGTCTCGGACGATGAGTGATGTTTGGTCGTTGGTCATTTGCAAACGATCGACGTGTAATTATTATCTCGGATATGTGACGGTTTCTTGTGAATGTTGTGCGATTTGTGCTTTGGTCAGTAGTTGTGTATGCTTTGTTAGTGTGATCAGAGCGACCACTTTGGTTGTTTTGAATTGATGTAGGATTAATATCAGTCGACGGAGGAAAGTTTCTACGATGTATCTTGTTAAATAAAGAAAGTTTCGCTGAACGTGATGTCGTTGGTTTTTCGGGTGTGGGAAATGACTCGGAACCGCGTCGGCTTGCAACTCGCCTTTTAGCTTTTGAGCTTCCACCGTCCTGTCTTACGAGCCAGCTATCCACCTTCTACTGTTCGCATAATCGCATTCTTTTGCTTTCAAAGAGTCTTTCTGCAAAACGCTGCATCCTCTTTGTCACCTGCATCCCGCAGCTCTGAAATCCCACTCAAATACAATCAACAACAAGAAAACGCAACTCGCACAACATGACCCGGCCACACTTCTTTCAGCGAGTCGTCTCCTTTGCTACTGGTGGTCTTTTTCACGTAGGGCATTCCAATCTGATATATATCCCTCCACTTGTGTGCTGCATTAATCCTCTAATTCCCATCCGTTTTCTCTTTCGCATAGCGCAAAGTGAACAGCTTCCAAGCAACCCCGATGTCAACCACCAATCCTTTCCGCACAAACGACCAAGACCAAACACCAGCACCGGGAAACCGAACCATCGTCCTTGAATCCGAGGCAGAACAGCCACAAGTTTTCCATGATGAGGAAAAGGTCGTTATTAATTTTATGCCACCTGTTAGGGAGGTTGTTGAGCATCCAAGCTCTCAAGATCAGAAAATGTCTACATCTTGGGATCATGATGATTCCGATGAAACAATCGAGGTTAGCAAGGCTGCAAGTGCAGGCCAGAAAGTGACTACACCTTGGGAGGACTGTGATTCCGAGGAAGCAGTCGACGGCAGCCGTATACATATGGTCAACGAGACGGTAACATCAAAAGATGAGTTAAATGAAAAGGACGTTGTCGAGGACATTGTCGAGGGGGAAACGCTTGACCTAGCCAAATTGTCTCCCATTCTTGAATCTCACGATACCGATTTGCATGCGCTGAACAGCGTGCCAGAGACTGATGTAGATTGGGATAAATCTTTACAGAATGGAGTGCCAGAGACAGATGTTGATTGGGATAAATCTGTACAGAATGTCGCACCTGATATCGATGGTGATCGTAAACAAGAGGATCATGTTATTTCTGCTATTTGGGAAGGTGATAGCGGCAAGAAGGGTGATGATCAACCTGTCGAGGTCAATGGTAGGTTGGATGAAGAGGACAGGTCCAAGTCTCCATCTCTATCCTGCCCTTCCAAACCGGCACCAGCAGAGAACAATGAGCCTACAACATCCGCCGAGTTCGAGTCTCTTCATTGCCAATTTACGAACCTATCTCTTGATACGTCTAAAGAAGACAAACAACAAGACTCTGCCGATGTCCTGCCGCCGTCACGCGAGGTCAAAGGGCCAGATGCCAAGGTATCAGCCGATCTGTACGGTGACTGGAACGTGGATGTCAAGAGTGAGGTGTCGAGTAGAGACCTTCCTCACCCCGGGTATCATGATACCGTCGATCAATCCTCGGTCGATCCTTGGCTTCGAGATTCAGAATCCCCGACACCCATCATCCGACGTCCATTCGCACCAAAGCCACATCCGCTGAACTCAGAATCTCCACCGGCCTGTCCAAACACCAACGTCCTCCACCTCCCCCGTATTCCGATCACTGTCACCGAGCTAGACCTTTACCTCCTCTTTCGTCCCTACGGCAAAATTGAGAACATGCTCGTATACCCGCTAGTATGGGATCTGGATTCAGCGGAGCCCACGGAACCCCACCATCACGCCTACGTTCAATTTACAGACAATGAAACGGCTTTTGCAGCTTATACGCTTCTTGAAAACAAGATTTCTTTCAAAACTGGGGAAACGCTTGCGATCGAGTATGCGGCTGCTATACCTACGCCTATGCTGCCTCCGCGATCCAAAAAGGCCAGCAAGGAGAGAGTATGGAGGATGTTCAAGTATAGGGGTTGGGATGATCTTTTGAGGAGGGATATCAAGGTATGTGCAAAGCATGTTTTGGTAACGTTGAGATGTCTAATGAACTTTCTTTTTACTGTGTGCAAGGGATGGTAAGGGCAATCTATGGCAAGTGAGCTCGGTCTTGCGCTGGAGAGGACAGACACTGTATTGCTTTGGCTTCTTAGCTAACGTGCCAAAGCATTTGGACTGTTTGCTTGATTTTGCAATTGAATTGAATGTTGCATTTAAACATTTGGAAATTGATGATGTATACCGATATGAGTTGGCTTGTTTGACCGCTTTCAAATATATGCATATGGAGGCTGCATGGACACCTATTTACAGCTCACTTTTAATCACCTTGCGGTGGTAGTAGATTATCATGTCATCTGGGGAAAGCCAGAGACGACGCCAAATTCCGTATGTCCAGCAGGCTGAGAGGCCCTAAAGAAAAAGGAAAGCTTAGAATACATATGCATTATATGTAGATAAAATATTTGAACACACGGTAGGGCTGAAAGCAGCGAGTCCTAAAAAGGGGAAAGCACACAATCCAAAAATCGCAGTGATACCAGTGATGGTCGCACTGGCAAACGTGAAAGCAGTGCAAAGAGCATCGTCGATAGTCATGGTGAAATGGCTTGCTGTATGCAGGGTATCCACAGGTCCTCGCTGTTTTTATATAAGATCCTGCGGATAGTTCGCCAGCATGTTTTTGGATGTGCCGCTAGAGAGGAGAACGGCAGTGGTTTATTTATAACAAATTGGTATTAAAAGTAACTAACGGCAGAATTAGCCATGACTTTTGCTTATGTACATGATGGGCTCATTTCTTTTCCAACAGCTCTTTTACTAGACGCTCACTAATATCCCATAGGTCTGTTTGGAGTTTCTCATCGGCCGTGTAGCCCGTCATTGGTTTCTCCTTTGCAGTCGGCCACTAGAATCAGGCAATGCAGCCATGTCAGCAAGGGTCATTTTAGATCAATAAGGTACTCGCACTTACAAAGTATTTGCCCCGAATGTTTTGGGTCTCCACCTCCTCGCTTGTCGCCAAATATAACTGCGTCAACGCCCCTTTGTCCGCTGTATTCCCCATCACAGTTCCTAGTCCAAATTGAATGACTTTCTCAGTGTAGCCTCCGGCGTACCAGCTTCGGTTGGTAATGTTCGTGGCAATGACGCCGGGGTGGCAACTGTTGGCATAGATTTGCGAGTCGGGACCGAGCTAGGTGGAGCATCGATATGTTATGCTATGTATCGAGTGCAAAGAACAGGAGGCACACTCACCCTTTTGGTCAATTCCTTGACAAAGAGGAGATTCGCAAGCTTGGAGAGCCCATACGCTCGGACATTGTCATATTTTTCTTTTGATACATGGATATCCTGTTCCCAATCCGGTTTTGACCATACTAGGTCAATCCCGCGGGATGAAATGGTGACAACGCGGGCGGGTCCAGACGTTTTAACGATTGGGAGGAGGAGTTCAGTAAGGTAGAAGCTGACAAGTGTTTTTGTGTGAGTTGCGGGACATTCAAGGTGCAAATGAGCATGATGGCAGCATACTGTGACAGATGGTTGATGTAAAATTGGCCTTCGATTCCGCTTATAGAGTTGTAGGGCGTATAAGCGATTCCAGCGTTGAGGAGGAGAATGTGGATAGGAAGGGATTTTTGCTTGTACCATTCCGCAAATGCTCGGACCTGTTTTTTTTTGTCGTGCAAACAGGTCAATTGCGAGCAGTGGGTGGAAAGTCTTGCAGGAAGATACTTACAGACTGGAGATCCCCATTGTCCATCACACCAAATTCCACCTTGGAGCTGTTGGAAGCCTCGATAATCTTTTGAACCGCTTCTTTGCCTCTGCTCTCTGATCGAGCGGTGATGATGACATGTGCGCCCTTTTGAGCCATAGCGATGGCAGAAGCCATACTATGCATCTGTTTTAGTTTTAAATATACATATTTGGTGTGTGTGTGCAAGTCCGCAAGCTTACCCCAGCCCAGCTGTTCCTCCTGTAATGATGGCGACCTTACCATCGAGGTTTGGAATATCGTCCGTAGAAAACGTTTTGCCATAAAGCCAGCCAAAGACCATGATTGTTATTCCTATATATGAGATGTTTGTAGAAAAAGAAGCGGAATCCAAACAAGATGCTGCAATGGTTTTATATGCAAAAACACTTGGGGATGAAAAAGATAAACGTCCGTTCGGAGCCCCGATGAGTTTGGTCGGTCCGATATTGCAGCCCTTTTGAAATCGAAATTTACGAAATTTTTTGGGCCAACAGTTTTGTTTAACGGAATTGGGTAGATTGCTATCGGGTTTCGCTTGCTTGCAAACGACTTGCTACCGCGGTACTCGAACGGCGACGACGACCGGCCGACGACGACGACGACGACGACGAGTGCGAGTTAGTTACAGTGATCTTTTTGCAGATGGAACACTTGGACAACTCCACCAAAAATCAACGCTCCAAGAAGGCTCGTCAATATGACAAATACCGTCGAACCTTGTCAACGACACAGAATCACACGTTTTTCCAAACAAGGGCCCTTTTGCTGTTAAAAGCATATGATGTTTGCTGGTCACTTTTTTTTTCTTCTTCTTGAACCCTAACCACGCGCGTCATTTTGGACTTGGATTGTGTTGAAAGCAACAAGTTCGTTTGGTTACCCTCACCCTTGAGGCTTGAAGGAGAATGCGGGACAAACCTGACTTTACACAGCATACTGCTCTGTGCATTTACAACTTGCCGCCCCAAGGGGCTTTGAGGGATCGTGCTCAACGTTGACAAATGGTTGAGCTGATGTACTAGTACAAGTTGCTATTGATGGGGAAGTCGCTGGTGGTGGGTCAATAAATTGGCAAGGAAGAGCAAAGCTCCCCACCAGGTTGCAGAGTGAATTGGAGTAAAAAGATAAACCATCCAAATCCATTGCCCGCAAAACATGAAAATGTGGACATTCTCTTTCTTGCTGGGCATCCTGGCTTGCGCTTTGGCGCATCCCGTAAAGCGGGCTAGCCAGCCCATTTCCACCCCTCTAGGCACCATCATTGGAAGCACATGTGCCAATCACACCAACGTCCATCAATACCTGGGTATTCCCTATGCTCAGGCCCCCATCGGTGATAACCGATTCGCCTCTCCCAAGGCATACCAGTCAGCATACCCATCCAGAGAATGGAATGCGAATAGGTATCGGTCAGCCTGCCCTCAGTTGAATTCCCCACTGGGCAACGTGACGGAGGAGGACTGTCTTTATTTGAATGTCTGGGTGCCTGATCGTCCCCGTCAACATGACTTGCCTGTGCGAGTGTATATTCATGGCGGTGGATGGTACTTTGGTGCCTCTAGTGACGCCCTCTTTGACGGCTGTTCTGCTACTGCTGTATCGGATGCCATCCTTGTGACATTCAATTACCGTCTCGGTGTCTTTGGATTCTTGGCTCTTCCCTCTCAAGCCAACAGCGATCATGGAGTGGGCAACTGGGCCGTTCAGGACCAGCAATTAGCTTTAAAGTGGGTTCATGATAATATTCATCAATTCGGGGGTGACAACAGCCGAATCGAAATATTTGGCGAAAGTGCCGGTGGGTCGGCTGTGTCCCTCCATTTGATTGCAAAGGGCTCCGAAGGACTATTTTCGACGGCAATAGTGGAAAGCGGGGCGGCCTCTGAATTGCCTCCCATCAACGTTGCCTATCGGTCGACCTGGGCTGTCGCACAAGCAGTCGGTTGCACCACGGAGACGACCGTCTCGCAGACGTCTGGAGAACAAGAGCGGGTCTTGTCTTGTCTACGCAGCACAGCCGCGCTTGGTCTCCTCTCCAATGGCCCGCAACTTGCCGTCATCAGCTACTCGAACCTGACCGCCCTCAAATGGGGCCCCTCGATTGACGGCCACATCCTCCGCCGTCAGATTCCAGACGCCCTTGCAGCCGGCGAAATCAACCGCGGAGCTGACAATACCCCCATTATGCTCGTGGCGGGAACAAATTCTGAGGAAGGCATTATCTTGCTCCCCCAAGGTCTCAATGCGACACAATCCCAACTGGACCAACTGATCGATGAACTTGCACCCAACCGAGGTGAATACGCAGCATACCGCTCAGTCCTCACTACCCAATACAGTGTGGATAGATTCAATGGTAGCTACTTCATCGCTGGATCCACTCTTATTACGGACTTTCTGTTCCTCTGCCCAACTTACCGGTTCCTAAAAGCCTTTACGAGACACAACAAGGCGTACTCGTATCTATTTACGAGGAGTATTAGATGTCCCGCTGTGACAGGAGGAGTTGATTTGGGCGTTGTTGGGGCGGGACATGGGATGGAGTTACCGTATGTATTTCAGAATCTGGCTTTATGTGGGTTGGAGAATGGGGAGGATAAGGAGTTGGCGGATATGATGCTTCGTGCTTGGTGAGTTTTATTGGATTTACGCTTGAGCTGCTTATCATGAGCGTGTAACCTGCTCCGCTCATTTCTAGGACAAGCTTTGCAGCAACCAAGACCCCAGGAATAGATAACTGGGACCAATGGACTGTTGAAGACCCTCAGATAGCAGTGCTCAATATCCCGTTCAGAACGGTCAAGCACGATGTCTCTGAGAAATGCAAAGTGTTTGAAGAGTTGGTGGGTGTAGCTGTTAGGGAAAGCTTTTAAAGCGGATGGTGGGAGATAGGGAGGACATTATCTGAACTGGCCTTGTATTGTTTATTTCTTTATCATGCCGCCAAATTCGGCGATCTTTTTATTTTCAAATGCTGTTCGTCCACCTTTTACCACAATGAAAGAATATTTGCTACCATTCCATTTGCTGCAATGCTTCTGGCAAAGGAAAGTTGGTCGATCGTGACCCTTAGCATTACCTAATCCCGCATAAGCCCCAACACGTCCGTCAGGAACGCGTTCGGACATGCCAACTTCCCCGACAGATCATGACCCAAGAAGACGACGACGCTCACCAACTCCCCTCAGATTGGTTCTCCGCATTTACAAACCATAATGTAACACCTACATCGCCAGATACACCCACCAAATACCCCTACCAACTCGATTTTCTAAAAGTCGAAGGTCTTCCTACACCGCGTGGATCGCTGCACGGGGATCTTGAACTTCGTGTCTCCTTTTTTGATTTTGCGCAAGGCGCATTTTTTGGGAGGACTTGGGGTGGGGGTCCTTGTGACCTGAGTGGGAAGAGGTGAGCTTGAATCTGGTGTGCATTTTGGTTTTAGATTGTATTTTTGAACTTTTGGGGTGTAGTGGGGGAGGTGAGGATGGATCGGATACCGAAGACGCTGTGGTTCATTCCCAAATCGGACATTGGGTGACGATTCATTTCAAAAATCAGGTATGTGGCTAAATATCATTTACAATGGGATGAATGCTGAACCGACTGTTTAGTGCGTTTATTTTCATACACCCATCACAAGTCCGGATGTTGTCGTTGTAGTTGAGTTTGTATTTCAGGGTTGGTTGATTTGCGCAATTTTCGCTTTTTATGCATATGTTGAATTTCCATGTGAAGGAACCGATGAAAGGGAAGAAAGTATCGGAGGGGGATGGACCTTTTTTCATTGTTTCGATCCCGAACGAGGTGGATTGAGTCTTTCCGAAGTATGGGATGTGGCCGACGACACTTCTGAGACTGATGACACGCACATGTATGCACTCCAATTCTATTCCTCATATTCAACACAGTCTAATAATGTGACAGTATTCCTATCTACACTGGCACGCCGCGCATTCTCCCTTTTCTTTCATCGGTCGACACTCCACCTACCCTCCCCGGTGCAGCACTCACTTTTGCGTTCACTCCCCGTTCTGATTTGAGGGGCGTTGCGCATCTTTGGAAGGAGAATGTGTTTGTGGGGGAGGGGGATCGGGTGCCGGGAGTCAAGATGAGGGAAGGGAGAGTGAGAGGTGTAAGAATGAATACCGGATTTGTTTCCGAGGTGAGGTATTTCCTGTGTCCTTTTGGACGATGACTGAGGTTAGACGCTGACGTCTATGATAATGTCCTTAGATTCGAGTTTATTTCCACCCTACCCTTCATCAATACGATGCTGAGCTCCTCCATGCCCTGACGCACATGCCGACCCTCCACCCACACCTCCACCCAACTCACAAACCCACCATCCTCGAACGCCGCCTTCACATTGGCTTCCATAATACTCATACCTTCCTCAATCCGACCACTGCGCCGCTCGAAACACCAGACAATGATACTGGGCTTGAACTCGTTTATACGGGTACGTTGGGTCTCCAGTACTTACATGACCCACGTGTGGCATTGGTAGTAGGTGTCGAGTACAAGGTGTTTGTACCAACCGTCAAAGAGCCACCTGGATTCTTGGAGCGGGTGTTATTGGGACGAAGGGAGGTGCATGGTATGCGAGGGGTTGAGAAGGTGGTGATGGTGGGATGGATGGCGTGGGTTCCTTCTCGACATGTAGGTCTTTTCCTCTTCTCGCGCAAGTTTCATTTTACGAGTTGTGTGTGCGCTGATGCAGGTGGTTTAGAGTGGTGAACAGGCTCGTATGATTCCACTTCACACAAAGTCGGGTCCGAATCCATTTGGGCGACCCATGTACAAGGCTCAAGGACAGACGCCGTTGTTGGTTTCCTTTGTGTTTCACGAGAAGGAAAAAAGGAGGGATAAAGGTATGATTGACAGGTACGGTTCTTTTTCTCCCTCGAGGGATTTTGATTTTGGTTGAATAGGCGAGACTCTGCAGACGACGACGCATCCACATGTCGTTCCACCCCCCGAGACCAAACCCACACCTCACCTGGTCGACGCTGTTACATCTCCCCTTGCCCTCAGCGACGCCGACCCCGACGCAGATATTCCGGCTCCACCCCCACGTTCCCGCACCCGCACGCCCGCTCCCGCTCCGTCTCGTCCCCCCTCCACTCACCAGCCCCTCACCCGCCTCGAACGTGCTCGCATCCACGAAGCTGGATTCCCACCTACACTCGACGATCAAGGCCGAAAAGCCGCCATAGTGTCGTTGGACGAGCGGGTGGATTTGGATGCTGAAAATCAGGATTTACGTGGTTGTGAAATTGGGCTCTCGTTTTTGGGTGTCATGTTTTACGATGAGTTGGGTATGTTTCTGTTCCTCATTTGTTCCTTGAATGTAGATGCCTTACTCTTTCTTCTGGGATAGACACGCCTACGCCGCATACATTGCGACTTACCTATCAGTTCTACACATTTGCCCCGCACACCACACCTCCCCTCCGAATCTACACGGGACCGCTGCCCGCCGCTAAACACCAGCGAAGCGCGTCCGCCAAAAGCCAACAGGCGGAGGAAACCATGTGGCCGGGGATATTCTGGGCGGGTGGTGAAGACGGGACATGTACGTTCAATCGTCCGTTAGATTAATTTTTTTGTCTCCTTGTGTTGATAGGTTGTATTTGGTATAGATGCCCACCCACCCGGTCATACAACCATCTATCCCATCCATCCTACCACGGACCCCGCTCTTCCGATCGGTACCTACACACCGACCACCAGCCCCGTTGCACTCTACATGTCGACCACCTCTCTTGATATTGACCTCTGGGATGCATCCACACTTTTGCACGTCGGTCGAACCCGAGTGCCTCTCCAACATGCGCTACGACGGGGACGCAGTGGAGTATATGCAGATTTGGAGGTGGATGTTGTTAACGCGGGGGTTGCGAAGGGGACTGTTGTTGGGAGGTTATATGTTCGAGTTACGAATGTTGTGAGAGGAGCGAGTGCGGTAGAGGCGCTTGTAAAAGATGTCAGAAACCCGTACGGCGTAGAGAAAATGTGTTTAGTGGATTGGATATTGAGACGGAGTCGGGAGCATGTGGTGCAGGTTCCTTTCAAAGTAAGTCAATGAGACAAGATGCGGATGCAGTTAACGTTGTGAAAAACAGTTCATTGACAATCATGTATAGTTATCGGATATCGACGCTGAGCTCTCTGCTCTCCTTCGTGCGACGCATCAAGAGCGCTTACACCTAACCGCATCTCGTCGGGACAAGGAACTCAACATGGTTCACGAACAGCAACGTAAGATGGATCGTGTCAAACGTGTCAAGATGGGGTCTGAGGATGGATTCAAGGTACGCTTTCAAGCACGCTAATATCATGCATGATGGC